CAACGTAAAATTGTTAAACGCTGAACTTGTGTGCTTTGTATAAAAAAGTAGATAATACAATAAATAACAAAATATTTGCGGTTAAGCAATTTTGTAATTATCGTCATAATCTTATGAAACAATCAATGTGTTATTTTATACACCATTGAAGAGTATTAATAAAGTAATTGTTTTACTAAATTTAAAAATTATATACCTAATATTATGCTCAGCTTAAAAACTTTCATTGAACTAAAATTAATTTTAAGTAAGTTAATGTTTTGTTCTGTTTAAAGATAGGCAAACAAAACAGATTGCTATTATTTATCAGTTATCAAAAATATAATTAATATGAACAATAATTTGTTCTATACTTTGACCTAGATAATTTATAGGTTGGATGCAATATAAACAAATTTATTTTATTTGTTAAATATTTTTTTAGATCTTGTTGAGATAACTTTTCAAATTTATTATGATATTTTAGTCTAATTGCATTGTTTTTCTAACTTTAAATAAAAAAAATCACTTGACAAATGTTGATTGCGTTATACTTAAATGCATTTAAATATTCAGTGACCAAAATTAATTTCAATATAGGGACAATGTAGGGATTTAATTATGGAATTTTATCTTATAATTTGACATTCATAATAATCGTTAAGCATTCATAGAAAAAAAACTATCTTTTGCAATTAACTAGTTTGCATACCATTTTAAAATAATTAAAAGCAACTGATGTTAGAGGTTTCAATATCATAATATGTAATTCGAGTGATGTATTTCTGTGATAATGGTATGATTCACAGCAAAAAAACGTGAACGAATGTTAAACGTAAAAAAATGTTCGGGTTTTTGCTCTATTTTTTTTTTTTAAGTTAGTGGTTTATTACAAATCGGTTCAAACTTCTGATCATAGTCATTCGGGAACACGATAATGATTGTGTCAAATTTACATAATAATGATTATTTGGATATTATTTGAACGAGCAGCTGTTGCTAAGGAACTGCGTGAGGGTTCTGACGATGAGACGTTTGAGCGTGTCGTGGAAGAACGTCACGTTTACTCAAACGACGGTAGAAAAAAAGGTAGAATGATCGTCGTAGACAGAATAACCGTGCACAAGAGTGTTAGGGCAATGGAGAGCCCCGAACGGAGTGTTATAGCTAAACAAGCACTGTCCGAACTAGAAGGTTCTAAAAGCAGGTCTTCGTCCTATGATAGTTTATCGTCTCCAAAATCCTGGAGAAAAACATTCAGTGGCACCAAATCGCAGTTCGATACTCATATTGAAGAAATTAAAAGTAAGCCATTTATGAATGCGTTCAGCATGATATATTTTATTATGGTAGTCTAGTATACAATATAATATGTACATTAGTTGATATTATTGACGACTCTAGAAGTCAAAGGGTGTATTATATGAAGTTTTTTATTAAAATAGTTTATAGGGCAACCGATTATCTCAATCAACAAGTCTGTTGTACATAAATGTCTCATTTATAAATACCATATTTATAAAATTGTGCACTTAATGAGTTGTTTACAAATTGCACTCAAGTAATCTATTGGCTCTTATAGGGCCTTTGTTTGTAGTACTGTCATATTAGTATCATACCAGTGATATTAGTAAATATACCTATACCATGTAATTTTCTGAGTACCCCAACTTAGAGAAATGGTACATCTTTACCTGCAAGTTAATATCTGGTGCAACAACGGATAAGGCTAAGACTAAAATCGAAATCGCCAACTGACAAATTATTATTTAAAAAAAATAAAATAATAAAACAAAAAGGAACGCGTTAGGTACAATCATTATATTTTACTATCTATTCATAAAAAAATTGACCCGAAAATCCCAAAATTATGGCAATGGATTTTCTCGTTTTTTTATGTGCTTTTGAAAGTTAGCAAAGTAGTTTTGATGTTTATTGTCCATGTCTGCGAGGCAACAGCTGTAATAAAATGTAAATAACTTGGAATGGTTCCAGTGTGTTATGCAGTCGTTATTCACATATTACTATATACTATTCACTCGGCGAATTAAAAGAAGTAGATATTTTTATGTGTATATATTGTCCAAAATTTGTAAAAGATTTGTAGTTGGTTTGTCTGCGAAAATTGCACGAAAACGGGCTACGCATAAACGATCACTCGCTAGAAAACTCACATTATCCAATATAATGATGTCTATTCTGGGGCTAAAATTAAAATAGCATCAAATCCGTTTAATCGCTTTCGGTGGCTTCGGGAAAGGTATTCACAGTGTGCAGTTTGATGGTTTTATTTATAGCAACTGCTCTCATATAAAATAGGCTATATAAATGATTTAAGTGGCATATTCGGCCAAGAAAAATACAATTGATCCGAAAACGTAAATTCTCGTGTAATTACCACGGTTAACATTTAAAAAGATGAAATCAAACAACTAAATATGTTTTAAATATTATTATTTATCATCAATGGACAACAGCTGAACGCGTTTACCCAATGCAGTGTCTTATATTGTAATATTTAATTCATTCAATGCAATAGCTGGTACAAAATATAATAGTATACTGTATATATTGTTTTAAACTCCAAAGTAAATACAAAACCTTGTGCCTTCTTTTATCTTCTCAACATGAGTGTTAAGACTTTTATTTATTAATTTAACACCAACCACATAATACTCTTCTTTGATTTTAATTTTGTAAATAAAATATTTGAATCGTATATTCAAGAGATGGTTACAAAAACATTTATTATTTTGCTATAGGAACATTTAATGTTTCTAAAAAGAAGTGTGGGAAGAAGGCGAATATCTCCGTGACTGGTATAATAAAACATCAAATAAATTATTTCGGACATCTTACTTGACAGTAACAACATTGCTAATACGGTATCCAACATCCGAAACGGATAAGAACCCGAAGAATAATGTTTCTCTCTGATTTTTAGGTACTTATTTTGTGCCTTTTTTAAGCACTCGCAGCTGGCCGACTCATTCCCTATAAAAATATTAAAAAACTCGGTAAAACAGAAATTCAAAAAGTTTCAACGAACTTGAAAAATTGTATAATACGACCCAGAATAAAATTTGAAAAAAGTTAACTTAACTTAACGAATAAATTAAAGTAATTGTATAAATCTTTATAATTATTGACACATGTAATTATAACTTAAATCTAATTATAATAAACTGCAAAAACCTTCATCAGATTTTTGAAAGAATATTTTATGGGCTTTAGAGCGTTGACCTGTTCGTTTTGAGTTTTTATACAAACTGGTTTGTCTCACTCTACAAAATGTTTTACTACCAAAAAATAATTTTCTTAAAAACAGCGACTCATTCTCTTAATCTCTTTGAATAAGCGATCCGTTATGCTGTTATTCTTTTAAAACATTGTAGTCCGTGACCGTGTATATTGATGTGCGAAATATTTAAATATATTTAACTATCGTGTTTAATTGTTATGTAGGTATACCTCTCGGGTTATTATTCATGTTATGCCAACACCTGTAATTATTAGCAAAACAACAGTCTAAACCGGTTGAATCGTTAAAACGATATCCACCTATACAAAAATCGTTTTATCTAATAGGATGGCGTATTGGAACTTGATTTATATTTTTCTTCCCCTTATCCCACACAAGTGAGATCAGTTATCGTACTACCTCCTTCCACTTGCTCGTCTGTCTGTATTTTTTTTTTTATAAAATGATCAAGTAGTCAAAACTCGAAAAGATCAAAACCGTACAATGATTCTTGTTTCATAACTAAGTATAAAATAACTTAGCATTTCATGGTCTGTCTCACATTATTGCGCAAACTCATTTATCCTTGCAACATCGTTATTGTACTTTATGTATCCTAATTATTTTTAATCCTAATAATATTTTTTAAGAACTCGAGCAAACACTTTTCAAGAAAATACTCTGCAAAAAACATGTTTTTTAAAAATATCACAAACTGGCATTGATAGAAAAAGAAAGATAAAATTGGTAATTGTAAGAAATAGTTTTTTCATTAGTTGTTTGTGGTATTTAAAAATCTTTATAAAACACTTAGATAAAAAGTAATAATGCGTTTTTTTTATTCAACGCGTGTCTAAAGCCCATTTATTTGATTTGATGTCTGAAAAGTTTTTTAAATGTCCAATGAACTTAGTAAACATGCATATCTTTAACTATAAAATTGGTAAAGTTAATAAAAAGAATTTTGGTTTAAAATTTTATTCAGAAAATACTTTTCTTCTACCTTATTTTGTACATTAAATAGTAAAAACCATTAGGATTCGTCAATTGTATTTATTTATTTGACCATAAACGCCAATCGACTGTTATAAAGTTCAATAGTTAATATACTAATACATTGAAAAGTAAGAGAAGAAACAAATAATAAATTAAGGTAACAAAAAATAATAATAATAACGAATGGCAATTTTATAGACTTTACAAGTCATTTCAATTTGAAAAAACAATTTTCTTGTTATTTGTAAAGTAAGAATATCGAAATGGTTTGTAAAAAAAGGCAAGAAAACCGTTAATTTATTGTTGTGGTTTATTTATATTATATTTTTTTGGTATGTACACATTTTATAAATTATCATTTTTAATAATTTAATATTGCAATAATATTTTCCAAAAAACCTTTTTGCACGCATAAACAATACATAGTAGAATGTTTGTATTCGATTATGGATAATATTTTATTATAGGTTATATAACACATTATGTAGGCTTTAGAAGTAGGTAAGCATGTTTAAAACTGTCGTGCGAGAGTTTAAGCCGTTTAATAATATCGATTAAACATTTGTGCTATATTGCATTATTATATTACTAGTTTTAGTTAGTTCAGTACTGTGACAACTTGTAATATTAATGGGTGATCTACTGTCTTATATATATATCTTTAAAGTTTTTGAGCGATAATACAAACTACAGTTGTACACGAAATCGCATAGTTTTATTTTTTACTAAATATGTTTGACATGTATTTGGCTTCAATAACGTTCGTGTACATTTTGTGTCATAGACGAGCAGGAGAGAGTACAGAAGAAGACTTTCGTTAACTGGATAAACTCCTATTTAAGTCAAGTACGTTAAAAATATATTTTATATAATTTGTGTGTTCACTAAATCATTTGCTATTATGGTTTATAGAGAATACCACCGTTGAAAATCGATGATTTAATCGATGACCTCAGAGATGGCACTAAATTGCTTGCATTGTTGGAGGTTTTGTCTGGAGAAAGACTGGTAATAATGATTTATGCTTGATAAAAAAAACCCCATTGTCGTATAAACTAATTAATACAAAATAATAACCCATACACGTTTTCATAAGGCCTTACTTGTATAGCTGGTTAATAATGAACACGTGTGGCTTTCAAATAAATGAATAATACATATTTATTAATTATTTTAATTAGCCGATTGAACGTGGACGCAATATGAGGAGACCGCATTTTTTGAGCAACATAAACACAGCAATACAGTTTTTACAAAGCAAAAGAGTGAGAGCAAATTACAATTAAATAAAATATTTTTTAAATTAATAAATTTAGCTAGACTTAAAATAAAATGTTCTCAAAGAACATAAAAGTATAGAAAAATATCCAAAATAATTATTGGGAGTTTTTGTCTTACTTCAAACAATTGATTAATTTTCCAGATCAAATTAGTGAACATTAATTCGTCGGATATTGTTGACGGAAGGCCTCCAATTGTTTTAGGACTTATTTGGACCATAATTCTTTATTTCCAGGTAACATAACAAACATTATATCATATATTTTGTCATTTGAATGCATAATAATTATTAACCTAACATTATCTATTCTAAGCTTAACCGTAAAACTGGATTTACTGTTACTAACACTGTGAGTACAGATATTAAGCCAGCGGCGTGGCTTAATATAGCTAATAAAGGTTTTAACTTTTATCAATAAATGTTTATCAATCATATGTTTGTTTGATTTTAAGATCGAAGAAAACACAAAAGGCTTGGCGACTTTAAATTATTCCTTTAGTGGGAGCGCAAGTAGTTTGGATAGCATTAAATCACCAACAATGGAAGTACATAAAAAAGCCGACGGAGCTAAGAAATCTTTATTAAAATGGGTCGCGACAGTAATACCTAGGTAAGCATATTATAACGTGTGCGGCGTGCTGTTAAAACAATACTTGTACCCAATTCCAATAACACTTGTATTTTAGGGAAAGCAATATCAACATAAGAGATTTTGGGCCCAGCTGGAGAGACGGTATCGCTTTTCTCACGATCATAGACACTATACAAACTGATCTAGTCGACATAACTACATTAAGACAACAAACGAACCGAACACGTTTGGAAACTGCATTTAACGTAGCTGAACAAGATCTGGGAATCGCTCGTTTACTCGACCCAGAAGTATGTGTACCCGTGTGCTGTGAATATTTTGACATTAATTATTGAAGATCCTTATTAATATTGCACTCGACTTCTGTACAGGACGTTGACGTGGACAGGCCTGATGAAAGGTCGGTGATGACTTACGTTGCCCAATTTGTACATAAATACCCCGAAGTCCGTAGCGATGGAGGAGAATCAATCGACAAAATCCAAAAGGACTATAATATCCTGCTAACGTGGTTGAACGAAAAAACTGAATACCTTTCGTGGTCGCAAAATTTGTCCCAAGACTATGCGGTAATAAAAATATGTTTTTCTATCATATTTTATTTTTTCTTGTATTTTATTATATACCTACATCCTCCTAATAAATGCAGGAATTTGAAAAAACGCAAGAGGAAATCCACTCGATGAGTAGCTATTATAAAAAACTGAAAAAAATATGCAACTCTGGAGCAGCAATATGCATATCGTCGCAATCCTGGAAAGAAGTGGAACGACTTTGGTCGCTGTTAGAAAGTTTGGTAAGTGAAAAAAATATTGGTGTACTTAGACGTTATATTAAGGTGTAATGTTTAATGCCAGTAAACGTATGGGCTAGCCACTGATTGTTAATGTAATAATGTTGGAATTAATTTAATAACAATAATTGTAATTGGTACAAGTTCTAGACAGTGTGTTAGAAATTTATACTTTGTAAGTCATATTCATATTTTCAAAAAAAAAAATATATGTTTTTACAGATGAATAAGTGGCAATGGCAACTGGATCGTTCTTTGCCCGAACCATTTAAAGCTATCGGGGAATGGATCACTAAGGCCGAGCAACTTATAAACAACGATTCTATTCCTTCTGTAATGAACGAACAAACCGCTGTGATAATTAGTAAAAAGCTCGAAGATCATAAGGTGAACCGGTTGAAGAAAATTTAGCTTGTGATTTAATCGATGTAGTGTCGTGTGTTAGTATAATATTGCGATATTGTGTTTTAGTTGTTTTTCGGTGATTTGCCGGAAGTTCAAGACAAATTCAATGAACTTCTATCAAAATGTAAAACTCAAAATAGAGAAGTTCAAAATTTATCCAGACGTCTTCGCAACACTGAGGTGGAATCGCATAAACGGCGTTGTCGTCTTAAGTTTTTGGAGCACAAGGTACGCATTTATTAAAAAAAAGAAAGTAATACAAATTTTAAACGAAACTATATAATCTGTAGCAAGAACGTCTGCATTTGGTTACTGCGTTTGAAACGATATTAAAAGCATGTCGGCCATTAGGGCCTTGGGATTAAGAAAATGTTATTGGGGTTTTAATTTTTTTAGTGTTGTTTGATCGCATTTTTAAACTTGACCGAAAACAAACTAAAAGCATGGACTGTGAAGTACGGTCGTCAACAAGAAGTGCAGCGTTTATTGGAGAAATACAATAACTTCGTGATAGGCAACAACATCTTCCAAGAGTTTAACAAGGCTTTCGTAGACATGCGAAATGTGTTCCAAGAATACAAACACGAATGCCGCATAGAATACAAGGAAACACTGGCCATAGATAAGTTTCTGCGGCAAACGGCCGAACAGTGGAAAAGTATAGCGATGGAACTCAGGTGTGCTCAGAGTATGCTCGAAGAAGTCGTTTCTTATTGGAGACGATGGGAGACTTCACGCGCTGACATGCAAACTTGGTTGCGGGTCGCCTCTACCAAAATAAACCTTTCACCCGAACAGCAAATCGAGTTTTTCCAGGTACCATCTTCGTGGAATCATCTTTGTCTCCAATGTACAACAGAATAATAAAATACGATTTCGTTTCTATAGGACATTGGTGTTTGGAAAGAAAAGTACGAGTTGCTCAACGACACCGTCAGTTTTTTGGTGGCCACGTCCGAGGACTCGATCGCTGCAGAACTAAAGCAAGAATTCCTAACAATCACAAAGATGTGGGACGATATATTTTTAGTAAGTGTGCGCCTCTCATAATAATAAAAAAAAAACATTATTATTATTACAACTTTTTTTGTATACAGAAAACTAAAGACTACATGCACTCTGGGGATATGATCAGAAATAGGAAAGAGTATTTCGACGGGTTGGACATATTGCGAAAATGGATCGTACGTGCAGAGCACGTTATGTCATCCGTGCATTTAAGTTCATCCGGAAACATCAAAGACTACCTTAAAGATATTCAAGTAAGACATTGTATAGTGTTTGCCAACGGGTTTGATTTTGAAAACTAAATTGCGTTTAGACGTTACAAGTCGAGTTGGATCAAATGGACGAACTGTTCAAAGCAATCAGTAAAAAGTTCCAAGTACTCATCAAAGACTTGACAAGAGAAGAAGTTAACGAAATGATGGCTTGCGTCAAAAAAGAAAAAGGTAAACTTTTGTATTATGTTACCTAATTATTAAATTAACGCGTTTGGTATTAATATTAACCAACTGTTGGATTATTGTGTTTAAAGAGTCTCTTGTAAACATAAGGGCGTCTATACCAAATCAACTGAACGCTCTTCATCACATGTTAGTTCAGTACGATGCTCTAGAATCTGGACAAAAAGAAATTAATGAGTGGCTTGACCACTGTGAACAGTTTATGTCCACATTAAAGTTGAACGATAATCAAGATAAATTACAAAGGGATCTTGAGAGTGTAAAGGTAATAGAATATTTTCGGTTCTATTTGTTTTCTTAAATTATATTACTATAGAAGAGTAATATTTTGCATAATTTTTACTTATATATAAGAATATCATCATACGGATGTCATATTATCAGTCGATGTTATCGAGTAAAAATAAAATATTTCAAAGCATTATAAAGTCTATCCAACCAGATCAGACTCAAGGAAATAACGCTGAGTTTGTACAAACAATGGCCGATTTAAATGCCAGATTTTCAAGGGTAACTCAAGACTGTCATCAATGGGAAACGGTAAGGTTACAAATTATATGAATTAGTAGGCTGTAGAAATTAGTTAAACAATTAATTAACTATTTAACCCCTGTATATGGTTTATATTAGAAACTCCAGCAAACTCAGCGCTGTTGGCATAACTTCACAGAAGTAGAAAAAGTTATTTTGGACTGGGTTGAAATAAGTGAGCGCATACTTTCAGAAGAAAAAACTAGTTCTAGACAAATTCTGGAATCCCAAAAAGTAAGCCAAGCAGTTTTGGTTATCCTGCAGTGTACATATTGTATTTATATCTTTTTTTAGTCGTATCTCGAGTATGCAAACCACAGCAAATGGATTAACGAATTGGACATGGTAGAAGGTGAACTTTTGCGATGTATGCCAATACTTGAACAAGATCAAATAAGAGAGAGATCGAAAAAACTGAAAATGAAATTAAAAGTGAGATATATTTACTATAAAGTTTAAACTTATTATTTTCGCTGACTTACTTATTTGTAATATTTCTAACTAAAATTTGTTTGTTTCGATAGGATAATCAAAACAAAATTCCGAATTACATTTCAAGAGTTGAATACAAGCTGGATGAAATAATGTTCAATCAATGTATGACCGAAGCTGAAAAAGAATTAAACTTAGAAAATCAAGCCCTTATTAAAAACGAAGACGTAAATATGCTACTGCAACGCAACAAAGTAAATTAAGCTAGTTTTTAATTTAAAGTTTATTTGATATCAACTAAACATTTAAATACGTCATGGTTGATATTTGAAATAATACACAAAAAACATAATTAAAAAATGTTTTTGATACTTTTGAACGACACACTGAACAACTGATAAGTTAATAAAAAACATTTTTAGGAGTTCTTCGACAATGGCATTATAATGAAAGAAATCAAAACGAGTTTAAATAATATGTCCAGCACTGTGAATAACATGCCTGACGCATCATTCGAGTCGAATTTCAATCATGCTGTTCAACGTTTTGAAAACTTACAAATGAAAATATCCGAAATGAGACAGCAGTACACGCAAATTCCTAATCAGTTTGAAAACTATAAAATTAAATATAATGATTTGCAAAAATGGATGGATTCGGTCGATGTGAGTGTAGATAAGTTATTGAAGTATTCGTTAAACGACGACGACTTCGAACGCGAAAAAAATATATTTCAAGTAAGTTCAAAAAGTCCTAACTATTTTATGAACTTTTGGATAAAACGGTTTTTTATTTTTACTACTTAAAACAATATTTTGTTTCCTTTAGGATATTTGTCGCGAAGTGGATAACAAACGTGACGATATAAAGTGGATGGTCCAAGTACTAGACAGTTTATTGCCGTTTATACCTATTGACCAACAACAAATCGAACAGCAACAATTAGAAATATTAATTAACAGATTTAAACATATAATACCAAATATTGATATAACCATAACTAAAACTGAACATTATAAAAAATGTGTCACGTATAGAAAAGAAGTTAGAGAAGTAAGTGCACATGCGAAGTGGTGTTTTGTTTTGTTTGATAATACTTATTTTCTTCTATTATACCACACTTTTTTTTTAGATCGGTGAAATATTAGACCGGGTAAAAGATAGTCAATCGACAAAAAATTCAGCTTCTTTTGAAGACTTGAACGAACTCGTCAAAAATCAAGACGAAATTGTCACAGATCTTGAAAAAACCCGGAGCAGTGTAATGTCTGCCCTACAAAAAGGAAAACAGTTAACGAAAACCACAACTTCTACCCCGCAGTTTATTTCACAGCTCGTTTCAAAACTTGAGACCGATTGGAGTTATTTGTACAATGAATCCATAAATAGATTAAATAAACTGAAAAATGCCCAGAAACTCACGGTAGAGTATAATAAAACCAAAAACCAAATTACAGAAATTCTGGAAATGGCCGAAAACCAATTAAAAATTGCACCGGAAGGCAATAAGCCCAATTCGAGAGAGATATCGTTGCAGCTGAGAAGCATGCAAGAACTTAGTCTTGCTCTGCGGGAAACGGCTGAAAGCAAGTTAACCAAACTAAGAGATATACTGCAGAATTTGCATGCCCCTGAAGCTCAACTCAGTCTTGACAGCGAAGTAAGACTTTTAACTTTTAATTTGATTAACGCGATAAAAAACACTAATGTTTTCCCTTGCAGGTCAACTTAATCGAGAGTCAATTGGTGAACACTATTCAAACCGTTGACAGAGAGTCTCAAAAATTGGAAAAACTAGCAATTAAGTTGTCTGAATTAGATTCGGGTTTAAGTAAAATACACGTTTGGTCTGTGGAATCTGCTCCGGCTGATATACAAAGAATACAACAAGATCAATCAAATCCTGAAACTAGGGCCCGTGGAATTGGTCAAGTACAAGATGAATTGCAAAAAAAACGGAACAGTTTGGAGCGTCTAACAGCAGATTTACAAAGTTTTGAGAAGGGTATAAATATTATAGTAGCAACAATAATTTCATCTTTAGTTGTATTAGGTACTTCTTTGGCCTTTGTTTGTCTTACTTATTGGTTTTGCAGATATGTAGTTTTTTTTTTTCGATGTTAAAAATCATAAGTTATTGTTTCTTCCAGTTGGGTTAAATATTTTGAAAATGTCAAGTCAAGTCATGAAACTAAATTAATTTTTTTAATCTCTAAATAAATAATTTCTCTATAATTCTCTATAATTTCTCTATAATTTCTAATATTTTCCTAAAACATGTAACAAATTTCAAACAGCTGTAAATATAATATATTACAAAAATACATGCAAAAACACTGTTAGAAATGTAAAACAACAATTTCAAAAATTAGCCATTGGAAGTTGTTTTGTTGGAGAGAATTAACATAAAACAGAGTTATTAGCTTTTAGTTCTGATATCGATTCACGTGTATCCTCATAGATTATTTTTTTTTTAAACTTCCAAATTATCCACCTATCTATCTTTTTCCCAACTGTTTTACATTAAACTCCTTCCAGTATTTATTTTCTATTTGGTAAAATATAAATATTATACATTTTTATTGGAAATTCAATACAACACTTTTCGAGCGACTTAATCGCTTTTTGTATGGATTTTTTAAATTATCTTTGCTTCTCAAACCTAACCGATTTTTAATATTAACGTTTTAGAAAATGAAACAAATGAAACTCAAAAGTTACGACAAGATTTAGACGAAGTAAGGCTATCTATCTTGAATTTGGAAAGTAACACTAACCAACAAAATCAAGAGATAGAAAATCATCTCAATGAGTGGCAAATTCAAAAATGTAAACTAGATGACATTAGAACATGGATAGAAAACACAGAGAAGACAATCAACATAGATTACGTCAAGCCAATTGGCTTGGAAATGGCAAAGGATTGGCTAAAAATAGCAGATGTAAGTAATTGATTTGTTGAGCTGTAATACTATTTTTGGTGAGAGCTAATAAAACAATATTTTAAAATATTTTTGTAGGTATACATTAAGCATAAATACATTTTTCGGTTTGTTGATGTTATATTGTGTTTGATATTTTAGGCAATCAATTTGGACTGTCAAGAAAAAATAGAAAAACTGAAAGCCATAGCTGTGGAAAACAACACTACAGTAGTTCTAAATGAAGTTGACGCTATTCAATCTCGGTGCATATCAGTACAGTCGTCTGCGGTGCAACAGAGTACTCGTTTACAAAGGCTTGTAACAAACTGGAACGATTTGAACGACAGGGTTGAAAAAATCGAGAATAAAATGAAGCAACCATTACTTAGGGAATTAAATAATGAATCGATCACACCGTCAATTAGCGAAGACGGGCTTCAGAAGATGTTGCTAGAAAACAAAGTAAAACATTTCTACATAATTTATATTAAATTTTAGCAACTAAAAATGTTTTTTTTTTTTTAAAGGCCTTATTCCAAGAGCTTACCGAGTGCCAAAGTGAACTCTCTAATCTTTCTCAATGTTTAAATGGCTTCTATCAAAATTTCTCACACGAGACTACAAATGACATAAAAAATAAGCTGTCCAATATGAAACAAACAAATAACGAATTTTTGAAAGACGTTCATGAAAAAATACAAAATATTTCTAATGTTATGTCAGCGAAGTATGTATAATCTTAATCTAATTTTTTATCACGTGTATACAAATTTCATATATTATATATATTTTCCATGATAAATATTATATTTATTTTACTCATTTAATTACTTAAAAATTAAAATAATCAAATTATATTTTAAAAATAATTTAAAACAATAAAAAATTAATTTTAATGTAATATTTATGGTATACAAAACCATTTAAATAATTATGTATGTTTAGAAAAGAGAATGCTGTTCAAATAAATGGATTTTGCGAATGGCTTAATGAAATGGATTCCAAAGTAAATTCGTGTAACGTGGTTCCATTTAACGCAATTGAAGACACGTTGAAAAAACTTCGTTTGCTCGCCGAAGAGCATATAGAAAAACAACCTATGGTCGATGAGATGAAAAAAAAATTAGTTCATTCTAAAGACAACCAAGAAATTCAGCAAGCAGTTACTAAGTTCAAAGTAAGTATAGTAGTTAAGCTCGTTGCACAGATATTTACAGTAATGCGTACATTTTACAGAATATTCAAGATCTATTGCAACAAAAAAAAATAGTATTAGAAAAAGTCAACGAGTTTTTCATTTGGAACGATGCTCTACTTGGGAAATTGGGACACGCCGAGTTCAAGTTCGGTTGTAACCAAATTGATAACATAGCCGACGAAACTACCAAATCCATAGAAGAAATAGAAAAGTGGAAAATTGACACAGAATCGATTGAAAGTTTGCTTGTACAAAGTAATACTACGATATGCGGGTCGTCGTTTAAAGATAAATTCGATCAATCGGAAGAGAAAATTAACAAAATACAGTAAGTAAAAATGACATTTCATGTTGTCAGTAATTAAAATTTTAAATAATTTTTTTTCTAATTTTCTAGGGAAAAATTAAAAATCAAAGAAGAAAACGAACAGAAAATCAAAGAGTGCCAAACGAGCGTGAACAACTTGAACAGACATCTCATTCAGGAAATCGAACAAGTGGAAAAAAATTTAAACTACCTCACAACGTCGTTAAAACACTACAACGAAGTGCCGAATACGATTCCGAAGCTTCGGGAATTGGTCAATTACACTTTGTTGGACGAGAACTTAAAACAACTAGAAGCCGAAAGTCAGCAGCTCGTTCAACTGGACAAAACCATGTCGGCTCAAGTGCAAAACAATATTGTGGAAACGAATTTAAAGTTGGCCGATTTGAAATCCCTGTCTGAACACTATATGACACATATGGAACGGATCAAGGACAATTGGTTAACGTACAATAGTATCAAAGAGAATATGCTGTCGACTAAAAAAGGCTGCACGGCAATACTGAAATCTGTGAAACAGTCAAACAACGTATCCGAAGCACACAGTGTAGATGAAAAATACCAAGATGTTATTCAGCAAATATCTGCGGTGGAAAATGATTTACCATCGATGAAAGAAGCCGTTTCGAACATAATCGCCGAAGCGGAACATTTGCCAGCGCTTAACGTGGACAACATATCGCACGAGTACGAGAACGATTTGGAGAGTTGGAAAAAATATTTCAACGACGTGAAAAAACAAGCCGAAAAAATGCACTCACAATTCGTGATATGGAAACAAATCAATCAAAACAAAGAAAACATTTTGCAATGGTTATCCGATATGAACGTCGAGCTCTTGGACAGTACTTCCAGTTTTGACGGTATTGACAAAGTAAAAACTAAACTTGCCAAATATTTAGAAGAAAAACCGCATTATTTGGAAATAAATCACAACATCAACGAGAAAGTCAGGAAACTAGCGAAATTCAATGAAAACAAGCCCAGCTTTACTTTGGACACGTTGTGTGAACTGATTAATGAACAATTCAGCGGTGTCGACAGTGTTGCAAACAACCTAGCAGGCCTCATCGACGTATACTCCAAGCAAGAAGAACAAGTGCGGAGTGAAATAAAAAAACGTTCGTTGGATATAAATAACATCAGAGAAAATGTAACAAAATGCGACAACCTAAGCAACGGCTTGGAAGCGTCGTTGAACAACTTGAAGTTCTGTTTAAAGTGCAAAGATGATTTAATCAAAATGAATTTGAGCATAGACGCAATCAATCATTCTGTAACCGAAATTAGCGATTCGTTCCCTGTATTTTCCGAGTCAAATACGGTTAAAGAATTGAAAAGTCTAAAAAACCGATATGAAAGTGTCGTGCAGCAAGTGGACAAAGTGGAAACCACATTGATGTCCTATTTGAAAAAACATCTAGAAGAAGATTTGAATAATATCGAACATAGTACAAGGAGTCTCCACGAGAAATTGACTTGGTGTAAACCGGAAGACGAAGTACAAAAAGATCAGCTAGAAATGAAACTTAAGTCCGTGGAAGAAATCAAAAATAATATAACTCCTTGCAAAAAACAAAGAGCCAAAATAACCGTAGTTTTGGACGAATTAAATCAATATTCCTCTACGGACTTCAATTTAGAAAATTTAACCGTTTTCAGTGAAGTATTGAGCTCGACTCTTGAGAAAACCGAGAAAGAAATTTACGAACGAGAAGAAGAACTCAAAGAATCTATTAGCGTTTGGGACGAATGTGATAATTGTTTGCAGACAATTGTTCCGTCGTTGAATATCTTAGAAAATGATATCAAGGACTTTGTGGAAGTACCTATAGATGTTCACTCAATAGATTTGACCCGAGGCAAAATATCTGACTTGCAGCCCAAAGCCAAAAAAATCCGGCAATTGTTTTCCGACTTTTCGACTAGTGTGGACAAATTAAAAAGTGATCACACTAAGTCCTTAATGGATAATCAGGGCCAGAAAATCAAGAAAAGATTAGAGTCATGTGAAAGTAGCATTGATTCAGGTTTGGAAAAAATAAAAAAATTGAACAATATGAACGATAAATTCAACAAGTCACATGGTGTTATTGAGAAGTCTATGGACAAGTTGATGAGTCAAATTTATGACATTGAAGTCGCTCAAACCGGTGATAAAAAATCAATTCAAAACGTACAATCGGATTTATCCACTTTAAAAAAATTCAACAAACTATTGGAAGATAATCAACAGAAAATAAATGATACAACGGCAAAAGGCGAGGATATGTATTCTGATATCACAACAGATAATCGAGAAGAGATTAGAACTAAACTAAAACAATTGAGAACAACATTAGAATTATTAAACGAAAAATGTGGTAACTTAACAAAAACCATCGAAAACGTATTAGTTCAAAAATCGTCGTTTGATGAGAGTTATAATCAAATTGAAAAATGGCTAACTGAAACGGGCGACAGATTAAATGTCTGTGAAACTATTAAAAAAAATACTATTAGTGACAAAAGAATGAACGTGAACGCTTTAAAACAACTGAAACAAGATTTAGACGCATACAAAGAAGTAATTAATAAGCTAGAACAAAAAGAATCTGAATTGAACGAAAAAGATACAAATTTAAAAATGACAAATATTAATGAAAAATATTCCAACCTTCTGTTAGAAACTAATAAACAGTTGTTGGTGAATGAGGACATCTTAAAAAATCATGAATTATATGTTGATAGCATTGAACAATTTAAAAATTACCAAAGAGTATTATTCGATGATCAAAAGTTATCTGGTGGCGATATTTGTGATCTTGTCCCAGAAGACATACAACATATAATCGACCAGAGACCTGAAGGTGATTTAATATTTGAAAAATGTAAAAAATTAAGTGCCACCGTGTTGAAAGAAACGGACGAAAGCGGCAAGGAACTAGTACAAAATGAAATTGAAAAGTTAAAAGGTGACTGGGAAAGTTTGATGTCAGATTTTCAAAATAATTTGAGCATTGTAAATAAAAAAAATAGCCAGTCCAAGGAAATGCTGTTGAAAATAGAAAACCTGGACAAATATTTCAAATCGGTCGAAACCCAAGTTAATGACAGATGCTTGAAAAATGGACTTGAAAGCAAACGAAAATACTTGAAAAAATTAAAATCATTTGATAAGGACATTACACAAAAACACAATGATATTAACGAAGTAGAATCGGTTATTTCCGAGTTGACACCCGACCTTCATACTTCACTAATTAATTTAATGAAAACTTATCAGACAATTAAAACAAAAACCAAGGCAAGTAAAAAAACAAAAAAACAAATTTTAAAATCGGCAGAGGGAGAAATAAACCCCATTTTTATATGTCTATATACTTAAGGACGTTTTTTTAAATTTTAGGAGGCAATTTTACGGTATGACAACTTTGTTAGAGAACATCAGCAATTCGATACAGATTACAAAAAATTCAACGAATCACTTCGACATCTTTCAGAAGATCTTCAACAGCACTGTGAAGTTGTTGGCGATTTAGGATTGCTGCAGGTATTTTCAAAATATTGTATATTTTAATGTTATTGTAATTATTATTATACAATTTTACCAATTTTTATTCTCTTTCTTACAGGAAAGACAAAAGAAATTGCTTTCATTATCGGACACGAAATGTCAACTTAGTGTGCAATACGATTCACTAGCAAACCAAGCAGAAAAACTCTACTCTCAGACATCTCCCGACGGGAGAGAAGTTATAAGACAGAAAATGAAGTAAACATTTTATAGACTGCTTATTTGTTTGTGGATACAGATAATAACAACTGTGATTTCTACAGGGATTTGCGAAGCACGTGGGATACAGTTTCAGACGGTTTACAGACGAGCCTTACCAAATTCGACACTTGTTTAATGCAGTTTGCCGAATTCTCATTGTCTCAGGAACAACTCACAAAGTGGCTAAACAACATAGAGCAATCCATGCAAAACCATACCGAGACCAAAGGAACGCTACAAGAAAAGAAAGCTCAACTGCAGGTATATGATTTATTTAGAAATGTTAATTAATTTGCTATCTACAAAAAAATTATAACTGTAATGTGTATATATTTTTAAAACGACTATAAATAATTTGAACAACTGATGACGAAATATTCTCAGAATTTGTATTAATCAACACATAAAGCGACAGTCTTAATTAAATTAACATTGTATTCCCGTTCAGAATCATGTTGTCATAAATCAAGAAATCATGTCGCACAAGCCATTAGTGCAGTCAGTGTGTACTAAAGCTCAAGAACTCGTTGACCAAACTAAGGACGATACCTTAAACGTATACTTGGATTCAATAAAAAATCTTTACGAAAAAATCGTTGTTAAATCCATGGTAAAAAATAAATGTAGTGAATAAAATATGAAAAAGGGATTTATAAAAAAAAAAAAAATGTTTTCTAGGAATTAATGGACGAGTTACAACTTTCTGTGCGAAACCATGAAGATTTTAATAAAGCATGTCAAAAACTAGAGAAAGATCTAAAGGATGAACGAGACAAAATACTAGAATTTAATAACGTCACGGGAGAGAAGGATACTATTTCTAGTAGAATCGCATACTTAAAAGTAACTACAAAAAAGTTTAATAACTTTTAAAATATTTTTTACGATTCCTTTTGCAATAAAACAATTAAATCTATATGAATAATAATGTATAATGAATTATATTGATGTTTGATTGCTGGTACAACTGTATTTTATGACCCATGTTCTTATTGAAACATATTAAATTTTTAGACTAAAAAATCAGAGATTGAATCAAATAAAGGCGTGCGTGAACAACTTAATATATTATTTTCACAAGTGATTCAAACAACAACGAAAAATGGAGTTGACGCCATGGAAAAAGAATTATCAAAAATGGAAAAAGATAAGAGTCAGCTTGTAACTCTAATAGGTAATATATATTAAATATTTGTATATATTCACCTTGGAAATTGGCAATTAGCATCAGTTTTTCATTCCCTTATAAAACATACTTGACATTAATTAATAGTGGTTAATCTGTGACAAACTAAAATTAAAATATTAATTTTTTATAATTATTATAATTTTTGTTGATAGTTTAAAAAATCCAATTCAAACATGTTCACCCAATTTCAGTATGAAAACACAATATTTTTTACTGACTAAAAAGTCACCACGATTTATTTTTATCTCTTTTCAATCTATAGTTATACATTTAAACTATTGTAAGAATTTGATTTAAATTTATTTAATATTTATAAAATAAATAAAATACATTGCGTGAATGCGAGTAAGGCGATTCATTTTTTAAAATTTTTCTTGACAAGATGAAATTGTGGAAAAATTGGAAAATGTATCAGCACAGTGGATGGATTATGAAACAAAATTAGAAGAATTTGCAAACTGGTGTAAATCCACAGAAACCGTCTTTAAGGATCAACAACTGCAACCAACAGCCGAAAAAAAATTCAACCAATTACAGTTGTACCTTGAAAAACGAGAAGAAGTCTTAAACTACGAATCGAAAATCGAAAATTTTGTTGACCATTCTAATAATCTGTTGCATGTCAGCGGTGAAGAACGACTAAAACCGTTTATACATCAAATTGGCACCAAGTATGTGTATATTTATGTATAGTTATTTACCAGCATTTTTTTTTTTGTTTACCTATATAATAATCGCGTTAATAACTGTACAGGTACCAATTCGTTCAGATGCTGAGCAAAGAAACGGTCAACAAATGGCAAACTATCAGTGATGAGCACAAGAACTTCGACGATAAACTAAAAGAGTTTAAACTATGGTTAGAACCGATAGATGGCATGCCTGACGATATTATGAAAAATACCGATATGGACTTAAACAGCAAACTGTCGATGTTGCTGAAAATATGCGAAAACCCGGAACAAGTATCAACAAAAGTCTCATTGTTATGCTCGTTAGGCGAAAACTTATACCCTGACACGTCTGCTCCAGGACGTGAAAATATCCGACAGCAGCTCAACGATGTTCGCAGCAGGTTGTGAAAATTAAAATGGTTTGGTACGAACAGTTGCTTGACTTACTTGAGTTTTACAGGTGGGACACTTTGGATAATAAAATCAAAAGCGCGCAAAAAAATCTCGAAACACAATCGCAACAATGGAATAGCTATCAGGAATCGATTTTACATATTATTAACTGGCTGGATAATATCGAGAAAAATGTTCTATTCAACCAATCGAACATTGGAACGTCTCTGCAAGAAATAAGATCGAAACTTCTGAAACAAAAGGTATTATGTAAAATTAAAATAAAACAATTTCGGTGATTGTAACTTTTTGTTATTCGGATTTGCAAGGCGATAATGCAAGAAATCATTTCGCAAGGTCGCGTGATCGAGACAATTGTGGAAAAAGGAAAGACCATACAAAAACCTCAAAACGAAAACGATTTAGAAAAATCGCTTAAAGACAGGTACGATCTGTTACGACAAAAGATCAACGACACAATAGCACAACTAGAAAATTACCTGGAATCCTACCAACAGTATCAAGATTTGTCAAAAACATATCAAGATACTCAAAAACTACTTTGGGCTCAATTATCCACGCATACTGGTTAGATATTGACCAAACATTACCAAAAATTGGTAATTTTTATAACCTGAGTAAATTGTCTGTCCATAGATTATTCGGGCAACAAACAGATTTTAGAGAGCCGTCTGAAGAAAATCGATGCTATACAAAAATCGTTCGACAACAATAAGTCAATTTTATTGGCAATGCTTAATTTCGTTGAAAGTTCTAAGCAAAATATTCCTCAAAAGGCTGTGGAAACAATGACAAGAGATCATGTCAATTTCCAGTAATATATACGTCATTTTTTTATCTACTTAAACACTATCGTTTTTATGATTTTTTTTTTTTAATTAGATTCGAACAAGAAAAATTTCAATCTTCCCTAAACGATTTACTAGAAGGCCTTCAAAGTAGAATCGACCAGTGGGTAGAGTTTGAAAACCTAATACAACAGTTGGTTTCGTGGCATAACGATACAGAAAAGAAACTGCAAAATTGTTCGGATAAGGCTACGTTGGAAGAAAAATCTCAACAGTATAATAAATTCCAAGTAGGTTGCAACGTTACGTTGAACAGTGTACATTGCAAATTACATGCAAAGTATTGTTGTACAGTATAACAAATTATCATATATTACATCTTTAAACAATTTTACAAAAATTTTACTATGTTGTAAAAAAATAGACAAAAAAAGTAGAACCAATTTTTTTTTTTAATATCTAGGATTTACAAAAAGAAATCGAAGGTAAATCAAATTTAGTGAAAGATCTTATCTCGTACGCCGATCATCTTCAGCAAGTAAGAAATTACATTATATATACTTATTTACCTTGTTTACAATATGTTAGTCTACTAAAACAGTATATTCAGACTTCATTAGTTTTTCTCTAGGAGCAAATGGACTGGCAATTGTGTTTTTCATCCTATAATTCAACAAAGCATTATAGTTATTTTCTTATATTATCTTTTTTCATAACTTTATTTAGTTTTTACGTTTAAAAGTAGTCTTTTTATCGATTTGTAATATTTTACTTATAAAAAGTTATTTTTTTATCCTCGAAATCGATATTTAAAATCCTTTTTTCAGTCGTTGAGAGAAGCCATAACACATAAAGATTCAGATGTTCAGCAACCGGCAGAAATACAGTCTTCGGGAGAAGCACGGTTATCAACTAGAGTGAAACAAATTTCCTCACGTTACCAATCGATGCAAACAACAATTAAGGTAATGAACCCACTATTTATATTCAAACGACTCAATATACACATATTATAGTCATGATATATTTTATATTAACGATTGTAGGACATTTTAAATAAGTGCCACGAGTCGATCGTCGTTCATCAAGAGTACACCGACAAGTACAATGAATGTTCCATTCAACTTACCAACGTCAAAGAGCAATACGCGGTAGCGTGTCAACCCGGGTCTTCGTCGCAAAAGGTCCATGAATATTTAATACAGAAATACGGGATATTAAACAGTTTGCTGGACACTAAACCGAACGTTACACACTTGCTGAACAGTTGTACAGATTTGAGCGATAAACTATACCTTAGCACGTCTCCCGGTGGCAGGGATATTATCAAAAATCAGTTGGACGCACTTCAGGCAACGGTCGAAACGTTATACGATGATATTTCAACTCAAAACCGAGACGTTAAAGATCAGCTGACGCGTTGGGGCGGGTTTGAAGAAATACACAACGAGTTGAAACAGTGGTTCAACGAGATGAAACAAATACTGAATAAAGATTTAGTGCTGAGGCCGACGTTGGACGAGAAGAAAATGCAGTTGCAATTTTACCGAGACATGCTTCAGGCGGCCAACAAACGAAAGGAAGATGTGACCAAACTAAAGGAATACGCTAACCAATTGAAAATGGCCGAAAACAACGACGCAATGTTTATGTCCTTTGACAAACAACATGCGGAAATACTGAACGAAATTCAGCATTTCGTCGATAAGTACGAGGCAATCGTAAAAGACCACGAGCAGTATACAAAAGCTGTAATGGAAATGCAAGAGTGGCTCGACGCGACCCACAATACTTTATTGCTATGGAGCGACACAAACTTGGAAAAAGTGTCATTGTTAAGCAATGTTGACCGCATAAAAGTAAGTTACCCAATCCGTAACATTTAAAATTTATATAAAAAATACATTATAATTAAAAAAAATTTCATCTTATTTGTTTTTCTTCAGAATTTGTTAGCCAGTCTTACCGGAGAAGAAAATAGAATTTATAACATACAAAAATTAGCAGAAAAAGTTATTCCCGAAACAGAACACCTCGGTCAGCTCAATATAAGGTCACAAATTGATTCATCGCAGCAAGATTGGGAAGGCCTTATAACAACAGTCAAGTAAGTATTTTTTAAAAATTAAAAAATATATAAAAAAAATTGTTTACTAACAGAAATCATACTTAACGATTTTCAATTTAATTGGTGATAAAAAAATTGACCAAAGTTGAGGAAAGCCAGTATTTTATTTATGTTGGCTTACATATTGGACTTATTAATTATAATATTAGAACAGTTAAGTTTTACCGGTAAGTTACAAACATAACCATAATACTAGTATACTTACAATTAGTACTAGGTTTATGGTCATAAATTATTACAAAAGTACAAAAAATAATTTGTATACATTTTTTAAATATATAAAAATACCTTTTTTGATTGATATATACATTTTTTTAAAAACAAATAATCGAAATATGAACAAATAGTTATTTTAGTAGCGAAAAAAATATCGGATGAAAACAAATAGGTTTAATTATTGTTCCGGCACAAATAGGAGACCAAAATATTTTATGAACTACCACTCGTTCAGTTTGGTTAATATTCCGAAACTATCGTTTAATAATATTTCCGGATAATGAAACAATTTAGTTTTTAATGTTAATTACTAGTAACAATAATATAACTATTATTGTTATTATTTTTTAGATCATCAATAGAAGCTTTAGAAAAAAAAATTAACAGTTGGAATGAATTTGATATACTCAAAGACACGTGTTCGACATGGTTACGCGACACTGACAATAAAATTCATGCAATTGATTTAAAAAGTTCGTTACAAGAGAAAAAAACTCAATTTGAAGAACTTAAGGTACTTTTTTAGTGTGATATAGTTACCATCTTTTTTTCATTCTCGTTTTTCAACATATTATAGTATTAGTTGCTACTACGAATCGATACTAAGACAAACTTTTTTAACAGTAAAAAAAAATTTTTAGAAAGAAAGATTAATTTAGATATGTTGTACTCAATGATTAATATAATTGTGTAATTATCAGGAGCTTCAAGGAGTGATTCGAGCTAAAGAATTTGAAGTAGATGCTATCACTGAAAAATCTCAAAATCTATATGCTATGACAATGACAAATAAAAACTTCCAAATCACTGAAATCGTGCAAAAATACCATCAACTTTCTTCGAAAATGAAAGTAAGTTTTTATTAATATATGAATGCCAAGATCCGTGTTTACTTTGAAAATATAATATTATCCACACGTTACTTTTGTAGGAATTAATCGGAAAATGGCAACAATATGTAAACGACCATTTGGAGTTTGAAACTAGTTTAAGTGAAGCTGTAATTTGGTTGGGAACTATTCACGATAAGCTCACAAGCTGTTCTGATTTTAATTCAACAAACAAAGCCGATTTAGAAGAAAAACTTCTAGTCATTCAAGTATATAGTTTTTATAATGAATATTATCTAAACTAATAGTTTATGCATACAAAATATTGATTTATAAAAATTTAGAGCCAAAGGGTCACAATTAGTTTGACTTTTTAGATTTGCATTTAAGTTAATAAATAACAATTTTCCAGGAAATATTATTATACAAAGATGATGGGTTTAGCAAAATACAAAACTGTGTCAAAAAAGCGCAAATAGTGCTAGCCAACACTGCACCAGAAGGTCATAAACCAATTAACGAATCGCTTATTTCTCTACAAGAACATTGGAGCAATTTGGCTTCTAAAATGGTTAAAACTAAGGTAAAGGCTGTTAGACGACTTAGAGTATTTTTACACTGTTAACATGCTATGTTATAAAAAAAAATAGGCAGATATTGATGAGTCCATTCAAAAATGGTCAGGATTTTTGGAGCACGTGAAACAAGTAGGAAATAATGTAGGCAAATTTGAGGAAACGTTATCTGAACTGGACATTTTTGAAGCAACGCTGTCTGAAAAACGAAGCCAGTTGGAAAAAATAAAAGTAACTATTTACTTTCCACGAATAATAAATCTAATGATTACAGAAGCTAGTTTTTATGTAATGCATTTATTCGTTACACATTCATTCCTGTGCTAAAAATTTTTTTTCAAATTTTAGCTGATATATGTTGTAGTTATAAACCTAAAAGCTAAGCAGTATATTTTAACATATTATTTTTAACATATCACATTATTTTAGTACTTAGATGAAAAAATTCGTTGTGAAAAAGTCGAAATGGATTTATTGAAATCTAAAGCGTATGAAATGATCAAGAGTGGACATCAGAGCAACGCAGTAGCTGAAACACAAGAAGTGTTCACGAAGTTCGACAATGTTTCAGATAAAATTAAGGTATCCCGACTTATTTTTTTAATTACCTAATATTATAATACTAAATACTCTGATCAGTTGAATTCGCCTTGTTGAAAAAAAACACATTATTGTAAAACAATACCTTCTCAGCTCCGCATCTAATATGAAAAAACAAAAAGTAAAATAAATATTTTTTTAAAATTTAAAACTATTTTCCAGGCATTACTTTCTCAACGAGAACAGCAATACAAAGACCACAAAACCTATAAAGAAGCGTACGAGGAATTATCAAACTTTTTGAATAGGTCAAAAGAAAAAATACCCTCATTGAAAGAACGGCCTTTGAGCGATAAAATGGCAATTGAACAAGCTATAGCTCCGTTGGAATCTCTTTTGAATAAAAGAGCACAAGGCGATCTGTTATTGGACAACTTAAACACCATCGGGGATGTTGTTAAGACCAGTACATCTGATGATGGCATGAAAATTATCGAACGTGAAATATCTTCATTATCAGAAGAACTTACAAAGTTATTCGATGGTATTATAAGAAACGCTTTTTCTTAAAAGCTTTTTTATTGAAATAATATTATAATACATTTTTTTTAAGGCATATTGGTTCAAAAAGAAAATTTGCAATCTATACATTCTCACTGGAGAGAGTATAAGGATGAATATGAAAAGTTGTCAGATTGGCTACAACAAAATGATATATCAATGAAATCGATCAAAAATACCTTACTTGCGACTATGGCGGAGAAAGCAAATCAAGTGAAACAAATTCAGGTACACAAGGAGGAACCAAGTCAATTTTATTATTATAAACTTACTTGTAGCTTAACAATAATAATTTTATTTGTATGCAGGAAGTGTTAGACGATTTAGTTAATGGCAAACCGAATATTGAGAGATTCAACGAAAGCGCAAAGCCGTTATTATCGTCTCACTTGGATACTTACATTAACAACCAACTCAAACATTTGAACTCACGATATGATGTAAGTTTTTATTTTTCAGTATATTTATTTAATCGTCTTAATTAATGATTTCAATTCAAAATATCTGACTTTAAGTATATCTTTCGTTATTTACTAATTTAACATTTACATTTAAAAAAAGGTCCAAGTTAACTTGGCCAAAGATGTTCAGAAGAAAGTGGAAACAAACCTTGAACAACACGTTCAGTACGAAGAGTATTTAGAAAAAGCGAAAAATTGGATAAACGATGCCAAAGAAGCTCTTCGTTGCGGAAATGAATCGTCTTCGAACCCTACTAGAGAAGATTTACAAGCTTGTCTTCAAAAAATATTGGTAAATATACATAACTATTTTATATATATATATAAAAAAAAAAGTTCAAAAGAGTAAGTTTAATTATTAAAAATAATTGTTTTCAGGAGTTATTAAAAAGGCAGGAGGAAGGTCAATTGATTATTCATTCGACAGTGAATTCTGGCGAAAAAGTTCTTAGGAACACTAGATCCGACGGAAAAGATGTAATAAACAATCAGCTGAAAGAAATTCAGTGCGACTGGGATAAACTTGTAAAAAAAATATCGACAGCCAAAGTTCACGTTGAAACAAGCTTGTTGCAATGGGCTGATTATAATTCATCGTATTCGCATTTAGAACAGTGGATAACAGACCGGGAAGCTAAACTTGAGGAAATATGCGAACCTAAGGTAACAATAGTATTATTATTATTGCGGTTTAACTATCGACAAATAAAACTTGGTCAAGTTTTAAACTAATTGTAACAATTAACAATGAAAACAGGCGAAGAAGGCTAAAAAAAGTCAAGCCGGCATTGGTTCTTTGGGCATTGGCGAACGAAAAGCGACATTAAGACGAACAAACAGCATAATGCAAGACATAGTGTCTTTTGAACCAATGATTCAGAAAGTGACTTTGAAAGCGGAAGACTTACAACAAGCTGCGCCTGCCAATGAAATCGCCAACAAATACCAAACGTTAAGTATAAAAGCGAAAGATCTGTATGAACAGCAAAAGAAAACGGTTCAGCTTCATCAAGAGTTCATCAACACCGGTAATGAGTTTGCCACTTGGTTGCGGTTGGCCAAAGAACGAGCAGGCAAGATATCTGAGCCGACAGGAGATAAAGAAATGTTAAACGCTAAAGCGGTTCAATTAAAAGTACGCATTTTATACTACCTATCCTGTTCTTTGCTTACATTTTTAATTTCGTTTTATTTTAGGTGTTGATAAGTGAACTTCCCGAAGGACAGGGTAAATTAGAAAAAGCTCTTGAGCGAGCAGAGGAAGCATGTTCGAATGCATACGAAGAAGAAAAGGAGATAATCGAACAGGAAGTGGCAATGTTACAGGAAGAATTCGACTTGTACGCCGATATGCTACAAAACACAAAAACGTTACTTGAAGTTGGTTGAACATTTTTTTTTTACAGCTATTTTTTTTTCTTTTAACAATTTTTTATAAATTTTTTAGGACGGTATTTACAAACTGAACGAATTCGACGAATATTCTAAAAATGCAACCGCTTGGTTGAACAAAACCGAAACACTTGTACAATCGTACAATAAATTGCAACCCAACCTCGAAAAGAAAAAAGAATCATTAGAGGAATTCCAAAATCATTTGCAAACACTGTTTGATTGGCAGAGTGAATTGGACAATTTGAATGGAAAAGCACAGGTAATAAACCGTCTATCGAATATTTAATTATGTTTAACACGAAAATGATGAACTGCGAAATTAATTGAAACAAAATAAGTGGTTTTTATATAATTTTGTTGTGTATTATTTCCTTACCGATCATCATATGTATTACGCGTATTTATAGATCCTTTTAGAGACGTGCTCTGATACTCGCCTTTCAAATTCAATTACCCAAATGACAACCAAATATAATACGTTGATATCTTTGGCTAAAGAAGTCATGCGACGTCTAGAACAACACTATCAAGAACATCAGCAACACAACTCGTTGTACCAAGAAAGTCTCGATTGGATCGAGAGAACAAGAGACAAGGTATTTTGAAATTTTCTTGATAAAATATTAAATACTTACAAATATAAAATAACATTTTTTTTATAATACTATAACATTATATTATAAACGATGTAATATGTTAATAGTTGATAGAGTTCGAAGACATGCCGAACACACTAAATGAAGCTAAAAACAAATTGCAAAGTCTAAAAGTCATTAGGCAATCTCTCGAACATGGGCAAAACCGTTTAAGGTACACTATGGAGTTAAAAGAGAAAGTGATGTTGAGCACAGAAACTCAAGGTGTGATTAAAATCGAAGAAGACACCGAAAATTTGAGACAAGAATTCGAAAAGCTTTCGAATAAAGTTCAAGTATGTAATATTATTTCGTGTAATTTATACTTGTCCACCTGTATATATTATAATATTTTATTTTATTCGTTTACAGGAATGTAACAATAACTTGACCATAAAGGTTTCGCAATTAGAGGAGTTAGATAAATTTATAAAAATACTTAACGAGTGCTTAGGTGATATTTCTTCGAAAATCAACGGCAACGAATTGGAACAGCCGTTAAACGATTTAAGCGAAAAGAAAACTGCGTTTGAAAAATATAAGTCTCTATTGCGTGACCTGCAAACGCACACTGATTTAGTATGTTTTATATATTTTGTATCGGTATCTTCGATTTGGTTGTAATAATTAAAATTAAATATTATAATATTACTTAACAATAGGTGAATCGAATATCGATGAGCACGGACAACGTACAATCCTTACCGCCGGAATCATTGTCCTGTGTGACAAAATATAAAGAGCTTGTTGATTTGGTATGAAACTAGACTCAACTGATAACTGACGTTAACACTTCAACAGATATAATTACATTGTTTTTTTTTTTTTTTAAATTGTAGGTCACCAAACAAATATCAGATATAGAATCTCAAGTGGCCGATCACGAAGAGTACCAAATTTCGTTGATGAACGCGAACGATTGGATGCGTAAAACTCGAGTGGCTGTCCAGAGTTGTGCGGACAAACATGGCGATTGTAATGCTAACAATGAAAAAATAGCCAAACTGAAAGAAATCGAAAGTTCAATCGGTGAAGGAGAAAGGATGGTCAAAGACGTTCTGGCGTTAATAAAGACACTGCAAAACAACACGGGTCCTGAAGGATGCGACAAACTGAATCAAGCCAGAGTTCAGCTAAACAGCGATTGGGACGAACTGAAACATTTCATCAAGGAAGTACAAACGTCTTTGAACAAATGCCATAAAGCGTGGGACGATTTCAACGTAGTGTTCCAAGCCTTACAAAAGTGGGAATTAGAATTGGCCGGCAAAGTTAACGCCGCTTGTTCGTCTAGTGAGGCATACACTCCCGAAGATTTAGATTTGTTTAAATCATGGCTACAAGAAATAGTCAATCAAAATGTTTCCGTGGAAGAGCTAACCGATCGTTGTGAACTTTTAATGGAGTTCAGCGCGTGTAATTGGGTTAGGGATGATACGCTCAAAATACAGTCTTCGTATACTGAACTTTTGACAACAACACAAGGGTTTGTATTTGAATCAATAATATTATATCATCAAGTACAAATCTTAATTTATAAAAATGTTTACAGACTTGTGTCGAAAGCCGAAAAAAGTTTAACCGATCACACTGAGTTCATCACAGCAAAAGAAAAAGTTGAGGAATGGTTGAACCGTGCCCACGGTACTGTCCAAGATTGTATCGGTGAAGGAGATCTATCATGGGTTAAAGATAAATTACAGACAGTTAATCTGGTTGCTTCCAGAATCACTGAAGGTATTATATGAGTCTTAGATTAAGTATTAAAAACATTTACTGCCAACCCTGTAATGGAGCTCATTTTAATTTACTGAATTAAAATTAGATTACAGATTGTTCAACTAAAAGGGGCCCCTTTTACTTAAAAATGACTTATCGATTGCTTATTTAACATTTTAGTTATAATTTAAGAAATCAGAGATGTTAAAAAAAATACTTTAATTTAAGTACTAATTTTAATGATATGTCATTTTCATTTAGACCATATTCAAAAAGATACTTTAATACTCTGATCTGCTTGAATTTTTTTACAACTGTCTTCAGATGAATGTAATTAATCAGATAAAATTTCAAACTGTTTATTCATTTTTATTTAAGGTCAATATTTGATGAATGGCATGCAAGACGTGTTCACCAAAGCTTTAAATAACACATTAGACATTGAAAGAAACAATCTAGTAACTGCCATGGAAGAGCTAAGGAACAGTTGGAATAGTTTAAACATCGACTTAAACTCAGTTATAGCACACTTAAAATCTCTACAGACAAGATGGGAAGAAAACGATGAAGCTAAAGCTGTACTTGAAGATTGGTTGAATTCTATAGATGTAAAAATAAATGAAAATTATGATTCCAAGGCTGATTTGGGAGAAATGAAAACACTAATAGAAAGAATTAATCATATAATAAACGAGATCGATGAAAAAGAAACGGACTTCCATCACGTTATAAATGAAACAGAGGAGTTGTCAAAGTGTTGTAAAAATATTCAGTTGAATACAGATATTAAACATTTAAAAACTAGGAAAAACGATCTCAAGGAAAAAGCATTAAAGCGCAAAAAGAGTTTAGAAAGTGAAATCATGCAACATTCTAACTACTTACAAGCACTCCAAGAAACTGAAAAATGGCTACTACAGATTTCTTTCCAGTTAATGGCACACAACTCTTTGTACATAGCCAATAGGGAACAAACACAGGAACAAATAGATCACCATCAAGTCCTATTAAACGAAATCATTCAGTAAGTAACCAATTTGTTTTGTAATTGTTGATTGTTTTTGTATTGCACGTTGCTTTTTAGCTATCAAGATGTGTTGGGCGATTTGAAATCAAAAGGATCGACACAAATTCAGCGGTACGTCAAGTCAACTCCGTCAATCCAGTCAACGGTCGAGCTGCAACTGACTAACATTCAAGACAGTTACAACTCATTGTACAACACAGCCCAGCAAATAAAAACTCGATTAGAAGACTCGTTAATGAAATTTAAACAATATGAAGACATGCTAGAAAGTATTTCGACAAACTTAAATGAATATGAACCCTATATGAACAAATCCATCCAAGAAGATTGGACGCTAGAAGAAGCTCAGGAACAGCAAACTGTGTACACGGTAATAATATTTCAGCTTAAAACTTCATTTTTTTTTTAATACAATTTTTTTATAAATGTAATATTTAGCTGTATTATTTAACTCATTGTAATATTTATTTATTGCTAATGAGTTTTCAAAAAATAAAGTAATCAAATGAGTGTGTAATATTTAGAGAACAAAATATTGAATAAAGTAGGAAAAGGGAGAATATTGGGATTTACAAATCACACATAAATCTAAATCTAGATATTTTTTTATTTACGGAATTAATTCCATTCACAATAAATAAAAACAATAATAATAATGTACTCTCGTTAAAAACTTTCAAAAAATTGTTAAACTGCATTACTTGTAAAATGAATGGTATGTATACCATTTATATATATTTTAAAAGTATAAAAATGTCATGGTTTATAAATTAATTTAAAACCAAAAACGCCAACAGTATTTTATGTCAATATAATTTTATTTGGCTTAGAATCTATTGAAAAAACTTCAAGACGAAAAAAACCGATTAGCATTGGCCGTACAAGCTTGTGAAGCAGCAGTAGCTAGTATATCCAGGCCTAGTAGTCCCATAGAGTCTGCTAATTCTCAGATTCCTGAAAAAGAGCTAGCTATTCGTTTAAGACTCGAGGACTATCTTGATCAGGTAAATATATTTCAACAAAGCCAATTTATTGTTGTGTTATTAATTTGTTTTGTATAACTCTATAGCTGCTGTATATTATTTTCTTTATCTGCTTATGTCAATAATATTGTGTTATGCTCTTCGAGTTGAAATTATACCTAGTTAAAAATTAAAAACTATTAATAATATGTGTTTGATGCGTGAAATACTATAAAATATGCTTTTTGTTGCGTTGTGCTAAATAGAAAAACCAAAAGCCATCAGAAATGTCTAAAACAACGTTTTCAATTGTTGAGCATTTAGAAGAAACTGGCATTCCTAATCATTTAATCACATACACTAACTATGTACGTACTAATTTTTACAAATCAAATAGTGGTCTAGTAGTTGATTGTGTTGATGAATACATTTACTTGTAATACTATACTAGTGTGACCAATGTTAAAATAACTCATAACAACTTGATCACTACTTAAAGGTACAAAACTTTGCTGACGAATTATCAGAGATGATATCCGTTTTACAAAGTAAACACAATCAACGCACTAAGATAAATGAGTGGATTGAAGAACAAGCGACGGTCTTAAAAACAATGAGAGAGAAACCTACAAAAATTAACACGGAGGTCACAGCTCAAGAAATATCAAATCTCAATGGGCTGTTACAAGATGTTGACGACAAAAGTATTGAAATAACAGATTTAACAGCCGACAACTCATCCAGGGAACTCATTAAAAATTTATCCGAATTAACAGATAATGTAAGTATAATTAAAAATTATGTTTTTGAGTATTACTTGCTAAGTATTTAATATTTTTAGCATAAACAACACATATATAACTGTATGCTACTGTTGTATTTAAATTTAATTAAAATTTTTAATAGATTACCAAAGTACTCGCAAAAAAACAATTTGACCAAGACGTGTTGAAAATGTTCAAAAAAAGCGAAGCTGATTTGCAAAATTGGTTCGACAATTTATCTAAACAACTCGACTTGTTAGAAAAAGGTAGTGGAAAAACATGCGAACAGAAATTAAACCTATTTAATTCGATGAAAGATGATTACGTTACAAATGGTGAAAAACTATTAGACTCTTTTAAGATGAATGGCAATAATTTGAAAAAAGTAGTGAGCACATTGGATTCTCAGCTACTTGATGACCAGGTGTGTAGTTTTTTTGTTTGCTTGGGTGTTATAATATACAGGTACCAAGCATATTATAGAAAAATTCTGACAATTTGTGTTTGTATTTATAGATTAAGTCATCAGAAAGGCGGTACAGAGATTTTGGTACAAGAATGGAAAGGAAATATGAAATTTTAGAAAATTCCAACGCCAATTTAATGTACGTCGAATCGAAAATGGAAGAAGTCGAAAAATGGATCGAGAAGCGATCTAAGTATTTGAATGAATATCATTTTGATAGCTACGATTTAGATGCTATAGATATTTGTTTGGCAAATTTGAAAACCATTAACAAAGAAGGAGATACGCATAGAATATTCTTGATAGATTCGTTGACGGTCAAGCTCAATGCTATTGAATTGGAAACTGAACCAAGTGAATACAACGATATTGAAAACAAACTGTACAAACCTACTGTGGCAAAGTTGGACGCGTTTTTGAACAGTAAGAACAAAACATATACTTTTAGCGCAAAATAAAAATTTTTGTCAAAATATGTTTTGCGCATTTATCGCTCAAAATATTGTGGTTTAATACAATATATGGCTGTGAATTTTCAGGACTAAACGAAGAAACGAGCAAAGTGAAAAATGTGCACGAAGCAAGTCAGAAGTACGATACATTATTAAACCAGTGTCTATCGTGGCTAGATCGTTGCGAAAAAGATCTTACACCCGATAAACATGCGTTGGAACCCTTAGAGCTGGCGATCGCTGAAAAAAATTATGAAAATATTATGGTTTGTTTGTTAATAACCTATATCATTTTTACAATTTTTTAAACTAATATATTTTTTTATTTATTTATAGACTACCAAAAATAGTATTGTCACTTTTAAAAGTGGCGAACTTACCGATTTGGAAAAAAGTAGTCAACTACTGTTGACCACGAGTAAAGACGATGCCATCTCAGTAATAAATACAGATATTTCTGGTAAATATATTTTATGCATTTTTTTTTTTTAATGTGATAAGTGTATGTAATATTAACGACTTGCCGGATATTACAGGCGTACATGAAAAAACCAAGTTAGTCGACGAAATGATCGTCTTAGCCGAAGAAACGGCTAAAGCAATTGTAGATAGCAGAAAACAGTTTGAAAATATCTTAAATCAATGTCAGCAATGGTTTGGTGAGGTAGAGGTAATAATGTCAGCAGACGTCCGGCTAACAAGTTTGAAAACAATAGAAGATCAGTTACAAAAGGTAATATATTTAGAACCAAAGTACAAGATTAATATTATGTTTAGATAATTGTATGATAAACACATTTTTTCTATATATTTTCAGTATAACGAACTTGACAATCGTAGTTCTGAAATCGACAACATACTAGAAACGCTTAAATTGAACAGTCAGGAAATAATGTTATCCGAATCGGATACTCTAAAGCTTGGTGATCAAATTGTGTCGTTGGAAAATTCTCAGAAACGAGTAAAGACAACGATTAATGATAGGGTTGAAATGCTTCAGCAACATTTAGACAAAATGAAAAATATCGCTAAAACCATTGAAGAAAGTAAGCAAGTGATTTCCAAAGTTGAATCAAATTTGCAAGAACTAAGTCAACCCGTTGGAAGTACAGTGGAAGATGTAAAAAACATGATCAATTCATACGAGGTACGTAAATAATTCTAATTTTTGATTATATTTCCGTTAATTAAACTAAATAATTTAATTTAAAAAAAATATATATATATATATTTATATGCTATATGATATTGTTTAGGCGTTGTTGGGAGAGCTTAAAGAGTGGAACGAGAAATTAGGAGACAACGATACTGAGTCTCTTAGCGAAGTGATTAAACATCAAGAAAACTTAATTAATACCATTGAGAAACAGCTGTCGAAACTAAGACAGTTGCTTTATCTTCACGAACAATTCATGGCATTCATTTCGGAAATTACTACTTTCCTGACAAAATACTCAAGTGTGGTGGATGAAATTGGAAAGTCTGAAAATACCATACAAAATAAAATCAAACGTTTCGATGAGGTAAGGAAATTTGACTAAATAGATGTAAATCGATTCACCCGCTGAATGTTTTTTTTTTATTATTGTCATGTTTAAACCATTTAGGTCACAATTAAAATTCAAGAGTGTGAGGCAACTCTACTGTTGGCAACCGACAAAGGAGAAAGGATAGCCGAAGAAGGTTCAGCGTCTGACAGAAACAATATTACTCAACAATTGCAATCGCTAAAACAACAGTTATTAACATTGAGAAAAGCTGTTGAAAAAGAAAGGCAGAAATTGGAAGCTACTGCAGCAGAGCATATCAAATTGGCTGCTGATTTAGAAAAAGTTTTGGATTGGATACACGAAAATGAAACTGTTATTAAGTCTAGACCATTACTTGACATTAATATGAGTAGTATTGAAACCGATTTAAAAGCTCACGAGGTAAGATACTGAACGTAAGATCTTAGTAAGTAGTTATGACTTGTGATTTTCTTTTTAATTACAAACTCTAGATATGCAGATAATCTTAAATTATAGTTTTAGATATAAAAAAAACACTAATAATATATTAGTTTGTCACATGATGAATCTACTTAAATCCAAATTTATAGATATTTTATAAGTATATCCACACAAATATTTATAGTCATTTTTTTCTTTACTATTACTTATTTAAAATAATTATTTTTAACTGCGGATTTTAAAATAAATTTCAACTGTTTTCGCATCCTAAAATAAAGTCTTTATCGTTGTTATTTTGCCAAGTATAAAAGTATCTGCGTGTAGAAAAGTGATCTCTTGACATATACATACTTTGTTTACACATAAATAAAAGAGTCTTCAGGGCCCAAAAAAAACTACTGTAGTTGTAATATTGTAAAAAGTAGTTGACGCAGAGAGCAGACCACACTTTCGCAGTGTTGTAATTAATTAATTCATTGAACTTTTTCATTTATCTACACTTTTAAATTTTATCTTTACTGTTTAGGTACTTTTAACTTAACTATTACGCTTAGCTCGTATAAAAAGTATTTAAAATATGTTACTGTTGGGGTAGAATTCCATCAAACCATACCATTTGAAATTTCAATAATATTATCTATCTTAATATTAAACATAGTTACAATACTTAAATTATTGCATATTTTCAAAAATAAAGTTTTTGGAAAAATAATTTAGCTGTATACTTTTAAGATTAAAATTTTAACACTAAAATGTCTCACAAAAAAATATTTCAAGGCAATTTTTTTAAATCTAGCACCTAATTTTCTAATATGTGTTTTTATAATTTATTGAGATTTTCAACGATTTAATAATATGTACATTATTATGGTTGTATTAGGATTTAAACACAAATGTTAATAAGCATTTGGATCAACTGAAAACAATATATTCTACGGCTCAAAATCAAAATATTACCGATAGTACAATGTTAGAAAATTTGAGCGAAGCTAGTTCCTTCATGAATATTATTCCAAAAGAAATGAAAGACAGAGAACTATATCTGACTACTAACAAAGATAACCGTTTTGAATTCGAACAACTGAAAGACAAATTCTCATTGTGGGTCAAAGAAGCAAAACAACTATTAGACTCGTCCGAAGGAAGTAAAAATGATTGCGAAAATATCGAATCAAATTTGGAAAACTTAAAGGTAATACTCGCGTCGTTTAAAATTAGCTTACACGGAGTTTATAAAAAATGTTGATTTTTATTTTTAGGCATTTTTCAACGACCATTACATTAACGATTTGGTTTCAAATAAGATCAAACCAGTAATCGATAAAATACGTCCTTCCTTAAACTCCAAACAAAGTGAATTCCTAAAGTCTGAACAACATCGTTTGAACAACGAAGTCGGTGACCTCTTGAAACAAGCGCGTACCGTTCAAACGGAAAAAGAAAACGTCTTGGAGCTGCTAAAGAAATACAAAAAAGCCGAAGTAAATGTATCATCAATTATTATAGACCACGGCACCAAGTTCAACGAAGAGCCAATCGGCAATTTAGCGGGTTTATATTTCAACGTTGAAAAACTAACTCTAGCTCAAAACGATTTGATTGTAAGTAAAAAAAAAACGGCGTTAACTATTCTACCTTGACTTGGTTTTTGCTTGCTTAACATGTGTGTATGTGTGTGTTTTCAGCGTCAACAAAGCGAATTAGACTCGTTGAAAAATATAACCGAACAAATTCTAGCGACCATATCCGATGGCGACGGAATTCAATCCAAGACAGAATCGTTGCTTAAACAGTGGACGGAACTCACCCAAAAGTTCTCGACCAGAATATTAACCGTTTCCGAAATAGGAAACAAATGGAAAGCGACCGAAAACGAATTCCGAAACACGGAAATTGAGTTGAATCAAGTTAAAGACTCGTTGGCCAACATTGATATAGTTGTTAGATCGAAAAATCAACTGGACGAATACTTGGTAACTTTACAGGTAAGCAGAGTAGAACTTTTATTTGAAAAACATAAAAACTTTGTTGCTGAGTTTGTTGTTTTTCACAGAATCTCGAAGAACGTCTAAAAGTCGCCGGCGTCAAGATTGAAAGTGTTAAACCTAACTGTAAGAATATTCTGGAATTTTTAAATTCCGAGTCTCATCCAGCGTCTACACAATTGGACGACCTAATTAAATCACACGAAACTAAACACAATGAGTAAGTTAAAACTATTAAAATGTACATTATTATAATAATGTTCACTTACAATAAGTATTCCTAATAGTTGAGTATAATAAATTAAGTATTTATAAAACGAGTTAACATTTTTTTTTTTGAGATGCCAATGAATCGGATTGTAAATAGTGTATTTGCATTTCTAAAAATAGATATGTTACATTTTTTAATACTTTCGTAAACTTATTAGGAGTATTTATTTTAGTCAATTAAATTTGTATTGATAACAACAACGCTACAGCGAATCTGTTATAGAACAACAGGATTAGTATTTTTTTACATTTTATTGTTTTATAATTCGCTGACTAATTTATTTTATTTATAATTTGATATCAGTATAATTACAAAATACCTAGGCCTCACTGATAGGATTAGTGTGGATGCCTAAAACATTGATTATAATAATAATGTTATTATTGCTTGTTGAACGAGATAACCAATTTTATTTAGATATATCTTTATAAACCCAACCCATATTATGTAACAGATTGCGTACTTCGTCAGATCATTTTATGGTTCTTTTTTATCTTTTCCGGTAAAAAATCACTAAAATCTCAAACTTTTATTATATTTTTCGATTACTCCCTTTCTTTGACCTACAGCTATTTATTAAAACACTGTGATGTATATGCGAAATTTAGTTTTACAATATTAAGTTTGTGATAAGAGTATGTAAGAGAAGAATTGACCAAACACCACACAACTCACATACAGTTTTACCATAATTCATAATTTTGTTTTTATTGTTCCTTGTTTACAAAAAAAATCAATATATTTGATTCTGTCAACGCACTTAAGCGTGTCCACTGTCCACCTATAAAATAGACATATAGTAGTTCTTGGGCCTCTACACTGGGTAACTCAGTGAGGCCCAATATTCTTTGCAATAAAAATGAAAATGTTCATAGTTTTTTTATTATCTAACGTCCTCCTTCCCCCTCCCCATTATAAGTAAAACTAGTAGAAACGGGAAGGGGAAAGGGTGGACAACATGTAATATTTTACTGTATTGCGAGGTTTGAACTTTGATATCATAATTAATGAATTCGACTTGTACTATTTTTAAGCCTAATACCACTTGGCCATACACGTTATTTTCAACTTAAAACGATAGTAGGTTTATAATGACTTTTAGATAGTTAATTAGCATTGTAATAATATAATTATATGACATCGAAGTCCATACTTAGTATGAACAGTAAAATGAAGCAATTTTATTTTTTCGCATTAGTATTTTTTAGTTATTAAAAAAAATATCTTCAATATTTTTGTCTTATCATTACCCTCGACAGCAAAGGCCATTGGGTTAAATAAGACTATATTAACATAAAATACTCATCAATATTTATATAGCCGTTGATGTAACTTTTACAAACGGTCATGAAGTATAGAACTTTTTTTAACCCAATTACAAGAAGGTGTACGTAAATTAAAAACTGTAAACAATAATTTTTTATGAAAACAACACTATTATGTTTGGTGTTTATTACCGGATTAAGTATGACTGATGACACAATTTTGTAAATTGCAAAAATGCAAATTCTAAATTCAAACGGATGTTACGTTATAATGCTTTATTCGTTCAAGGAATACCTCTCAAACGAACATTAAACTAGTCATAAATAATTAAAAAACCAATAACATCTTATATACACACTGGGGCTGTAATGACACATTCATTTCGAAAGAAAATCTAATGCTGGCAAAGGGCCAATGGGTGATGTATTGGTCACATTAAGATGTATTCTTCTATTTCCGTCATTGGACTTATAAAATACGTTACAACGTCCCGTTCTTTGTATAAAACACGTTATAGAACAACAATTGAGGAAAAAATAAGCATGCAAGTATAAAGATATCAACGAATGCATTTAGGTAGCGTTTACCAGCAATACGTTCTGTTTAAATGTTATTCTCGCGTGTATTGTAGAAATGTCATTTCAACATAGTTCAGATAAAATAATTGGTATTTTACAATTTTAAAATGATTAATACGCGTCTAAATTCTGTACGATAAGGCTTATAGTTTTTTAATTGTATATGTCTATAAAATAATAATAATTAATATCTTTCGTAAACATGTACATAACCTATAGCAATTGATTCTTGATAACTAGTGTTAACTATTCATCTCGGAACAATCAACAGACTTAAATATTTATTCTTCGTGCAAACATCACCATTGAAATCATTATTTATATATTTTATAAGCATATTATGTAACTTTTTTAAATGAAAACGTTTAAATAAATTTACTCGAACGAGTAAACACTTAGCTGGTATCGTTACTGAGGGCTGCACACGCGATTATTTTAACTGAACAAACGATTTAACTTTATTTCTGTTATTATTTTATATATATATATAAAATATATATATTTTTTTTTAATATGGATATACCTAACACTTGACAAAAATAAAACATTTGCAACGTTACAATTTAGTTCTTCAAATTTGGGGTTCATCCAAAAACTATATGTATAAATATAGCTCTGGAATATGTAACCAGAATTTCAGTTATAAAAACTGTTAGTATTTTTTTTTTTAGTACGCGTCTACCGGTAAAGAACGGCAAAAGTGCGCAATTACCATAGTGTACTCAAATGTGTTTATAACATTATTTTCCAGACTTACAACAGAATTGACTGAATCAATACGCAAGATTGAAGATAGCTTGACCGTTTTCAACAGTACTGTAGTTAAACTAGATGACTTCCAACTATCACTACAAGCTTTGAAACCTAAAGTTGAAAATTTCTACATATTTGACCAGGACGTCGAGCAAACTGAAAAACTATTTAAGGTAAATCGGTTTTTGATAACAATAAATAATCAATTATTTTCCGAAAAAAACTTCTATGAATTATTAATAATTTTTCACGTTTCAAACAATTATTATTTTTATCATTAACAAAATACTTTAGTATATATAAAAACCCTTGTAAAAAAGATCAGAGTTTGTTTTCAAAACCATTTTATGCTGGTATAGTCATTGGACCGAAGGTCGTCACCTAACGTTTAATTGATTACAATTCACAGCTTTAAACGAGGTATAACATGTGTAAATTGACTGTAACTTTCAATTAAGAACACTTTGATTGGGGTCCACATTCCACATATAGCTTCAACAAACAATAATAGATAATTTATCAACAGTTGACTTTTTCGTATTAATTTGAACTGTCACAAAAAGATATCATAAAAAAATTCATTGGAAATCATACTATTTGTTGTGAAGAAATAAGAATTGATAGTTGAGGAATTAGGTACTTAAAAATTGTATAAAAAACATCCTGTGGGAGTTTTTAAAAAAAAACCAAGAATAAACAGAAAAAATATATCGAACGCTTATAACTTTATACTTTAAATCTTTACAATGAAGATAATACTAATACTATTATCATTATCATTAGTATTAGTTTTATTACCTTTATGTTAATTCAAATCAGCCGATTAACATATGCAAAATAAAATAAATAAATGAAGAATATTATTTTCAAATTATTTATACGGTAAACAAATGTAAAAAAAACACTTTAAAATGCTCTCCTGTAAATATTAATTTTCCTCATATTATATAATATTTTAGTTAAATTTTGTTATTAAGTGTTTTTATGGTTTCAACTTATGATATCGAAGGAAACTTATAATGCAAATTACATGTCTTTATATTAATACTGTAAGTGCATATTATACATAATAATATATACTACAGGTAGTTGTATTTTTATACTCAGGTACGACTGTAAATATATATATTTTTTTAATATAAAAAGTTAGTGGCATGTATAGAAAATTTGCAATTCAATAAATAAATTATAATGATTAGTGTAAAGTGAATAATACAAAAAATTGTATACAAACGCTTGTATTATTTAGGAATTAAACAGAAAAGTGGAAAATGTAAACAGCGATTTGAAAAACTACATTGAACTCACTCACAACAACTATACATCTTCACAACAATTAGTACCCAGCGACTTACTGAGCAAGGTAATTTTGTACTTATAATATACAATATAATATTTTAAATATCATATAAACCAACATTTATTTGAAATACCCACGTTGTATGCGATACGTGGGTGTTATTGCCATCGTTTGAATAGTTACACGGATTATTATATTATCCAGTCATAAAGGTCATATTCATGACTATATTATGCTTTGTAAATTATCCATAACAGTTTAGTTAACCGAAATCGGCAAACAGCTAAAAAAGTACGGCTAGTTTTGTCTGTTTGAGTTTTTTTTTTTAAATTAAATCCATTTATTGCTTAACGAAAAAAAAAATGTAATGTAATCGTTTACAAACGTTCCTTAAAAAACACAAAACGATTACATCATGTGGCTTTGAAAAAATAGTAGATTATGCTCAATGCAATCAAGTATGGGATATTTAAAATGCTTATAATTTCGCATCGATTACGTTAATTAAATAAATTAAAATATATAAACGTATGCCAAGTGCCAACTACTATATAGTACATCAAACGCATGAAAATAAAATACTTAACAAACATCCTCAACGCCTTTTTTAAACATTTTCTTTATTTTGTAAAAACGCTTAATAGTTCTAACTTCTGTGCTCTATCTGTAAAGTACAGACCAGTATATAAATGTAAATGTATATAACTCTTTATATTTTGTTATTATTTTAAAAAACTGTCAAGCTAGTTTATTGGAAATTAGTTCATTGGCACATAAAAGACGCCCGAGATAAATGAGAACTGCTGTTTTGTTCAACAACATTGTTTTTTGTTCATGCTACATAATATTATAGCTGTTGTATTATTGCTCTGGTTACTAGGAAACAGTGTAAATATAATATATTCTATTTGCATAATGCGTACCATTTTTGGACGCCTCGCTGACCTGTTGTCAGTATACATGCCGTCATGCATTAGTCACCATACGGCTGGCACGCCACCCGCACAAAATAAATAACGATACCGGGTAAACTTAAGTTTTATGGGTTTTTGATCATTTTATGTTTTTTTTTTGAAACATATTTCGCTTTGATGTTTTACACAACATGGGCAACATCTTTTATGTTTTACAATTAAGTATAAGATCCGTGGCTGTATGTATTTAAATATATTATGTATAATATGTCCAACATCATTAATTTTACAATATATTATACATATATTTAATGTTATACATAGTATGATGATATGTATATACTATGCATAATAGATGGTAGATTGCCTTTATTGTGATAAATTATGTAACCTTGAAAAGTAATAAAAAAAATTAGAAATTACTGTAGCGTTCGTAAAACTATTTTGATTTTTGATTTTTTTTTTTTTTTTTGGCAAAATAGTTTTATGACCAAGGTCGGTTTATCACCGTAGTCTTTAAAGTAGGTAGGTATTTGGTTTTAATTTCAAACAAGAAATATATACACTACAATAATATCCGATTTCGGTTGAACAACAATATAGATATTATCATTTTATTGTTAATTATTATCATACGAACAGACTTGGCATACAATAACGCAAAAATAAACAATAGCGATAAAGATGTCAATTATTTTGAAAATGTTAAATGAACATTGTGAGATTACATTTATAAAAATAATAGTCCAGACAATACAAATATAAAAGTTTGTTGTTGAATCGGAATTGTTTAGCGACAAATAATTAATAACAATACTGGAATCAAAATATGTAAAATAGAAGGTATTTTGAAAAAGAAACAGTTTTTTTTTTATCACAGTTTAAAGTGTAATTATTAAACTGACGGTAGTCAATACATTTTCAATTATTATCAATCGGTACAAAGTACAATGGGAATTATCGTATTTATCCGGTTCCTAATCATAGTCCATCATCAGAACCTAAACGAATATCTTTTACAAATTTCTTACTAAATATTATTTATGTGTATCAGTACCGGGTTGTGATTCGAAGTCGCTTCTTCTCGAGTGTCGAGTGAATTTTTTTCTTTTTACAACAAATAAATTTAACTAACGATTTTCGTAATATTTGACGCGTTCAAGACACAATTCATTCCCAAGGTTCTTTTGTTAAGTAATAAACAAGGTAGAGTTTTGTATACATATATATATATTTGTGTATGTGTGTGCGTCGTGTCCATAAAGAAACAAATTGCCACGCCTTCTGGCTTCTAGCAAAAAATAATAATTACGTTGAGTCTGGCGTTTGGGTCCATTATTTTTCGGTTTCATTATACATTTTTTTTATGTAAGACAACCTGACAAAAAAATTTAACCAGCTCTGCTCTTCTAACGTGTCGGTACTTTTTTTATTGTAATTTTTTTATTTTTAGCAGTCAATATGACAATAATTTAATACTGGCATTTCATCTGAATTAACGGTTTGTATTCATTTTTCGTTAGCAATAAAAAAATGTTAGGACAGTCACAATATTTTCATCGAGAAATTTGTGTTTTTAATTAATTTAAGTTACTTTGTATACTAAAAATGTATGAGTGTGTTGAATCAGCCCTCCGCTCTGAAAATTAATTGTTCTACTATACGAGATAGGCGTTTAAATATATTTCATCCCATAATTTATGACTGTATCCGCTGAACATTTCTAACTGACCTTCACAAGTATATTACAATAATCCTTTTGACTAAATGTTGTTTACAGTCGGTTAGTATTTGTTTTTAATATCAGATTCACAATGTTGTACTTATAACTTCTGCATATTACTATACACGTTTTAGTTAATACTAGCCGTTTAATAATATTATTACATAATATTTTTTTATTTTATTGACTGTTATTAGTGTAATGGTAAATTGTTATTGTTTTTAATATAATAAGATTTAAATCAAATCAATACGTTTGTAGGTAAATGCGTTCTTGGAGTTATTTTAATTTTAATGTATGGCTATATACTTAGTTTTTTTTTTAAGTCGATATAAATGTGCCTTAAATGAAATTTTGAAATTATGTTCCGATTACTAATATAGATACTATACTAACTAAAATAAAGAAATATGAACTATATTAAAATGTTGACAAAATATATATTTTTTTTTTTCATGTTTTTTTTAACAAGTTGTTTTTACATAAAAAAATACTCACGAGCTACCAAAAATTTCATCTCAATTTCGTATCGATGTTATGGCCTGTACATCAAGTAAAATAACTTTAGAAATTGCTTGAATATTAAGTATTTAGTATGTGGGTGTGCAGTTTGATTGGTCGTTTAAAACAAATTACACTACTGCTGGAGGTCGTGCGTTCGGGAATGTCTTAGGCTAGACCGTATGATTCCGTCATCTGTTAGTGTATTACTGAAGACTTATAAATAAAACGTCCTTTACTGTGTTGTGATGACTAATATCCATCTGTATAAACCTGTTTATACAGCTTCCATGTGAAACGTAAACTACAACCGAGCCCAGTTGTGCGTTTAAACGTGTGTACTATGGTTTAATTTAGTTCTGAAATCGCGTGCTCCTCTTAATTTTGTTTTTAATTCGTTACAATAAAAATTAGCGCGTTCAAATTGGCTAGTAAAGAAAATTAAATAAAATGCTCTGCTATACGAATTAAGATAAAATGTATGTAATTCGGTGTTCGTTTTTTACTAAATATAATAAAATTGTAAACAGAAAAAAGTTCGTTTTAGTACTCGTTTGAAATACATTTTCAGTTCAATCCTTTGGAGCTTGTCTCTGAAGAGCTATCAAGCCTAATGGAGGCGAACAGCAAAGGAATGAAACGGGCAAAAACCGTGCGGACTGAGTATCTTAAAGACGTTGATGATGTACAGAGATGGCTTCAGCAAGCTGAAGTGAAAGTTCAGGACCGTGGCAGTGAACCAATAAAGATCAAAGAACATATTCAGGTACGATGTGTTAAAACTATTACAGGCTTTTTTTATATTGCATCATCATTTTTTAATCCAACCTTCGTAAGTTAAAACTCACAGTATATTCTTCATGTCACGACGCACAAAAAAAATATATAATATTTTCACCATACCGGCGGTACAGTACCATTTATTGCAGAAAAAGATTTTTTTTTTGTTATTGTGTATATTACTGTTGATTTTTTTAGTGTAATTTTGCGTTACCAATTTTCAGACCCGAAAACTACTCTGAAAAAAAAAATAAAGCAAAACTCGCCCCATTTATAGAAAAGGATTTACCATAATAATTAATTAGTTTTCGACTGTACAACAGCTGTAGTGATGCTATGTCTAATAATAACCTAAATAAATTTGAAATTGTTTCCATTGTTTTTTAAAATGTAATTCTGGAAGTTATTTATAGTTTTTTGTAGGCAATATTTAAGAAAAAATTAATTTAGTTAAATTTCGCCCCATCGATTTATATTTAGTTTTATTTATATAAGCTTCAAGTTATTATTTTGAACATATAATACCATTTTCTTTGAGGCAAAGCTATTTTGTTGGTAAAAAAATTCCTTTGCTGTAACAAAACTGTGAGACTTTTACTGGTCAATTTTTAATTCTCTAAAAAGATTAGAATTTATTGACTTTTTTACTGGGTTATGTTGGAAACTGAATTTAATTTCAAAAATTCACCTTTTGTCTAATAAAATAAATTTAATTTGAAAACTTTTCAATATTAAAACGCAATTCTTTTACACATAAAACAAAAAAAAAATCCTATTCCATCATAACCTAATAAAGTAGCCAAGAACTCGTATATCTTTACAGAACTTAAATCGGAATTTCCTAAGTAGTCAACATTTTGTTAGGTTTTTTTGGTCTATAACGTCCATAAACAGACAATATGTATTTTTAAAGAGTGATTTTTATTAAAGAGGTGTCAACTTTTAGCCATATACAGTAAAATGGCTGATCTTTATACTGTTGTAATAAGATAATAGATCTAGAAAATAAGTCTTTTTAATAATAAATACGAAATTACATAAAAATCAAATAATTACTAATGGTATATTGATTTTATTTCAGGTGATTGAACAAGAGATCAGCTCTATAAATGATAAACTAGAGAGAGCTATTGCACATGGCAAAGAAATTGTGGACAAGACTATCGATGCTGAGGAAAAAGAAATCATACCAAAAACCATCGAGTCTTTGACTAAGGAAATGAATCAGGTGAAAATTTGGTTGAATGAAAAACGTCACCAGGTAAATTTTAACCACATTAATAATTTTGTTTTAATTGTAACATAATTAAAAATCGTAAACGTAATATATTATATGTTTTTGTTCAGATTGGCGATACACTGGACGCTTGGCAAAAATTCATGTCTATTTATGATTTAGTGATGGCTTGGTGCCAATCAAAAACAAAATATTTAGATGAACCAATTACATTGAACAATCTGGAAGCCGCTAAACAAAAGGCCCAAGAATTTTCGGTACCTTATAATAAAACAACTAATAAAACCGTATTTATGGGGTTTGTCTAAATATATACAATTTTTTCTAGGCGGCTGTAAAATCGAGTAAACAACAAAGTAAACATTTAGCAGAAATGAGCAAAGAATTGGAAATCATAGCTTTGTCAACAAATGTTGGATCTCTGCCGGAAAAACTAGAAGAGGCAAACAATGCCAAAAATGAAGTCGAGGGAAAACTGTCAGAAAAGGTAATTTATTTAAAAATATAAGAAATAATAGGTGTCATTAATTATTAATCTGTACTGACTATGTTAAAGAACGCTCTTTTGCACGAGGCTTGTGAAGAATGGGAGCAATTCGAAAGAAAATTAAAAGAAGTCCGAATCTTTTTGGAAAAATCAAAAAATGTATTAGAATCTACTGTTAACAAGAAACGGACATTAAGAGAACAACACGATTTAAGGGAAAAGATGCTCGCTGACATTGCTATACAGCGACAAAAAATTACTTTATCCACTGAAAAATTACAGGTATAAGCTATAAGTATAACACATTGTATAAAAAAATTGATTTTATAAAATATTAATTTACCTATTTTTAACTGAAAACTTAAAAAAACTACATACTTGGTTAAAATGTATGATTAATCCATTCGTTAATCATAAATGCAACTAAATATTTTAGAACTCTTATCGCGTTATAGTATTTTATTTTTAGGCAAACCCTTTAATCGTTAAAACGTGTGTAGGTCAAACCCAATTGGTCACAGAAAACAATGTTGATACCGTTAAAAAGAAAAGAACTTCGACTAGATCCTCTTGTTTTTTTTTTTTTAGAAAACTTAAAATTTACCCTAAATACAAGCACTTAAAAAGGTAAAAAAATGTTAGGACTAAATTATAAATTGTTAATATAAAATAAAGTCCACGAGAGAACCTAGATAAAGTTCTCATTATGTTAAATACGTAAAACCAGTCTATGATTATTATTTAGTCAATAATAGAGATTATGCTTAGCTCTGTTTAGATGATTTTTTTTTAAATAGCTGCCAAAGATGCTGTGATAGTGTAAAAAATAATATAACTATCAAAAAAGAGTCCTAGTTACAAAACTAATAATTACACATTACAGTTTAAACAGTTTACACCTTTAAGTTAAAATTTTTGTAAAAAAAATTGCCTATACTTTACTCCTTAAAAATGTGCAGAGTGGCGTTCTCTTATTTATAATTTGTTCTATGATAAAACGTTCAATATTGATATATTTGAATTGATAATAAAAATGAACTATGTATATTGTTTAACTAAAGTATACTAGTACATACTATATAATGATAATTTATTCATTTTGATTGTGTACACAGTGTATTGTATGTATTAATTTGTTGTTTAAACATATTTCAGAGTTTAAATTTGATTAGGCTAAATTAAAAGTCAAATTCCTTCAGTTCGATAAGATATCTGTTTTTGTCAAAAGCATATATCAGTTTACCACACTTCTTCATTTTTGTTAAATACATACTTAAACGACAATATTTTTCTTAAAGATTTGAAATTTAAATTAAAAAGATTAAATCATCCAATTTTTACAGGTTTTATCATTTACTTGCACTTAAAATATAGTGCAAATCCTTACTAGATTTTTTTTTTTACTATTGAATACGATACATTTAGGACTATTTTACATTTGAACATTAATAAGTGGTTAAAACTAAAAAATATATCACACATTTTCAATAGGAGCAATTAAGAGAATTTCAAATTGTGATGTCCTAAAGTATTTTAGTCTAATAAACAATTCTTTTTTAATGTTCATGGCCAATTCGACAAGTTGCACATCATAAAAAATCTAAATTATAATCGAAAAACTTATTTTATTAATTTATTATTGCCTGTTGGCCTGTTAACTTTGATTTATCATTAAAAATATTTGGTTTAGATCCATTTCCGCGCAGGATTTGGTGGCAGCACCAATATTGCTTCTGAAGCTAAAGACATATTATTGCAACTAGACGATTTCTTTAAGATTGTGGAAGTTCAAGCGCATAACCTGGAAGAAAGCCTTTCGCAACTTGACAAATATCAACAGGTAATAATTATTACATATTTATGGTTACTTTTATAAATGCACTTTTAAAATCAATCTAATTTTTTAACTGGGCTAGACAAAGCCAAACCAACTTGTAGCGACTTTGTCCTCGTTACTCTGCCCTATTTATATTTCCCCTTTTCATTCGAAGAATGTATAATTAATCATAGTGTAAATATATTAAAGATATCGTCTATAAGTGTAGCCCTCACAAAAACTACTATCGGTAATCGAAGGATTTCTTTTAAAAGGTTAAGTTAGATCGATATTAATCAAGGTCTTAGGAGAAGGCGGTAATATTAATTATACACATTAATAATACATTTATCTGTGGACTATTATTATTAAACATACTACCAATAACCTAATTGTCTCGCAATTATCCTTTAAAAAAAAAGACAAACAATTGTTTGGTAACAGACACGTTTTTTTCAAAGCAATATTTGTAAAATTGTTTTGAAAAAATTATCATATAAAAAATAAAATGATTACGGGATCGCGTGGTCGAGAATTTTCCATACATACACTATTGAATTGAGTTGCTGAATATATGAATGGCTTATAGAAGTTTTGGGGGTTTATCCCTCCCCTTCCTGAGCCTACTATACTTGCACCAATACCATATACTTAAGCAATACCATATGCTTGATATAGGAAATACAACACCTTCGGCAAAAAGTTATAACAGCTGAACAACAATTAAGATTAGTGCAAAGTCCAACATATTTACCTCATGACAGACAAAAGGCTTTGCAAGAACAAAATGTAAGTCATCGCCAAATGTTATTTTTTTATTAACTATCGCATAGATGAACTTAGAGTAAACATTTTTTAATTTTATTTATCACTTAAAAATTAGTTAGGAATGTATTGAATTACGCAGAAAACTGTGTTTTACTCTCACTATAACTTATGTTATTTGTTATTATTATTATTTTTTCTTTTTAATATATAAATCATTATGAACGTAATTCAGAAATGGATTATGGTAACTTAACTTAAATGCCAGTAGTTAATGTACTTAATTGTTTTATGATTTTAAACACTATACCTGCATCGTGTTGTACAAGCAGCTTATAAAAAAATTGTAAATTTCTTTATGCATTCATTAAACAATTGTTCCATTAACTGGAACATTGCAGGCGTTCCAAGAGCAAATACGAGTACTGAAAAGCAAGATTAGCTCAAGAACCGAACGAATCAAATTGATCATTCAACGAGGCTCCCCCATTTCCGAACCTCTTTTGAACTAACTAGACGTTTAAATATTTGTTTTCGTCTTCGCATTCATTCCACTATTCGAATTAACTTATAAATATAATTTTTAAAAATGATTTCCTACAAAAATAAAAATTAGTATTTAAACGCATTTATTCGGTCACGCAGGACGTTCGAAACGCACTGGAAACCTATCGGCGACGTTTGGATCGCACTGTGAACGCTGTGCGTACGTATATCGAACAGTTTATCGGTGCCAATCCTTTAATAGCGTCCACTTCATGTACAGATCCTGTGAATAATCTTAAGACTCCATTTAAAAACCGCGAGACAAAAACTCCCCGGATAGCGTTAAATTTAACTGATGCCGCCGAACCGCCGTCGTCTAAAGCGCCTGTAAAAACGCGATCGCCGTCGCCGTTTTGGGTGAAAGGAGAAACGTCCACTTACTCCGAAGTCGTTAAAAATGGAAGTGTATCAAAAACCAACAGCAGACAAACAAGTCCGGAAAAACGTCTAAAAGACGAGCCCGAACAACTTGTGAGCGACCATACGAGTAGAAGATCTAGTAGCGAATTGCTTGAAAAAACCGAGTCATTAACGACTTTAGAACTTGAAGCGAGTTCCGACAACGGGTCTGGTGCCAAGAAAAAAGTCAAAAGACGATCGAGGTCCAGAAGGAATCATAAGGCCAAGGAAAGCGAAGAATTACCAGACATAAATACTGTCGCCGTACCCAAGCCGGACGCGGCCAAAAGCGAACAGCTTAACACGACGGCCGTAGTGAACGTCAACATCAATCCTGAGATTATCGTTTCGGATCCTAAGACCCAACGGAAGCACACACATCCGGCGGCCGACACTTATGACACAGCTGCGCCACTGGGTACGCCCGACCAAAGACTTTTGACGATCGGCCCGTCGACACTGTTGTTTCAGCCGGCGAATGCGCTCAACTCGTCGTCTAGACCGCAAAGGCTGTCTCTGTCGAGCCTTTCGGACGGCGAGCACTCGGACAGCTGCTTCGACCTTAACGAACGATTAAAAGGCATCTTCGGGTCGGTCAACGAAAAACACTATTACCACCGTCATCATCACGTGTCCGTAGACCGGCCGCGTTCCAAGTCCGACACCCGCGACCTTAACAAATTAAAACAGATATTTACCGCCGGTCCGGTATTATCATCAGCTACTTGTTGTACATCATCCGCGTGCCGTTTCGAACGTAGCGCCGACATTATTACTAATAGAGACTCCATTTCCTATAGACGTTCTTTTGATAATCTATTACTCCCTACCGCTGGATACGACGTCATACGAGCCGATGAACCGTCCGGCGCCAATAAGCACAGCGAATTTGTAAGAATTGATGTGTTCACGCGTGATTCATTAATACCGAGTGCATTTTTTTTGTTTTACCATTAACGACACTCTAAGATTGTTGTAATTTGCGATGACTTAACGCGTTGAGACTTACACGTATGATCAGTGGTCCGAGCGGATCGTAAAAGGATCCAGACTAAGAATAATATGTCACCGTTACCCCAACGATAAAAACATTGTGGTTTCGTTTACTTTATTATTTGTAATAATATGCATATCGCATGAAATTCCTCTCGACCACTGTTCATAGAAATAATTATTGTAAAAGTGGTTGACAATTTCTGTAATCTTACCGACACGCCCAACCGTGATTTGTAGCTATGGATTATTAATATTAACCTTTTTTTCATTTAAAGAGTGAGCTATTTATAGTCCAGTAACGGCATTCGAGTGGTACCTATTAGTTTTAATTTTACTAATACGCATATTGATAATGTTCAATAAAAATAAATTTAAAAACATACGAGATATGTTTTTGTTCATACGTCATAATATATAATATAATATATATATATATGTATTTTTATTTTTTTAGAATATAAAATCCGACTTGCAGATGTTGGGTCACGAGAGCATTCCTGTGGAACTAGCTTTGAAACCATTTGAATCTTTTGTAGAGGGGCAAATTGCTAAACAAGAATTGACATCGACCAAAGAAATGTTATCTCATTTGATCAACCAAGACACTAACACTAACACACCTCAAGAGGAGGTTGTTAGTACTTTGTCTTTAACCGTGAACGAACACGAACAAATCTTAGAAAAATTGAGTAACAAGTTCCGTGCTTCATCTGATGATAAAAATGTAAATTGCCGTAAAACAAAATACATAAATACTGTTAATATTTATCTACTGAAATTGTATTAATTTTTTAGGCCATTATACACGATTTGGACAACAAAGTTTTCGAATTAAATCGAACATTGAATAAATATACTATTTATGAATTCAATGAAGAGATCAAGACAATATTAACTCGCTTGGAATTGATACGTCAAAAATTCGAATATTTACGTCAAAACGTTACACAAGAATTAGAAACTCAGGTGAGTTTTAATTTTTGTTTATTGTGGCAACGGGCTTACATAAAACGTATTTGATTGAATATTGTCACTGAATTATTTCTTCGAGTAGCCTTCACACAAGCATTTTTATAATAAAAACATGACATTTTAATATCAACAGAACTCCAATTTCAATTTCAATTTTTGTAAGAATATTAAAACCCTCCACAAGTTACACGAGGGATTTCTCGAGGCACGTTTTATATATTCTACTAAAATTTAAAAAAAAAAAGTGGTTTAAATTCTTAAAATGTTGCTATATTTTAAACATAAATATTTATTCATGTAAAAGTTGTGGAGAAATCGAATATTTATCCAGTACCATAATCGAAGAATGCATTGTAGAGTTCTATTAAAATTCAAACACCGTGTTTGAATCAAAAAAAAATATTTATTTTTGGACACATTAATCATGTTTCTTAACATGGGCAAACAAGATGAGTAGGCTCAATGTGGTCCAGCCGCCAGCGTATATCACACAAGCACAGCTCGCCCGCATGCGATTGAGATATTGCCTAAATATAACTCCTTAAAAATGCTGGTTTGAGGGGCTCTTTGTCTGCACAGTATACTTAAAAAACTAAACTGATTCTGATTCTGTTTTACTTACAAATTTAGAAAAACCTAGAAGAAATTGACGGTCAAGTTCACTATTATGAAAATTGGCTCATCGAAGATCAGAATTATGAACCAAAAGACAAGGTATTATTAGTCAATTAAGTTTTACATTCTTATCTTCGCCTACAAATGAAAAAACGTCCTAACCTAAAATATTTTCGGTCATGTAAGACTAAATAATATTATTATTTTTAATTTTTTTTTTAGATCGAGATTGAAGAAATAATAAATGGTTTAGAAAATATATTGAGTCAATGTAATTTCCATCAACAAAATATTGAATACCAGACAAGAGTTTCGAAACTGAACAATTTAATTCGACAACTTAAACTAAAACATATGAATGATACTTCAAAGCAGGTATGTTTGCATGATTTATTAGTACTTTACTACTGCAAAAAAGTCTATAGAATAATAGTATAATGTAGATGTATTGCATAGTAGAAAATGCGTATTGCAACGTAGACTTTTGATTAGAACAAAATAAATATACCTGATTATAAACATGTGCATACAATTATTTCTTATCATTTATTAATAATATAAAGTATATTAAAATACAAATGAAAAATATTTTAAATTCTATTCAACCGATATAGTTTAAAAAGCTATTTACGAATTACAACATTTTTAAATTTAATTGTTTTATTTCTTCTACTTTAGCTCTTTGTTATCTAAGATTCGATTTCCCTCCCTTTATATTAAAGTGTATGCAATTTTAATGTATTAAACAATTATATTATATTTCAGAAATGTATATAAAATAACCGAGCAATTTTAAAATTTAATTAATATTAGAGTCTTAACGCGTTTAAATACAAAATAAGCTAAGACATATTAGGCTATTACAAAGAGTTACGTAGAAAATATTATTTTCTGATATACTACATAGTTGTATCAATGCTTTATTTTCAGGGTACAAAAACGTATGTCGAAAGCACGAATATTTCCTCTGATTTATTTAGCATGAATGCACCTAAAGATTTAATATCTGTTAGCGTTGACAAATGCATGAAACTTCCTACTATCTTTTCCGTTCATAAACCATTATTTACAAACGCAGAACCAAAAATGGATCTGAATAAAGATACAAAAAATAATGAAATAGAAAAAGAGGTAAGTGACACGAATGTTCTAAAACGAAGCGATACTTTAAAAAGTCCAAAACTGGTTAGGAAAGTAGTTCAAGAAATGCAAAGTGATATAGACCATTTTAAAGAATCTGATTCATCATTAAACACCTCAAGAAATATAAACGATAAGTCCGCCAAACCATTTTTCACCTTTAAATTGCCAAATGTTTTTGTCAAAAAATCTAAAACAGTGGACCAAGAAACTGAATATTCGCCGTCAAAACAAGATTTGGGTAATGAAAACGACAAAAGCAACGTAAAACTATTAAAGTTTAAAAGAATCAATAGTCAAAATGCAGAATTGAATGAGTACCCAACGAATACCACAGACGCTGAACCAACTAATGATAATGAGAATACTTTAGTCAATATTAATAAAAGAGTCGCAACAATATTGCTAAAAAATAAAGCGGATTTAAAAAATACAACAGAAGTAAATGATGAGAAAGAAGTTACACATATTCCTGAAAATCAGTATATTATCAACTCTGAAACTGATAATAAAACGAAAGCCAAACAATTGCATGTCACCGCTGAAACCGAAAATCCCGTTGGACAGGTATTCGAAGAATATTCTGGACACAAAGAATCGGCTAACAATTTATTCCCAGAAACCAGAAATAATGATTATATGGTAGAAATATTTGATGAACCAGACAATGTGACACAAATATTATCAACTTCTAGTCATCAAAATTATGAGACTAGAACAATAACCAAAACACGCAGAATTATAAAAAAAATAGTCTACGTGGATGGAAAAGAACAAATTATTGAAGAAATAATAGAAGAACCAGATATTAAGAACCATAATCAAGAATTTAGTCATTTTGTAGATGCAATAGAAAAACCTGAAAATGCTTTTACATCAAATCAGTCTAGCACAATACAAACTAACAGAGAAACTTCCCATATAACAATAACTAAATCAAAAAAGATCATTAGAAAAGTAATTGTAGTGGACGGTAAAGAAAGTGTAGTGGAAGAAGTCGTAGAAGAAGGGCCACTCAACACAAGTGAAACATTCACATCCGATTACAACCCATTTTTTATGGAAACTAATAGAAAATCAATACAAAATCAAAATAAATTGATTTCGTTAATATCTACACCGTTAAAACAAGAAATTCAAACAACTGATGTCATTCCTAACGAAACGAAAAAACAATCGTTACAAAAAAATATCAAAACAGTTGAAGCAGATAATAATTGTCAAGAGTATGTAATTATACCAAGCTCAGAAACTACTAATAAAAGCAATCAATCAAAAGAAATTATTGAAAACAAAGGAAGTTTAAAAAAGACATATGATGTCAACAGAGAGGAACCAGTTAATCAGTACATAACTAAGGAGCCAGAAATCGTTGAAGAGAACAATGGTGATGTATTAAAAACGTACTACCAAACTTATGAAGAAAAAAAACAAACAAATACACCAGAAAAGTATGTAAGTTCCAGAGAACAATCAGGAACAGATGAAGAAAATAAAAAAACTACATTCGTAACTGTTACAAGAACAAGAAAGATCATTAAAAAAGTAACTGTAGTAGATGGTAAGGAAATAGTAGAAGAACTTGTAGAAGAATGGCCTAACGATAAAGAAGAATGTGGATTAAAAATAAAAGGAACAACAAAAGTTGGTTATAACACAAAAGAGAATATCCATATTTCAGAAATACCAGACACATATACCAGCGACAACTCGGATCAAATTAAAAATGAAAATAAAAAAAAATATGAAAACATGGATGACGGAAACTATTTAGTTCTTCAACACGAAGAAAATTCACAAGTGGAATTACAAAAAGATGACAATAAACATCGAATAAAAAAAAAAGACAAACTTAATACCGTAAGCAGAAGTGAAATAAAACCAAAACACGTCGAAACGAAACCAGAGAAAACACAATCGTTTTTAAGTAAACTTATGCGTAAAGATAAAAATAAAATGCCACAAAAGAAAACAGACATTGAAAAAAGCATAGCTAAAGAAAACAAATCAAACGTTAAATCTTTCATAGAACATGAGCAGGAAGCGTTTAAAATAAACGAAACGAATATCACTGGTAAACTGGACGTCAAGACGCCCAAAGCGGTTGATTTGCCATCAGTTGACGTTAAATCACCACAAGTGTCGGCCAAAGTCGACATCACATCTCCGAAAATCGGTAAACCCGAGTTCGAATTACCTACGGTCGACATCAAGACACCGGGCTTATCCGAAAAAATTGACGTCAAAGTATCGAAAACAATTGACGTGGACGTGCCTAAGGTAGCCGTGCCCGCAGTGGACATAAAAACACCGAAATTCTTTGGTACAGCTGACGTGAAATTGCCAAAAGCGGTCGACGTTCACATTCCAAAAGTCGATATTCCGTCAGCCGATCTTAAATCACCAACAGTATCTGGTAAGGTTGACATCAAATCACCAAAAGCAGTTGATATCACCCTGCCCCACGTGGAATTGCCGAAGGTAGACTTTAAGTCATCGGAAATTTCCGAAAACCTGGACGTCCATGTATCAAAACCAACGGTGGACGTCGACGTGCCACAGGTAAAATTGCCTGCAGTGGACATAAAAACACCGGTAATTGGCGGAAAGGTCGATGTCAAATTGCCCGAATCCGTTGACTCGAAACCAGAAAAACACCAGTCGTTTTTGGGTAAACTAATGCGTAAAGGCAAAAAGGACACGCCGCAGAAATCATTGGACATTGACATAGACACCGACATTGTAGCTAAAACGGAAGTCACGTCTTTCTTGGACCAAGAGAGACAGGCGTTCGAAGTACCGGACCCGAATTTGAATTTGTCTGCATCATTACCGACCATCGACGCACGAGTAGACGTTTCGGCTACTGACGAATCTGCCGACTCGAAATCACCAAGTGCTAAGTCGAGAAAGTCGAAGAAACCTAAAACTGAACAGACCGTACCACAAATAAACAAACCGGCGGCTGATGGCAAGGTTGATATCAAATATACCACAGGTGTCGATATTAAATTACCTAAAGTCGACCTGCCAACGGTTGACGTTAAAACGCCGACAGTATCCGGAATCGTAGACTTACACGCACCGAAGACATTTGACGTCAACGTGCCTCACGTCGACGTTCCGGCAGCTGACATTAAAACACCGCAGATCACCGGTAAACTGGACGTCAAGAAGCCAAAAGCGATTGACGTTAAGATTCCAACGGTCGATTTGCCATCAGTTGACGTTAAATCACCACAAGTGTCGGCCAAAGTCGACATCACATCTCCGAAAATCGGTAAACCCGAGTTCGAATTACCTACGGTCGACATCAAGACACCGGGCTTATCCGAAAAAATTGACGTCAAAGTATCGAAAACAATTGACGTGGACGTGCCTAAGGTAGCCGTGCCCGCAGTGGACATAAAAACACCGAAATTCTTTGGTACAGCTGACGTGAAATTGCCAAAAGCGGTCGACGTTCACATTCCAAAAGTCGATATTCCGTCAGCCGATCTTAAATCACCAACAGTATCTGGTAAGGTTGACATCAAATCACCAAAAGCAGTTGATATCACCCTGCCCCACGTGGAATTGCCGAAGGTAGACTTTAAGTCATCGGAAATTTCCGAAAACCTGGACGTCCATGTATCAAAACCAACGGTGGACGTCGACGTGCCACAGGTAAAATTGCCTGCAGTGGACATAAAAACACCGGTAATTGGCGGAAAGGTCGATGTCAAATTGCCCGAATCCGTTGACTCGAAACCAGAAAAACACCAGTCGTTTTTGGGTAAACTAATGCGTAAAGGCAAAAAGGACACGCCGCAGAAATCATTGGACATTGACATAGACACCGACATTGTAGCTAAAACGGAAGTCACGTCTTTCTTGGACCAAGAGAGACAGGCGTTCGAAGTACCGGACCCGAATTTGAATTTGTCTGCATCATTACCGACCATCGACGCACGAGTAGACGTTTCGGCTACTGACGAATCTGCCGACTCGAAATCACCAAGTGCTAAGTCGAGAAAGTCGAAGAAACCTAAAACTGAACAGACCGTACCACAAATAAACAAACCGGCGGCTGATGGCAAGGTTGATATCAAATATACCACAGGTGTCGATATTAAATTACCTAAAGTCGACCTGCCAACGGTTGACGTTAAAACGCCGACAGTATCCGGAATCGTAGACTTACACGCACCGAAGACATTTGACGTCAACGTGCCTCACGTCGACGTTCCGGCAGCTGACATTAAAACACCGCAGATCACCGGTAAACTGGACGTCAAGAAGCCAAAAGCGATTGACGTTAAGATTCCAACGGTCGATTTGCCATCAGTTGACGTTAAATCACCACAAGTGTCGGCCAAAGTCGACATCACATCTCCGAAAATCGGTAAACCCGAGTTCGAATTACCTACGGTCGACATCAAGACACCGGGCTTATCCGAAAAAATTGACGTCAAAGTATCGAAAACAATTGACGTGGACGTGCCTAAGGTAGCCGTGCCCGCAGTGGACATAAAAACACCGAAATTCTTTGGTACAGCTGACGTGAAATTGCCAAAAGCGGTCGACGTTCACATTCCAAAAGTCGATATTCCGTCAGCCGATCTTAAATCACCAACAGTATCTGGTAAGGTTGACATCAAATCACCAAAAGCAGTTGATATCACCCTGCCCCACGTGGAATTGCCGAAGGTAGACTTTAAGTCATCGGAAATTTCCGAAAACCTGGACGTCCATGTATCAAAACCAACGGTGGACGTCGACGTGCCACAGGTAAAATTGCCTGCAGTGGACATAAAAACACCGGTAATTGGCGGAAAGGTCGATGTCAAATTGCCCGAATCCGTTGACTCGAAACCAGAAAAACACCAGTCGTTTTTGGGTAAACTAATGCGTAAAGGCAAAAAGGACACGCCGCAGAAATCATTGGACATTGACATAGACACCGACATTGTAGCTAAAACGGAAGTCACGTCTTTCTTGGACCAAGAGAGACAGGCGTTCGAAGTACCGGACCCGAATTTGAATTTGTCTGCATCATTACCGACCATCGACGCACGAGTAGACGTTTCGGCTACTGACGAATCTGCCGACTCGAAATCACCAAGTGCTAAGTCGAGAAAGTCGAAGAAACCTAAAACTGAACAGACCGTACCACAAATAAACAAACCGGCGGCTGATGGCAAGGTTGATATCAAATATACCACAGGTGTCGATATTAAATTACCTAAAGTCGACCTGCCAACGGTTGACGTTAAAACGCCGACAGTATCCGGAATCGTAGACTTACACGCACCGAAGACATTTGACGTCAACGTGCCTCACGTCGACGTTCCGGCAGCTGACATTAAAACACCGCAGATCACCGGTAAACTGGACGTCAAGAAGCCAAAAGCGATTGACGTTAAGATTCCAACGGTCGATTTGCCATCAGTTGACGTTAAATCACCACAAGTGTCGGCCAAAGTCGACATCACATCTCCGAAAATCGGTAAACCCGAGTTCGAATTACCTACGGTCGACATCAAGACACCGGGCTTATCCGAAAAAATTGACGTCAAAGTATCGAAAACAATTGACGTGGACGTGCCTAAGGTAGCCGTGCCCGCAGTGGACATAAAAACACCGAAATTCTTTGGTACAGCTGACGTGAAATTGCCAAAAGCGGTCGACGTTCACATTCCAAAAGTCGATATTCCGTCAGCCGATCTTAAATCACCAACAGTATCTGGTAAGGTTGACATCAAATCACCAAAAGCAGTTGATATCACCCTGCCCCACGTGGAATTGCCGAAGGTAGACTTTAAGTCATCGGAAATTTCCGAAAACCTGGACGTCCATGTATCAAAACCAACGGTGGACGTCGACGTGCCACAGGTAAAATTGCCTGCAGTGGACATAAAAACACCGGTAATTGGCGGAAAGGTCGATGTCAAATTGCCCGAATCCGTTGACTCGAAACCAGAAAAACACCAGTCGTTTTTGGGTAAACTAATGCGTAAAGGCAAAAAGGACACGCCGCAGAAATCATTGGACATTGACATAGACACCGACATTGTAGCTAAAACGGAAGTCACGTCTTTCTTGGACCAAGAGAGACAGGCGTTCGAAGTACCGGACCCGAATTTGAATTTGTCTGCATCATTACCGACCATCGACGCACGAGTAGACGTTTCGGCTACTGACGAATCTGCCGACTCGAAATCACCAAGTGCTAAGTCGAGAAAGTCGAAGAAACCTAAAACTGAACAGACCGTACCACAAATAAACAAACCGGCGGCTGATGGCAAGGTTGATATCAAATATACCACAGGTGTCGATATTAAATTACCTAAAGTCGACCTGCCAACGGTTGACGTTAAAACGCCGACAGTATCCGGAATCGTAGACTTACACGCACCGAAGACATTTGACGTCAACGTGCCTCACGTCGACGTTCCGGCAGCTGACATTAAAACACCGCAGATCACCGGTAAACTGGACGTCAAGAAGCCAAAAGCGATTGACGTTAAGATTCCAACGGTCGATTTGCCATCAGTTGACGTTAAATCACCACAAGTGTCGGCCAAAGTCGACATCACATCTCCGAAAATCGGTAAACCCGAGTTCGAATTACCTACGGTCGACATCAAGACACCGGGCTTATCCGAAAAAATTGACGTCAAAGTATCGAAAACAATTGACGTGGACGTGCCTAAGGTAGCCGTGCCCGCAGTGGACATAAAAACACCGAAATTCTTTGGTACAGCTGACGTGAAATTGCCAAAAGCGGTCGACGTTCACATTCCAAAAGTCGATATTCCGTCAGCCGATCTTAAATCACCAACAGTATCTGGTAAGGTTGACATCAAATCACCAAAAGCAGTTGATATCACCCTGCCCCACGTGGAATTGCCGAAGGTAGACTTTAAGTCATCGGAAATTTCCGAAAACCTGGACGTCCATGTATCAAAACCAACGGTGGACGTCGACGTGCCACAGGTAAAATTGCCTGCAGTGGACATAAAAACACCGGTAATTGGCGGAAAGGTCGATGTCAAATTGCCCGAATCCGTTGACTCGAAACCAGAAAAACACCAGTCGTTTTTGGGTAAACTAATGCGTAAAGGCAAAAAGGACACGCCGCAGAAATCATTGGACATTGACATAGACACCGACATTGTAGCTAAAACGGAAGTCACGTCTTTCTTGGACCAAGAGAGACAGGCGTTCGAAGTACCGGACCCGAATTTGAATTTGTCTGCATCATTACCGACCATCGACGCACGAGTAGACGTTTCGGCTACTGACGAATCTGCCGACTCGAAATCACCAAGTGCTAAGTCGAGAAAGTCGAAGAAACCTAAAACTGAACAGACCGTACCACAAATAAACAAACCGGCGGCTGATGGCAAGGTTGATATCAAATATACCACAGGTGTCGATATTAAATTACCTAAAGTCGACCTGCCAACGGTTGACGTTAAAACGCCGACAGTATCCGGAATCGTAGACTTACACGCACCGAAGACATTTGACGTCAACGTGCCTCACGTCGACGTTCCGGCAGCTGACATTAAAACACCGCAGATCACCGGTAAACTGGACGTCAAGAAGCCAAAAGCGATTGACGTTAAGATTCCAACGGTCGATTTGCCATCAGTTGACGTTAAATCACCACAAGTGTCGGCCAAAGTCGACATCACATCTCCGAAAATCGGTAAACCCGAGTTCGAATTACCTACGGTCGACATCAAGACACCGGGCTTATCCGAAAAAATTGACGTCAAAGTATCGAAAACAATTGACGTGGACGTGCCTAAGGTAGCCGTGCCCGCAGTGGACATAAAAACACCGAAATTCTTTGGTACAGCTGACGTGAAATTGCCAAAAGCGGTCGACGTTCACATTCCAAAAGTCGATATTCCGTCAGCCGATCTTAAATCACCAACAGTATCTGGTAAGGTTGACATCAAATCACCAAAAGCAGTTGATATCACCCTGCCCCACGTGGAATTGCCGAAGGTAGACTTTAAGTCATCGGAAATTTCCGAAAACCTGGACGTCCATGTATCAAAACCAACGGTGGACGTCGACGTGCCACAGGTAAAATTGCCTGCAGTGGACATAAAAACACCGGTAATTGGCGGAAAGGTCGATGTCAAATTGCCCGAATCCGTTGACTCGAAACCAGAAAAACACCAGTCGTTTTTGGGTAAACTAATGCGTAAAGGCAAAAAGGACACGCCGCAGAAATCATTGGACATTGACATAGACACCGACATTGTAGCTAAAACGGAAGTCACGTCTTTCTTGGACCAAGAGAGACAGGCGTTCGAAGTACCGGACCCGAATTTGAATTTGTCTGCATCATTACCGACCATCGACGCACGAGTAGACGTTTCGGCTACTGACGAATCTGCCGACTCGAAATCACCAAGTGCTAAGTCGAGAAAGTCGAAGAAACCTAAAACTGAACAGACCGTACCACAAATAAACAAACCGGCGGCTGATGGCAAGGTTGATATCAAATATACCACAGGTGTCGATATTAAATTACCTAAAGTCGACCTGCCAACGGTTGACGTTAAAACGCCGACAGTATCCGGAATCGTAGACTTACACGCACCGAAGACATTTGACGTCAACGTGCCTCACGTCGACGTTCCGGCAGCTGACATTAAAACACCGCAGATCACCGGTAAACTGGACGTCAAGAAGCCAAAAGCGATTGACGTTAAGATTCCAACGGTCGATTTGCCATCAGTTGACGTTAAATCACCACAAGTGTCGGCCAAAGTCGACATCACATCTCCGAAAATCGGTAAACCCGAGTTCGAATTACCTACGGTCGACATCAAGACACCGGGCTTATCCGAAAAAATTGACGTCAAAGTATCGAAAACAATTGACGTGGACGTGCCTAAGGTAGCCGTGCCCGCAGTGGACATAAAAACACCGAAATTCTTTGGTACAGCTGACGTGAAATTGCCAAAAGCGGTCGACGTTCACATTCCAAAAGTCGATATTCCGTCAGCCGATCTTAAATCACCAACAGTATCTGGTAAGGTTGACATCAAATCACCAAAAGCAGTTGATATCACCCTGCCCCACGTGGAATTGCCGAAGGTAGACTTTAAGTCATCGGAAATTTCCGAAAACCTGGACGTCCATGTATCAAAACCAACGGTGGACGTCGACGTGCCACAGGTAAAATTGCCTGCAGTGGACATAAAAACACCGGTAATTGGCGGAAAGGTCGATGTCAAATTGCCCGAATCCGTTGACTCGAAACCAGAAAAACACCAGTCGTTTTTGGGTAAACTAATGCGTAAAGGCAAAAAGGACACGCCGCAGAAATCATTGGACATTGACATAGACACCGACATTGTAGCTAAAACGGAAGTCACGTCTTTCTTGGACCAAGAGAGACAGGCGTTCGAAGTACCGGACCCGAATTTGAATTTGTCTGCATCATTACCGACCATCGACGCACGAGTAGACGTTTCGGCTACTGACGAATCTGCCGACTCGAAATCACCAAGTGCTAAGTCGAGAAAGTCGAAGAAACCTAAAACTGAACAGACCGTACCACAAATAAACAAACCGGCGGCTGATGGCAAGGTTGATATCAAATATACCACAGGTGTCGATATTAAATTACCTAAAGTCGACCTGCCAACGGTTGACGTTAAAACGCCGACAGTATCCGGAATCGTAGACTTACACGCACCGAAGACATTTGACGTCAACGTGCCTCACGTCGACGTTCCGGCAGCTGACATTAAAACACCGCAGATCACCGGTAAACTGGACGTCAAGAAGCCAAAAGCGATTGACGTTAAGATTCCAACGGTCGATTTGCCATCAGTTGACGTTAAATCACCACAAGTGTCGGCCAAAGTCGACATCACATCTCCGAAAATCGGTAAACCCGAGTTCGAATTACCTACGGTCGACATCAAGACACCGGGCTTATCCGAAAAAATTGACGTCAAAGTATCGAAAACAATTGACGTGGACGTGCCTAAGGTAGCCGTGCCCGCAGTGGACATAAAAACACCGAAATTCTTTGGTACAGCTGACGTGAAATTGCCAAAAGCGGTCGACGTTCACATTCCAAAAGTCGATATTCCGTCAGCCGATCTTAAATCACCAACAGTATCTGGTAAGGTTGACATCAAATCACCAAAAGCAGTTGATATCACCCTGCCCCACGTGGAATTGCCGAAGGTAGACTTTAAGTCATCGGAAATTTCCGAAAACCTGGACGTCCATGTATCAAAACCAACGGTGGACGTCGACGTGCCACAGGTAAAATTGCCTGCAGTGGACATAAAAACACCGGTAATTGGCGGAAAGGTCGATGTCAAATTGCCCGAATCCGTTGACTCGAAACCAGAAAAACACCAGTCGTTTTTGGGTAAACTAATGCGTAAAGGCAAAAAGGACACGCCGCAGAAATCATTGGACATTGACATAGACACCGACATTGTAGCTAAAACGGAAGTCACGTCTTTCTTGGACCAAGAGAGACAGGCGTTCGAAGTACCGGACCCGAATTTGAATTTGTCTGCATCATTACCGACCATCGACGCACGAGTAGACGTTTCGGCTACTGACGAATCTGCCGACTCGAAATCACCAAGTGCTAAGTCGAGAAAGTCGAAGAAACCTAAAACTGAACAGACCGTACCACAAATAAACAAACCGGCGGCTGATGGCAAGGTTGATATCAAATATACCACAGGTGTCGATATTAAATTACCTAAAGTCGACCTGCCAACGGTTGACGTTAAAACGCCGACAGTATCCGGAATCGTAGACTTACACGCACCGAAGACATTTGACGTCAACGTGCCTCACGTCGACGTTCCGGCAGCTGACATTAAAACACCGCAGATCACCGGTAAACTGGACGTCAAGAAGCCAAAAGCGATTGACGTTAAGATTCCAACGGTCGATTTGCCATCAGTTGACGTTAAATCACCACAAGTGTCGGCCAAAGTCGACATCACATCTCCGAAAATCGGTAAACCCGAGTTCGAATTACCTACGGTCGACATCAAGACACCGGGCTTATCCGAAAAAATTGACGTCAAAGTATCGAAAACAATTGACGTGGACGTGCCTAAGGTAGCCGTGCCCGCAGTGGACATAAAAACACCGAAATTCTTTGGTACAGCTGACGTGAAATTGCCAAAAGCGGTCGACGTTCACATTCCAAAAGTCGATATTCCGTCAGCCGATCTTAAATCACCAACAGTATCTGGTAAGGTTGACATCAAATCACCAAAAGCAGTTGATATCACCCTGCCCCACGTGGAATTGCCGAAGGTAGACTTTAAGTCATCGGAAATTTCCGAAAACCTGGACGTCCATGTATCAAAACCAACGGTGGACGTCGACGTGCCACAGGTAAAATTGCCTGCAGTGGACATAAAAACACCGGTAATTGGCGGAAAGGTCGATGTCAAATTGCCCGAATCCGTTGACTCGAAACCAGAAAAACACCAGTCGTTTTTGGGTAAACTAATGCGTAAAGGCAAAAAGGACACGCCGCAGAAATCATTGGACATTGACATAGACACCGACATTGTAGCTAAAACGGAAGTCACGTCTTTCTTGGACCAAGAGAGACAGGCGTTCGAAGTACCGGACCCGAATTTGAATTTGTCTGCATCATTACCGACCATCGACGCACGAGTAGACGTTTCGGCTACTGACGAATCTGCCGACTCGAAATCACCAAGTGCTAAGTCGAGAAAGTCGAAGAAACCTAAAACTGAACAGACCGTACCACAAATAAACAAACCGGCGGCTGATGGCAAGGTTGATATCAAATATACCACAGGTGTCGATATTAAATTACCTAAAGTCGACCTGCCAACGGTTGACGTTAAAACGCCGACAGTATCCGGAATCGTAGACTTACACGCACCGAAGACATTTGACGTCAACGTGCCTCACGTCGACGTTCCGGCAGCTGACATTAAAACACCGCAGATCACCGGTAAACTGGACGTCAAGAAGCCAAAAGCGATTGACGTTAAGATTCCAACGGTCGATTTGCCATCAGTTGACGTTAAATCACCACAAGTGTCGGCCAAAGTCGACATCACATCTCCGAAAATCGGTAAACCCGAGTTCGAATTACCTACGGTCGACATCAAGACACCGGGCTTATCCGAAAAAATTGACGTCAAAGTATCGAAAACAATTGACGTGGACGTGCCTAAGGTAGCCGTGCCCGCAGTGGACATAAAAACACCGAAATTCTTTGGTACAGCTGACGTGAAATTGCCAAAAGCGGTCGACGTTCACATTCCAAAAGTCGATATTCCGTCAGCCGATCTTAAATCACCAACAGTATCTGGTAAGGTTGACATCAAATCACCAAAAGCAGTTGATATCACCCTGCCCCACGTGGAATTGCCGAAGGTAGACTTTAAGTCATCGGAAATTTCCGAAAACCTGGACGTCCATGTATCAAAACCAACGGTGGACGTCGACGTGCCACAGGTAAAATTGCCTGCAGTGGACATAAAAACACCGGTAATTGGCGGAAAGGTCGATGTCAAATTGCCCGAATCCGTTGACTCGAAACCAGAAAAACACCAGTCGTTTTTGGGTAAACTAATGCGTAAAGGCAAAAAGGACACGCCGCAGAAATCATTGGACATTGACATAGACACCGACATTGTAGCTAAAACGGAAGTCACGTCTTTCTTGGACCAAGAGAGACAGGCGTTCGAAGTACCGGACCCGAATTTGAATTTGTCTGCATCATTACCGACCATCGACGCACGAGTAGACGTTTCGGCTACTGACGAATCTGCCGACTCGAAATCACCAAGTGCTAAGTCGAGAAAGTCGAAGAAACCTAAAACTGAACAGACCGTACCACAAATAAACAAACCGGCGGCTGATGGCAAGGTTGATATCAAATATACCACAGGTGTCGATATTAAATTACCTAAAGTCGACCTGCCAACGGTTGACGTTAAAACGCCGACAGTATCCGGAATCGTAGACTTACACGCACCGAAGACATTTGACGTCAACGTGCCTCACGTCGACGTTCCGGCAGCTGACATTAAAACACCGCAGATCACCGGTAAACTGGACGTCAAGAAGCCAAAAGCGATTGACGTTAAGATTCCAACGGTCGATTTGCCATCAGTTGACGTTAAATCACCACAAGTGTCGGCCAAAGTCGACATCACATCTCCGAAAATCGGTAAACCCGAGTTCGAATTACCTACGGTCGACATCAAGACACCGGGCTTATCCGAAAAAATTGACGTCAAAGTATCGAAAACAATTGACGTGGACGTGCCTAAGGTAGCCGTGCCCGCAGTGGACATAAAAACACCGAAATTCTTTGGTACAGCTGACGTGAAATTGCCAAAAGCGGTCGACGTTCACATTCCAAAAGTCGATATTCCGTCAGCCGATCTTAAATCACCAACAGTATCTGGTAAGGTTGACATCAAATCACCAAAAGCAGTTGATATCACCCTGCCCCACGTGGAATTGCCGAAGGTAGACTTTAAGTCATCGGAAATTTCCGAAAACCTGGACGTCCATGTATCAAAACCAACGGTGGACGTCGACGTGCCACAGGTAAAATTGCCTGCAGTGGACATAAAAACACCGGTAATTGGCGGAAAGGTCGATGTCAAATTGCCCGAATCCGTTGACTCGAAACCAGAAAAACACCAGTCGTTTTTGGGTAAACTAATGCGTAAAGGCAAAAAGGACACGCCGCAGAAATCATTGGACATTGACATAGACACCGACATTGTAGCTAAAACGGAAGTCACGTCTTTCTTGGACCAAGAGAGACAGGCGTTCGAAGTACCGGACCCGAATTTGAATTTGTCTGCATCATTACCGACCATCGACGCACGAGTAGACGTTTCGGCTACTGACGAATCTGCCGACTCGAAATCACCAAGTGCTAAGTCGAGAAAGTCGAAGAAACCTAAAACTGAACAGACCGTACCACAAATAAACAAACCGGCGGCTGATGGCAAGGTTGATATCAAATATACCACAGGTGTCGATATTAAATTACCTAAAGTCGACCTGCCAACGGTTGACGTTAAAACGCCGACAGTATCCGGAATCGTAGACTTACACGCACCGAAGACATTTGACGTCAACGTGCCTCACGTCGACGTTCCGGCAGCTGACATTAAAACACCGCAGATCACCGGTAAACTGGACGTCAAGAAGCCAAAAGCGATTGACGTTAAGATTCCAACGGTCGATTTGCCATCAGTTGACGTTAAATCACCACAAGTGTCGGCCAAAGTCGACATCACATCTCCGAAAATCGGTAAACCCGAGTTCGAATTACCTACGGTCGACATCAAGACACCGGGCTTATCCGAAAAAATTGACGTCAAAGTATCGAAAACAATTGACGTGGACGTGCCTAAGGTAGCCGTGCCCGCAGTGGACATAAAAACACCGAAATTCTTTGGTACAGCTGACGTGAAATTGCCAAAAGCGGTCGACGTTCACATTCCAAAAGTCGATATTCCGTCAGCCGATCTTAAATCACCAACAGTATCTGGTAAGGTTGACATCAAATCACCAAAAGCAGTTGATATCACCCTGCCCCACGTGGAATTGCCGAAGGTAGACTTTAAGTCATCGGAAATTTCCGAAAACCTGGACGTCCATGTATCAAAACCAACGGTGGACGTCGACGTGCCACAGGTAAAATTGCCTGCAGTGGACATAAAAACACCGGTAATTGGCGGAAAGGTCGATGTCAAATTGCCCGAATCCGTTGACTCGAAACCAGAAAAACACCAGTCGTTTTTGGGTAAACTAATGCGTAAAGGCAAAAAGGACACGCCGCAGAAATCATTGGACATTGACATAGACACCGACATTGTAGCTAAAACGGAAGTCACGTCTTTCTTGGACCAAGAGAGACAGGCGTTCGAAGTACCGGACCCGAATTTGAATTTGTCTGCATCATTACCGACCATCGACGCACGAGTAGACGTTTCGGCTACTGACGAATCTGCCGACTCGAAATCACCAAGTGCTAAGTCGAGAAAGTCGAAGAAACCTAAAACTGAACAGACCGTACCACAAATAAACAAACCGGCGGCTGATGGCAAGGTTGATATCAAATATACCACAGGTGTCGATATTAAATTACCTAAAGTCGACCTGCCAACGGTTGACGTTAAAACGCCGACAGTATCCGGAATCGTAGACTTACACGCACCGAAGACATTTGACGTCAACGTGCCTCACGTCGACGTTCCGGCAGCTGACATTAAAACACCGCAGATCACCGGTAAACTGGACGTCAAGAAGCCAAAAGCGATTGACGTTAAGATTCCAACGGTCGATTTGCCATCAGTTGACGTTAAATCACCACAAGTGTCGGCCAAAGTCGACATCACATCTCCGAAAATCGGTAAACCCGAGTTCGAATTACCTACGGTCGACATCAAGACACCGGGCTTATCCGAAAAAATTGACGTCAAAGTATCGAAAACAATTGACGTGGACGTGCCTAAGGTAGCCGTGCCCGCAGTGGACATAAAAACACCGAAATTCTTTGGTACAGCTGACGTGAAATTGCCAAAAGCGGTCGACGTTCACATTCCAAAAGTCGATATTCCGTCAGCCGATCTTAAATCACCAACAGTATCTGGTAAGGTTGACATCAAATCACCAAAAGCAGTTGATATCACCCTGCCCCACGTGGAATTGCCGAAGGTAGACTTTAAGTCATCGGAAATTTCCGAAAACCTGGACGTCCATGTATCAAAACCAACGGTGGACGTCGACGTGCCACAGGTAAAATTGCCTGCAGTGGACATAAAAACACCGGTAATTGGCGGAAAGGTCGATGTCAAATTGCCCGAATCCGTTGACTCGAAACCAGAAAAACACCAGTCGTTTTTGGGTAAACTAATGCGTAAAGGCAAAAAGGACACGCCGCAGAAATCATTGGACATTGACATAGACACCGACATTGTAGCTAAAACGGAAGTCACGTCTTTCTTGGACCAAGAGAGACAGGCGTTCGAAGTACCGGACCCGAATTTGAATTTGTCTGCATCATTACCGACCATCGACGCACGAGTAGACGTTTCGGCTACTGACGAATCTGCCGACTCGAAATCACCAAGTGCTAAGTCGAGAAAGTCGAAGAAACCTAAAACTGAACAGACCGTACCACAAATAAACAAACCGGCGGCTGATGGCAAGGTTGATATCAAATATACCACAGGTGTCGATATTAAATTACCTAAAGTCGACCTGCCAACGGTTGACGTTAAAACGCCGACAGTATCCGGAATCGTAGACTTACACGCACCGAAGACATTTGACGTCAACGTGCCTCACGTCGACGTTCCGGCAGCTGACATTAAAACACCGCAGATCACCGGTAAACTGGACGTCAAGAAGCCAAAAGCGATTGACGTTAAGATTCCAACGGTCGATTTGCCATCAGTTGACGTTAAATCACCACAAGTGTCGGCCAAAGTCGACATCACATCTCCGAAAATCGGTAAACCCGAGTTCGAATTACCTACGGTCGACATCAAGACACCGGGCTTATCCGAAAAAATTGACGTCAAAGTATCGAAAACAATTGACGTGGACGTGCCTAAGGTAGCCGTGCCCGCAGTGGACATAAAAACACCGAAATTCTTTGGTACAGCTGACGTGAAATTGCCAAAAGCGGTCGACGTTCACATTCCAAAAGTCGATATTCCGTCAGCCGATCTTAAATCACCAACAGTATCTGGTAAGGTTGACATCAAATCACCAAAAGCAGTTGATATCACCCTGCCCCACGTGGAATTGCCGAAGGTAGACTTTAAGTCATCGGAAATTTCCGAAAACCTGGACGTCCATGTATCAAAACCAACGGTGGACGTCGACGTGCCACAGGTAAAATTGCCTGCAGTGGACATAAAAACACCGGTAATTGGCGGAAAGGTCGATGTCAAATTGCCCGAATCCGTTGACTCGAAACCAGAAAAACACCAGTCGTTTTTGGGTAAACTAATGCGTAAAGGCAAAAAGGACACGCCGCAGAAATCATTGGACATTGACATAGACACCGACATTGTAGCTAAAACGGAAGTCACGTCTTTCTTGGACCAAGAGAGACAGGCGTTCGAAGTACCGGACCCGAATTTGAATTTGTCTGCATCATTACCGACCATCGACGCACGAGTAGACGTTTCGGCTACTGACGAATCTGCCGACTCGAAATCACCAAGTGCTAAGTCGAGAAAGTCGAAGAAACCTAAAACTGAACAGACCGTACCACAAATAAACAAACCGGCGGCTGATGGCAAGGTTGATATCAAATATACCACAGGTGTCGATATTAAATTACCTAAAGTCGACCTGCCAACGGTTGACGTTAAAACGCCGACAGTATCCGGAATCGTAGACTTACACGCACCGAAGACATTTGACGTCAACGTGCCTCACGTCGACGTTCCGGCAGCTGACATTAAAACACCGCAGATCACCGGTAAACTGGACGTCAAGAAGCCAAAAGCGATTGACGTTAAGATTCCAACGGTCGATTTGCCATCAGTTGACGTTAAATCACCACAAGTGTCGGCCAAAGTCGACATCACATCTCCGAAAATCGGTAAACCCGAGTTCGAATTACCTACGGTCGACATCAAGACACCGGGCTTATCCGAAAAAATTGACGTCAAAGTATCGAAAACAATTGACGTGGACGTGCCTAAGGTAGCCGTGCCCGCAGTGGACATAAAAACACCGAAATTCTTTGGTACAGCTGACGTGAAATTGCCAAAAGCGGTCGACGTTCACATTCCAAAAGTCGATATTCCGTCAGCCGATCTTAAATCACCAACAGTATCTGGTAAGGTTGACATCAAATCACCAAAAGCAGTTGATATCACCCTGCCCCACGTGGAATTGCCGAAGGTAGACTTTAAGTCATCGGAAATTTCCGAAAACCTGGACGTCCATGTATCAAAACCAACGGTGGACGTCGACGTGCCACAGGTAAAATTGCCTGCAGTGGACATAAAAACACCGGTAATTGGCGGAAAGGTCGATGTCAAATTGCCCGAATCCGTTGACTCGAAACCAGAAAAACACCAGTCGTTTTTGGGTAAACTAATGCGTAAAGGCAAAAAGGACACGCCGCAGAAATCATTGGACATTGACATAGACACCGACATTGTAGCTAAAACGGAAGTCACGTCTTTCTTGGACCAAGAGAGACAGGCGTTCGAAGTACCGGACCCGAATTTGAATTTGTCTGCATCATTACCGACCATCGACGCACGAGTAGACGTTTCGGCTACTGACGAATCTGCCGACTCGAAATCACCAAGTGCTAAGTCGAGAAAGTCGAAGAAACCTAAAACTGAACAGACCGTACCACAAATAAACAAACCGGCGGCTGATGGCAAGGTTGATATCAAATATACCACAGGTGTCGATATTAAATTACCTAAAGTCGACCTGCCAACGGTTGACGTTAAAACGCCGACAGTATCCGGAATCGTAGACTTACACGCACCGAAGACATTTGACGTCAACGTGCCTCACGTCGACGTTCCGGCAGCTGACATTAAAACACCGCAGATCACCGGTAAACTGGACGTCAAGAAGCCAAAAGCGATTGACGTTAAGATTCCAACGGTCGATTTGCCATCAGTTGACGTTAAATCACCACAAGTGTCGGCCAAAGTCGACATCACATCTCCGAAAATCGGTAAACCCGAGTTCGAATTACCTACGGTCGACATCAAGACACCGGGCTTATCCGAAAAAATTGACGTCAAAGTATCGAAAACAATTGACGTGGACGTGCCTAAGGTAGCCGTGCCCGCAGTGGACATAAAAACACCGAAATTCTTTGGTACAGCTGACGTGAAATTGCCAAAAGCGGTCGACGTTCACATTCCAAAAGTCGATATTCCGTCAGCCGATCTTAAATCACCAACAGTATCTGGTAAGGTTGACATCAAATCACCAAAAGCAGTTGATATCACCCTGCCCCACGTGGAATTGCCGAAGGTAGACTTTAAGTCATCGGAAATTTCCGAAAACCTGGACGTCCATGTATCAAAACCAACGGTGGACGTCGACGTGCCACAGGTAAAATTGCCTGCAGTGGACATAAAAACACCGGTAATTGGCGGAAAGGTCGATGTCAAATTGCCCGAATCCGTTGACTCGAAACCAGAAAAACACCAGTCGTTTTTGGGTAAACTAATGCGTAAAGGCAAAAAGGACACGCCGCAGAAATCATTGGACATTGACATAGACACCGACATTGTAGCTAAAACGGAAGTCACGTCTTTCTTGGACCAAGAGAGACAGGCGTTCGAAGTACCGGACCCGAATTTGAATTTGTCTGCATCATTACCGACCATCGACGCACGAGTAGACGTTTCGGCTACTGACGAATCTGCCGACTCGAAATCACCAAGTGCTAAGTCGAGAAAGTCGAAGAAACCTAAAACTGAACAGACCGTACCACAAATAAACAAACCGGCGGCTGATGGCAAGGTTGATATCAAATATACCACAGGTGTCGATATTAAATTACCTAAAGTCGACCTGCCAACGGTTGACGTTAAAACGCCGACAGTATCCGGAATCGTAGACTTACACGCACCGAAGACATTTGACGTCAACGTGCCTCACGTCGACGTTCCGGCAGCTGACATTAAAACACCGCAGATCACCGGTAAACTGGACGTCAAGAAGCCAAAAGCGATTGACGTTAAGATTCCAACGGTCGATTTGCCATCAGTTGACGTTAAATCACCACAAGTGTCGGCCAAAGTCGACATCACATCTCCGAAAATCGGTAAACCCGAGTTCGAATTACCTACGGTCGACATCAAGACACCGGGCTTATCCGAAAAAATTGACGTCAAAGTATCGAAAACAATTGACGTGGACGTGCCTAAGGTAGCCGTGCCCGCAGTGGACATAAAAACACCGAAATTCTTTGGTACAGCTGACGTGAAATTGCCAAAAGCGGTCGACGTTCACATTCCAAAAGTCGATATTCCGTCAGCCGATCTTAAATCACCAACAGTATCTGGTAAGGTTGACATCAAATCACCAAAAGCAGTTGATATCACCCTGCCCCACGTGGAATTGCCGAAGGTAGACTTTAAGTCATCGGAAATTTCCGAAAACCTGGACGTCCATGTATCAAAACCAACGGTGGACGTCGACGTGCCACAGGTAAAATTGCCTGCAGTGGACATAAAAACACCGGTAATTGGCGGAAAGGTCGATGTCAAATTGCCCGAATCCGTTGACTCGAAACCAGAAAAACACCAGTCGTTTTTGGGTAAACTAATGCGTAAAGGCAAAAAGGACACGCCGCAGAAATCATTGGACATTGACATAGACACCGACATTGTAGCTAAAACGGAAGTCACGTCTTTCTTGGACCAAGAGAGACAGGCGTTCGAAGTACCGGACCCGAATTTGAATTTGTCTGCATCATTACCGACCATCGACGCACGAGTAGACGTTTCGGCTACTGACGAATCTGCCGACTCGAAATCACCAAGTGCTAAGTCGAGAAAGTCGAAGAAACCTAAAACTGAACAGACCGTACCACAAATAAACAAACCGGCGGCTGATGGCAAGGTTGATATCAAATATACCACAGGTGTCGATATTAAATTACCTAAAGTCGACCTGCCAACGGTTGACGTTAAAACGCCGACAGTATCCGGAATCGTAGACTTACACGCACCGAAGACATTTGACGTCAACGTGCCTCACGTCGACGTTCCGGCAGCTGACATTAAAACACCGCAGATCACCGGTAAACTGGACGTCAAGAAGCCAAAAGCGATTGACGTTAAGATTCCAACGGTCGATTTGCCATCAGTTGACGTTAAATCACCACAAGTGTCGGCCAAAGTCGACATCACATCTCCGAAAATCGGTAAACCCGAGTTCGAATTACCTACGGTCGACATCAAGACACCGGGCTTATCCGAAAAAATTGACGTCAAAGTATCGAAAACAATTGACGTGGACGTGCCTAAGGTAGCCGTGCCCGCAGTGGACATAAAAACACCGAAATTCTTTGGTACAGCTGACGTGAAATTGCCAAAAGCGGTCGACGTTCACATTCCAAAAGTCGATATTCCGTCAGCCGATCTTAAATCACCAACAGTATCTGGTAAGGTTGACATCAAATCACCAAAAGCAGTTGATATCACCCTGCCCCACGTGGAATTGCCGAAGGTAGACTTTAAGTCATCGGAAATTTCCGAAAACCTGGACGTCCATGTATCAAAACCAACGGTGGACGTCGACGTGCCACAGGTAAAATTGCCTGCAGTGGACATAAAAACACCGGTAATTGGCGGAAAGGTCGATGTCAAATTGCCCGAATCCGTTGACTCGAAACCAGAAAAACACCAGTCGTTTTTGGGTAAACTAATGCGTAAAGGCAAAAAGGACACGCCGCAGAAATCATTGGACATTGACATAGACACCGACATTGTAGCTAAAACGGAAGTCACGTCTTTCTTGGACCAAGAGAGACAGGCGTTCGAAGTACCGGACCCGAATTTGAATTTGTCTGCATCATTACCGACCATCGACGCACGAGTAGACGTTTCGGCTACTGACGAATCTGCCGACTCGAAATCACCAAGTGCTAAGTCGAGAAAGTCGAAGAAACCTAAAACTGAACAGACCGTACCACAAATAAACAAACCGGCGGCTGATGGCAAGGTTGATATCAAATATACCACAGGTGTCGATATTAAATTACCTAAAGTCGACCTGCCAACGGTTGACGTTAAAACGCCGACAGTATCCGGAATCGTAGACTTACACGCACCGAAGACATTTGACGTCAACGTGCCTCACGTCGACGTTCCGGCAGCTGACATTAAAACACCGCAGATCACCGGTAAACTGGACGTCAAGAAGCCAAAAGCGATTGACGTTAAGATTCCAACGGTCGATTTGCCATCAGTTGACGTTAAATCACCACAAGTGTCGGCCAAAGTCGACATCACATCTCCGAAAATCGGTAAACCCGAGTTCGAATTACCTACGGTCGACATCAAGACACCGGGCTTATCCGAAAAAATTGACGTCAAAGTATCGAAAACAATTGACGTGGACGTGCCTAAGGTAGCCGTGCCCGCAGTGGACATAAAAACACCGAAATTCTTTGGTACAGCTGACGTGAAATTGCCAAAAGCGGTCGACGTTCACATTCCAAAAGTCGATATTCCGTCAGCCGATCTTAAATCACCAACAGTATCTGGTAAGGTTGACATCAAATCACCAAAAGCAGTTGATATCACCCTGCCCCACGTGGAATTGCCGAAGGTAGACTTTAAGTCATCGGAAATTTCCGAAAACCTGGACGTCCATGTATCAAAACCAACGGTGGACGTCGACGTGCCACAGGTAAAATTGCCTGCAGTGGACATAAAAACACCGGTAATTGGCGGAAAGGTCGATGTCAAATTGCCCGAATCCGTTGACTCGAAACCAGAAAAACACCAGTCGTTTTTGGGTAAACTAATGCGTAAAGGCAAAAAGGACACGCCGCAGAAATCATTGGACATTGACATAGACACCGACATTGTAGCTAAAACGGAAGTCACGTCTTTCTTGGACCAAGAGAGACAGGCGTTCGAAGTACCGGACCCGAATTTGAATTTGTCTGCATCATTACCGACCATCGACGCACGAGTAGACGTTTCGGCTACTGACGAATCTGCCGACTCGAAATCACCAAGTGCTAAGTCGAGAAAGTCGAAGAAACCTAAAACTGAACAGACCGTACCACAAATAAACAAACCGGCGGCTGATGGCAAGGTTGATATCAAATATACCACAGGTGTCGATATTAAATTACCTAAAGTCGACCTGCCAACGGTTGACGTTAAAACGCCGACAGTATCCGGAATCGTAGACTTACACGCACCGAAGACATTTGACGTCAACGTGCCTCACGTCGACGTTCCGGCAGCTGACATTAAAACACCGCAGATCACCGGTAAACTGGACGTCAAGAAGCCAAAAGCGATTGACGTTAAGATTCCAACGGTCGATTTGCCATCAGTTGACGTTAAATCACCACAAGTGTCGGCCAAAGTCGACATCACATCTCCGAAAATCGGTAAACCCGAGTTCGAATTACCTACGGTCGACATCAAGACACCGGGCTTATCCGAAAAAATTGACGTCAAAGTATCGAAAACAATTGACGTGGACGTGCCTAAGGTAGCCGTGCCCGCAGTGGACATAAAAACACCGAAATTCTTTGGTACAGCTGACGTGAAATTGCCAAAAGCGGTCGACGTTCACATTCCAAAAGTCGATATTCCGTCAGCCGATCTTAAATCACCAACAGTATCTGGTAAGGTTGACATCAAATCACCAAAAGCAGTTGATATCACCCTGCCCCACGTGGAATTGCCGAAGGTAGACTTTAAGTCATCGGAAATTTCCGAAAACCTGGACGTCCATGTATCAAAACCAACGGTGGACGTCGACGTGCCACAGGTAAAATTGCCTGCAGTGGACATAAAAACACCGGTAATTGGCGGAAAGGTCGATGTCAAATTGCCCGAATCCGTTGACTCGAAACCAGAAAAACACCAGTCGTTTTTGGGTAAACTAATGCGTAAAGGCAAAAAGGACACGCCGCAGAAATCATTGGACATTGACATAGACACCGACATTGTAGCTAAAACGGAAGTCACGTCTTTCTTGGACCAAGAGAGACAGGCGTTCGAAGTACCGGACCCGAATTTGAATTTGTCTGCATCATTACCGACCATCGACGCACGAGTAGACGTTTCGGCTACTGACGAATCTGCCGACTCGAAATCACCAAGTGCTAAGTCGAGAAAGTCGAAGAAACCTAAAACTGAACAGACCGTACCACAAATAAACAAACCGGCGGCTGATGGCAAGGTTGATATCAAATATACCACAGGTGTCGATATTAAATTACCTAAAGTCGACCTGCCAACGGTTGACGTTAAAACGCCGACAGTATCCGGAATCGTAGACTTACACGCACCGAAGACATTTGACGTCAACGTGCCTCACGTCGACGTTCCGGCAGCTGACATTAAAACACCGCAGATCACCGGTAAACTGGACGTCAAGAAGCCAAAAGCGATTGACGTTAAGATTCCAACGGTCGATTTGCCATCAGTTGACGTTAAATCACCACAAGTGTCGGCCAAAGTCGACATCACATCTCCGAAAATCGGTAAACCCGAGTTCGAATTACCTACGGTCGACATCAAGACACCGGGCTTATCCGAAAAAATTGACGTCAAAGTATCGAAAACAATTGACGTGGACGTGCCTAAGGTAGCCGTGCCCGCAGTGGACATAAAAACACCGAAATTCTTTGGTACAGCTGACGTGAAATTGCCAAAAGCGGTCGACGTTCACATTCCAAAAGTCGATATTCCGTCAGCCGATCTTAAATCACCAACAGTATCTGGTAAGGTTGACATCAAATCACCAAAAGCAGTTGATATCACCCTGCCCCACGTGGAATTGCCGAAGGTAGACTTTAAGTCATCGGAAATTTCCGAAAACCTGGACGTCCATGTATCAAAACCAACGGTGGACGTCGACGTGCCACAGGTAAAATTGCCTGCAGTGGACATAAAAACACCGGTAATTGGCGGAAAGGTCGATGTCAAATTGCCCGAATCCGTTGACTCGAAACCAGAAAAACACCAGTCGTTTTTGGGTAAACTAATGCGTAAAGGCAAAAAGGACACGCCGCAGAAATCATTGGACATTGACATAGACACCGACATTGTAGCTAAAACGGAAGTCACGTCTTTCTTGGACCAAGAGAGACAGGCGTTCGAAGTACCGGACCCGAATTTGAATTTGTCTGCATCATTACCGACCATCGACGCACGAGTAGACGTTTCGGCTACTGACGAATCTGCCGACTCGAAATCACCAAGTGCTAAGTCGAGAAAGTCGAAGAAACCTAAAACTGAACAGACCGTACCACAAATAAACAAACCGGCGGCTGATGGCAAGGTTGATATCAAATATACCACAGGTGTCGATATTAAATTACCTAAAGTCGACCTGCCAACGGTTGACGTTAAAACGCCGACAGTATCCGGAATCGTAGACTTACACGCACCGAAGACATTTGACGTCAACGTGCCTCACGTCGACGTTCCGGCAGCTGACATTAAAACACCGCAGATCACCGGTAAACTGGACGTCAAGAAGCCAAAAGCGATTGACGTTAAGATTCCAACGGTCGATTTGCCATCAGTTGACGTTAAATCACCACAAGTGTCGGCCAAAGTCGACATCACATCTCCGAAAATCGGTAAACCCGAGTTCGAATTACCTACGGTCGACATCAAGACACCGGGCTTATCCGAAAAAATTGACGTCAAAGTATCGAAAACAATTGACGTGGACGTGCCTAAGGTAGCCGTGCCCGCAGTGGACATAAAAACACCGAAATTCTTTGGTACAGCTGACGTGAAATTGCCAAAAGCGGTCGACGTTCACATTCCAAAAGTCGATATTCCGTCAGCCGATCTTAAATCACCAACAGTATCTGGTAAGGTTGACATCAAATCACCAAAAGCAGTTGATATCACCCTGCCCCACGTGGAATTGCCGAAGGTAGACTTTAAGTCATCGGAAATTTCCGAAAACCTGGACGTCCATGTATCAAAACCAACGGTGGACGTCGACGTGCCACAGGTAAAATTGCCTGCAGTGGACATAAAAACACCGGTAATTGGCGGAAAGGTCGATGTCAAATTGCCCGAATCCGTTGACTCGAAACCAGAAAAACACCAGTCGTTTTTGGGTAAACTAATGCGTAAAGGCAAAAAGGACACGCCGCAGAAATCATTGGACATTGACATAGACACCGACATTGTAGCTAAAACGGAAGTCACGTCTTTCTTGGACCAAGAGAGACAGGCGTTCGAAGTACCGGACCCGAATTTGAATTTGTCTGCATCATTACCGACCATCGACGCACGAGTAGACGTTTCGGCTACTGACGAATCTGCCGACTCGAAATCACCAAGTGCTAAGTCGAGAAAGTCGAAGAAACCTAAAACTGAACAGACCGTACCACAAATAAACAAACCGGCGGCTGATGGCAAGGTTGATATCAAATATACCACAGGTGTCGATATTAAATTACCTAAAGTCGACCTGCCAACGGTTGACGTTAAAACGCCGACAGTATCCGGAATCGTAGACTTACACGCACCGAAGACATTTGACGTCAACGTGCCTCACGTCGACGTTCCGGCAGCTGACATTAAAACACCGCAGATCACCGGTAAACTGGACGTCAAGAAGCCAAAAGCGATTGACGTTAAGATTCCAACGGTCGATTTGCCATCAGTTGACGTTAAATCACCACAAGTGTCGGCCAAAGTCGACATCACATCTCCGAAAATCGGTAAACCCGAGTTCGAATTACCTACGGTCGACATCAAGACACCGGGCTTATCCGAAAAAATTGACGTCAAAGTATCGAAAACAATTGACGTGGACGTGCCTAAGGTAGCCGTGCCCGCAGTGGACATAAAAACACCGAAATTCTTTGGTACAGCTGACGTGAAATTGCCAAAAGCGGTCGACGTTCACATTCCAAAAGTCGATATTCCGTCAGCCGATCTTAAATCACCAACAGTATCTGGTAAGGTTGACATCAAATCACCAAAAGCAGTTGATATCACCCTGCCCCACGTGGAATTGCCGAAGGTAGACTTTAAGTCATCGGAAATTTCCGAAAACCTGGACGTCCATGTATCAAAACCAACGGTGGACGTCGACGTGCCACAGGTAAAATTGCCTGCAGTGGACATAAAAACACCGGTAATTGGCGGAAAGGTCGATGTCAAATTGCCCGAATCCGTTGACTCGAAACCAGAAAAACACCAGTCGTTTTTGGGTAAACTAATGCGTAAAGGCAAAAAGGACACGCCGCAGAAATCATTGGACATTGACATAGACACCGACATTGTAGCTAAAACGGAAGTCACGTCTTTCTTGGACCAAGAGAGACAGGCGTTCGAAGTACCGGACCCGAATTTGAATTTGTCTGCATCATTACCGACCATCGACGCACGAGTAGACGTTTCGGCTACTGACGAATCTGCCGACTCGAAATCACCAAGTGCTAAGTCGAGAAAGTCGAAGAAACCTAAAACTGAACAGACCGTACCACAAATAAACAAACCGGCGGCTGATGGCAAGGTTGATATCAAATATACCACAGGTGTCGATATTAAATTACCTAAAGTCGACCTGCCAACGGTTGACGTTAAAACGCCGACAGTATCCGGAATCGTAGACTTACACGCACCGAAGACATTTGACGTCAACGTGCCTCACGTCGACGTTCCGGCAGCTGACATTAAAACACCGCAGATCACCGGTAAACTGGACGTCAAGAAGCCAAAAGCGATTGACGTTAAGATTCCAACGGTCGATTTGCCATCAGTTGACGTTAAATCACCACAAGTGTCGGCCAAAGTCGACATCACATCTCCGAAAATCGGTAAACCCGAGTTCGAATTACCTACGGTCGACATCAAGACACCGGGCTTATCCGAAAAAATTGACGTCAAAGTATCGAAAACAATTGACGTGGACGTGCCTAAGGTAGCCGTGCCCGCAGTGGACATAAAAACACCGAAATTCTTTGGTACAGCTGACGTGAAATTGCCAAAAGCGGTCGACGTTCACATTCCAAAAGTCGATATTCCGTCAGCCGATCTTAAATCACCAACAGTATCTGGTAAGGTGGACATCAAATCACCAAAAGCAGTTGATATCACCCTGCCCCACGTGGAATTGCCGAAGGTAGACTTTAAGTCATCGGAAATTTCCGAAAACCTGGACGTCCATGTATCAAAACCAACGGTGGACGTCGACGTGCCACAGGTAAAATTGCCTGCAGTGGACATAAAAACACCGGTAATTGGCGGAAAGGTCGATGTCAAATTGCCCGAATCCGTTGACTCGAAACCAGAAAAACACCAGTCGTTTTTGGGTAAACTTATGCGTAAAGGCAAAAAGGACACGCCGCAGAAATCATTGGACATTGACATAGACACCGACATTGTAGCTAAAACGGAAGTCACGTCTTTCTTGGACCAAGAGAGACAGGCGTTCGAAGTACCGGACCCGAATTTGAATTTGTCTGCATCATTACCGACCATCGACGCACGAGTAGACGTTTCGGCTACTGACGAATCTGCCGACTCGAAATCACCAAGTGCTAAGTCGAGAAAGTCGAAGAAACCTAAAACTGAACAGACCGTACCACAAATAAACAAACCGGCGGCTGATGGCAAGGTTGATATCAAATATACCACAGGTGTCGATATTAAATTACCTAAAGTCGACCTGCCAACGGTTGACGTTAAAACGCCGACAGTATCCGGAATCGTAGACTTACACGCACCGAAGACATTTGACGTCAACGTGCCTCACGTCGACGTTCCGGCAGCTGACATTAAAACACCGCAGATCACCGGTAAACTGGACGTCAAGAAGCCAAAAGCGATTGACGTTAAGATTCCAACGGTCGATTTGCCATCAGTTGACGTTAAATCACCACAAGTGTCGGCCAAAGTCGACATCACATCTCCGAAAATCGGTAAACCCGAGTTCGAATTACCTACGGTCGACATCAAGACACCGGGCTTATCCGAAAAAATTGACGTCAAAGTATCGAAAACAATTGACGTGGACGTGCCTAAGGTAGCCGTGCCCGCAGTGGACATAAAAACACCGAAATTCTTTGGTACAGCTGACGTGAAATTGCCAAAAGCGGTCGACGTTCACATTCCAAAAGTCGATATTCCGTCAGCCGATCTTAAATCACCAACAGTATCTGGTAAGGTTGACATCAAATCACCAAAAGCAGTTGATATCACCCTGCCCCACGTGGAATTGCCGAAGGTAGACTTTAAGTCATCGGAAATTTCCGAAAACCTGGACGTCCATGTATCAAAACCAACGGTGGACGTCGACGTGCCACAGGTAAAATTGCCTGCAGTGGACATAAAAACACCGGTAATTGGCGGAAAGGTCGATGTCAAATTGCCCGAATCCGTTGACTCGAAACCAGAAAAACACCAGTCGTTTTTGGGTAAACTAATGCGTAAAGGCAAAAAGGACACGCCGCAGAAATCATTGGACATTGACATAGACACCGACATTGTAGCTAAAACGGAAGTCACGTCTTTCTTGGACCAAGAGAGACAGGCGTTCGAAGTACCGGACCCGAATTTGAATTTGTCTGCATCATTACCGACCATCGACGCACGAGTAGACGTTTCGGCTACTGACGAATCTGCCGACTCGAAATCACCAAGTGCTAAGTCGAGAAAGTCGAAGAAACCTAAAACTGATCAAACTGCACTACAAAGTGACAAACCTACAGAAAACAAATTAGACCGTATTGAAGATAAAACATATAACTACAATGTAGATAATCATGGTTCATCTTTATCGGTTCCTTTGTCAAAGTCCTCTAATTTAGTTTCCCTTTGTGATTCTTTGAATCGTGTAAAAGATGCCAAGTCAGCATTGGTAATGGCGGCTGATAAAGAGAAGTTGAGATCTTTTACAATTGTTTACGAAGAATATATTATTTTGTTGACTAGTATATCATCCTACATATCTGAAAAGGTAATTTTTTTTTTTAATATTTTTAAATATAGTTAGTTTGCTTAGATTTGACATTTTATTTGCTTTTAATGTTGTACAACATTTTTTTCCTTTTTTGTATTAATTGTGATTTATTAGTTTTTTTTTTAATACACTTTGTTTGCATTTCAAATTTAAAATTGTTTGTATGTATGAGTATTAGGCTTGATTTTTTTTTGTTTATTTATCATTTTAATAAGGTATACAAATGATTCATAATGTTAGGTATAGTCATAATGAATAATTAATAATTTATTTTAAAATCATGTTTTCTAATTTATGTTTTGTTTGTTAATTATTTTTAGGAACATTCAGTAAACAGCGTTTTAAGCACTGATGAAATGTCAAGTATTAAAAGAGTTATCAATGATGCAGAATCACAAGTAGACCATATATCTAAATTGATATCTCGAAATACGCGTTCGCCTGAAGAAAATGATGAATTTGATGTTAAACTTAATGAGCTACAGTCTAAAACGGTAGAAATTAAAGAACTATTCAATACATCAGTTCAAACTACTGAAACTAAAAACTCAGAAAAACTAATTGCATCAACTGATAAATGTACAAAAAATATCGATCGAATCAAATCTGAGTTTGAACATATAAAAAAAGGAAAATCTTCAAATCAGGTAATTTATATAACATGTATTTATAATATTGAGTTACAATTATTTTGGGGAGATCACCCCAATAAATATGCTATCATTTTCCAATCTTTTATATTTTTTACTGCCTCCTTCCAATCCCAATTCCTTTGCTTCGATTCTGAGAAGTATGATAAATCCATCTTTATACAATCTTTCGACGAAATCGTAGCCTGTCGTGTAGTTTTTTTTCTTTTAGTTTTTTTGGAGTAACTTTTTGCCAAATTAGTTTCATTACTGTCCATTTATACTGTATTAAACATTTTTAAAATCTACATAAACTACAGAGACCTCCAAATCAAATTTCCAGGTTTTTTTAAACCTTTTTTTTTTATGAAGATTTGGCCAATATTCACATTTATAGTCTCCATTAAATTCTTCCGCTCTAGTCTTAACTCTGTCTAGGATACAATATTATCGAATTTTAAAAGTTTATCTAGAAATGCTATGCACCTATAACTACTACACACTTTTTTTTTCTAACAAAAATACCAATACCTAAATCTTCCGGTAAGTTTTCCTACTCCTATACTTCTGTTATTTATTCATAAATATTTAAGTTAATTACATATTTTAGTATCTTCCCCTTAATTTTGTTTTCTCCGGGAGACTTATTATCAATGAGTCGTATTCTTTTTTTAATTTATGTTTAGAAGAGATCATGACAATGATTATCTGTACGGATATAAAGCTCATGCTTATATTGGTTTCTCGCGATTAGAGAGCTTTTAGTTTACCTGCCACTTTTCAATTATTTCCTCTTTCATTGTTATCTGTATTAAATTATAATGTTCAAAAAAATTGCCTTGTCTTTTATTTTTACCTCTAAAACTATTTATTTTATGATATAAATGTTAGATTTTGTGTGTCAAATTATTGTGTACTGCTTCTTTTATAATATTCAGTATATGGTATTCCATTATTTCAAATCTTTCTTAATTTTTGGTTTTGTACTTCATTTCTATATCTAATTTTGATTAATTTGTTAGATTGGTACATTGATTTTTTTTTCGTGTTTGATACAATTTAGCTATTAATCTTTTTTTTCTTCTACAAAAAGCTTTCTGGTAAATTGGGTTACAATAACTTTTTTATTCTACGGCATTTCTCTGTCGTTTTCTCTGATGAGTTTTTAGTGGTACTTTTAATATTAAAACAGCAACTATAATTTTATTTAACCAATAATTGAATTGTATTTTTAAAGGATAAACTAGTTAAAGGAGAAACACTGTTAGAATCTGTTCAAGTTGTCATTGAAGAATTATACGACAATGTTAGCATACATAAACTAGATGATAATTATAAACATAGTCTGCCTGATGATGTTTATAAAACTTTGAAAGCAGCAAAAAAATTACAAAAAGAAATTGAAAACGCCAATTCCAACCTAGTAAAAGATTTGGAAAAAGACGCATTCTTTAACGTTAATTCCAAAGAATTATACTTAATATATAAATCATCTATCCAGGCTAACAAATTGCCATCAAAAGACAACAAAGTCGAAAACATACAGGTACTTCAATTTATTTATTTAAATATTATTATTTTTTTTTTTTTTAGAAAAACCTAATAACATTTTGTTATTTTCATTATAAATAATTGAAATATGACTGTTTAAATTAATATTTATTTTTAAGTCAGTAATCAATAACGCTTGTATTTTTATAATTAAATTAATACACACAAATAAGTAGAAGATAATATGTTATCTCAGTGTAAATAAGAAGAAAGTTCTCTCTCTCTAACTTAATGACTATATAATTGTGTTAAAGCAAAAAAATTAATTTAACTGTACCATCATACCTCGTATTGATAGTTTATATTTAAAACTAAGTGTACTTTGTTTTATCAATAATAAAGCGTATAGAAGGTAGAAATAAGAAAGAGGATAATATCTACTACTATCAGATACACAATAGAGAAAATATAAAAAGATTTTTCATTCGAATAAATAATATTATTTTAAATTATCTAACTCTAGACACAAAGAGTTTTAGTAAACTACATCCGAATGTTTTTTTTACTGGTAGGTTAAAAACCATAAATGAAGCCGTAATTAATATTGAATATATTAAAATTATAATTGAAAATGATTTAATGCTGCAATATTTACATAGTTAAGTTTTATTGAAATTGATTTAACTTTGTTTTTGTTTTAGGAGAGCCTCAATAAGTGTAACGATGACTTTGCACTGTTAACTAACTTAAAATTAACTCATGATCCTCAAAAAACGGACAAAAACGTGATCAAAAAACTGGATACAGACTTAAACAACATTCAATCGAGTATAAAAACATTGTTGAGCTTACAATGCGATTGTGCCCATATAGAAAACATACTTGCTGAAGAGCAAAAATGGTTTGATCAGTTTAACCAATCTGTACCAGATTTACAAGGCACCACTTCGACAAACTACAATCAACGTCTTACTCATTTACAAGTAAAACACAATAAAATAGTATAAATTATAATATTTTAACAAGCATTTATATTTTTAAAAAAACGACCTCAAGTTTTTAATTTTCAGTAGGATATTAGTGTTAAGTGTAATTTATATCTAGCTAAACAATGTATGTATACTTTTTTATTGCAGACATTAATTACGGAAATCAATGTACACTACGACAAACTGTTGCATTTGAAAAACACTATCGGTGAACTCCAAGAGCATACTAACGTGAACCCGTTGAAACAAACACTCGATAAACAAATCAATGATGTATTCAACTTAAGAAATAGCTTAAGAGCCGACTACTCAAGAATGTTGACTTTTAAAATACAATTTGACCGATACAGGGATCTAAAAATAAATACAGAATCGGCTCTTACGTCTTTGGTGTCGGATTCAGAGCACATCAAACCAAACCAAGACGATGGTTTTAGCAAACATGTAACACTTTTTTTTTTACTTTTTCAGCTATTCATTTTGAACAGTTATTATTGTAATATGACGTTTGGTTACAGGCAATCCTTTCCGAACTGGAAAATATTGGCAAAATGCTTACAGAAGCCAACGGCCGTTTAAACGAATCCATCGGTGTCCTGCCAATAACCGATGTCGACACTGAAACGGATGCTTTGAAAGCGCTTGAAGTTATTCACGGCCAGGAGAATGCCAAAAGTGATAAAACGTCATTAATTATCATCAACGACGAAGACATTTCGAAAAGATTACATCATCTGGAATCGACGCTTGAAAAACCAATGAATACAATTTCGGACCACAACAAAACACTCCGTGTAAGTACAGATGAGATGTTTTATTTTTGGACACGAAATCGCTATAATTGATTTTTGTTCTTAGAACGTTTTGTACGAAATCACCATTATCGAGAGCACCACTAAGGAAACGGGATTGATCAAGCGATCGAATACTTTGCGATACCAATGTGACAAAAAATTGTCCAAAGTCGTTGACTTGCAAATCCAACTGGATTCGTTGCGAGAGGATATGCTACAAGTCAACAACGACTTGAGCAATACCGAAATGTTAACAACAGAAATTGGCAATCAAGTATGCGCAGATAAACAAACTCTGGACGCGTACATCAAGAAAACCAATCAAGTATGCCAATTATTTTGTTTTAATCGTTTTTATACAGAGTGATCATTTTACCGTGAACTACTCAATATCTCATAAGGCTTAATGATAAATTTAATTTGTTTTTTCATAGTGTTTTTGTACAATGTGATCTCAATTTTTCACAATTTTTTGTTTTTTGTTTTTACCTCTCTCCAAAACTAATTATTCAACTCTCGAAACTCTTAAACGGTAGCTTATATATTTTATTAAATTTTTAAATCAAGAATATTTCACTAAAAATGTTGACTAGTTGATAACCAGTTTTGAATACTAAGTATAAATCCCTTTACAAAAAAAAAAAAAAAACACGTTTACCGGGGATAGCAAATGTGTAATAACATTGATTGTTTTATTTGTTTAGACTATTTCGGATGATTTAGAGAAGGCTCAGAAGAGGTTGTCGCTGATTGCGCAAAATTTCAAACAAATCAAAGACGATGTGAAACATTATAAGAAGGAACGAAAATCGTTTGAATCCGACTTGAACGAAACCGAAAAACGATACAAATTGTTAAAGACAAAACAGACTGAAACTGTTGGCAAACTGGAAACCAAGTTGCAGTATTGGATATTGGTCGATGAGTTAATAAAAAACATTAAGCTAAAAACGTGCTACGTTAAAAGTTCAACACAAGTGGCACTCGAATCCGATGATATATTCGCCGACAAGAATCTGGAAACAATAATCAAGCACTTAAAAGTAATCTTTTATTTTTTCTATTTATCATTAAGCAATCCGAATTAGACAAAATGTATTTTGTTAATTTTTGGTCATCGAAATACCGTTCCTATATTGATCTATTTTAATTTAATTTAAAAAAAACTACAACAATATCATAAGTAACCTAACTTTTTTTTGTAAATCTTAATCTAATCGTTAATTTTGTAAATTTACCTCGTTCATGGTACACCTGATATTCTCAAACAGCTCAAATCCGTTGTTTCAATACTCACATAATTATGTAGGTACAATAAAATAACACAAACATTCTTGTTTAGAACTTTAAAATAATGCATTAATAACATGTGCATGGTCAAAAGCACGTGCCATGATATTTTAACGATGCTAGCCGATTATCTTGCCAATATTCGGACTATAACCGCTGTTGTTATACCTATAACAATATGCTATTGTTTTAATAGAAAAGAGCTAAACTTCTATCATATACTTCCAGATAAAAAGAACCATTTTGTAAGCAATAAAACATTTTATGAGACAACTGATTCAGTGGTTGAAAAGTTATCGTAAAAAAAATAAAAACATTTTAGTAAATAATAAAAATGATTATCGTCATAAAACCAATACCGTGGTTCGGCATGTAGACTGTTGGTTTTTTTAATTTTTAAAGAAATATTTAAAATAATATTTTTTTTATTAAGCTTATTATTCAAAAAGTGTAAAAAAAACTAGTGAAAAAAATTGTATTTTCATTAAATACAACTTTAAAACTCTATAGTGAATGAACTACACCACATAAAGTTCTGAAACATTTCACTGCACTTTAGCATGCCAAGGTAATTCCGTTAAGATGCTAAAAAACAAAATCCGTTCACCAGTTTCAGAAATTAATGTGCGTGGCTAAAGAAAAATTTAGATAAAATTAAAAATGTTTTTAATTCTTATTTTGTATCTTCTCGACAAGCTCTTACTAACGAGCTTAGAAACAATTTTCTTCATCAGATGTAACACACAGACTTACTTCAAATCACTTTACCGCGTGTGTATGAAATCCGATCTACCTGTATGTTATCTTTTATCAAAGCTTAGCCAATTATCACATCTATTTTCCCGCTATTAGTATGCAGCGTTTTGTTTTTTTTTACTATTCGCTTACAAACTTATTATAGCTTTTATCGACATCGATTCAAGTACCACGCTTGCTTGATTTTTTAATTTGAAATTTCAAAACCTGAACCAAAATATTCACCGAGGAGCGCCTCGGTGAATAGCGTCCCGACGGTGGTCCCGACAGTGTATGAGTGTCGCATAAAAGGCAGCGACCGTACGGTAGGGTAAAAATAAAACTGATCTATTTTCAGTGCATCGTCATCATCCCTCGGTTGCTTCTGGAAACCGCATAGCTCACATTCCCGACATAGGTCCCGGTTGTCACACATAGGCGTCCGACCGAATGATATTTTGTCATTAATCGCTCTGTATAACGGTCGTGAAACGTAAAACAATAAAAACAATAAAATAAAAAAAAATGGTAAACAATTACTCGTTCGTCGGTATGGCATAAAAAATCGTACATACAGCTGTGTGCAAACGCTGCCAACGGGTTCAGTCTGTTATGTTCGTTTCGAATCGATTACCGTGCGTCGCGTGTTTTATTTAAACCAGTACCTACTGTTGATCAACGCCTACAACAGCGGTGGTCGGTATATGATATTATTATTGTACTTACACGTCACATAAGGCACAATGTAAATAACTGGGAACAAAAAAACTATAGGTAATGAAAGAAAAAAAAAATAGAGTTTTACTGTCTTTAAAGTATAGCTGTTCATTCTCTAGCTACACATACACTATAGTAATCGAGTAAATAATTATTGTCACTTAATGACCGTCAATTATTATAAACATTGAGCTTGACCTATATATTTTGCCGGTCGCGGCATTTGTGTTTGTAAAATTAATAATCAATTTTTTTTTTAATTGATATACTTATTGCTTACTTGCTTGTCCGGCCGGAAAACGGTCGAACCGTCGTTTAGTCTCACGTACAGTTTATAATTTACACAGTTCTTGTTGATTTATCTGACAATAATAATATACCCTTTTTATTTATCAGTCACGATTAAAAGCGAATTTTTTAGGTTTTTGGTTATGTTAATATTTTCTATTAAAAAAAACAAATCATCCGAAATCAGCTTAAACCGAAAATATTCCCATGTAGCTTGACTTTTTTTCTCATATTCATTTTTTTCAATAAAAAAAAAGTTTAAGAATTCTGAAAAAAATATATAAAATATGTCTTTTTTTACTCATAAGTACTTTTATTAATTAACCAGAAATATTGACTAAATTCAAAAATCTGCTTAAATAAACAATATATATATATATATATAATTTTCTCTTTCTAATTTCAAATAAACACTATTATTCTAATTTGATTTATACTATTATTATTTACTCAAACAACTATTACAAATCCATCAAATGTAATACGTCAGTATTTGTTTACATTTATATTGCAATCTGCTTACAATTTAAACAATTAACTATTTTATGATATCATACTACATCGAATTTGGCAAGGTCGGTAAAAGCAAATAACCAACGATTGGAAACCACATTTAATTGATTTGTTAAGTTTATTTTGTCGGAGAATAAAAGTAAAACAAATATTGTTAAGTACAAACGTTCATATTAGATATTTTTATGAGTTGGCCTTCCATAATGGAAAACTTGAGTAGTTCTTTTTTGTTTTAATATTAGCTTTCGCTGTTATAGTTGACAAATATTGAAATCGACGACCTCGTAAAAAGATAATTTGTTTACGTTAGTTTTATTTATCTCACTGCTTATCATAATACTCACCTTAATTGCTGTTCAGTTATTTGAAGAGATTACACGTCTTCAGCTATTTAATATGTGTTTTTACGGTACGCGATAATTTTTTTTATTATTCCTTACATTACTGTAATTTCCATACGTTTATACGGATTGTACAGTGTGCGAGAATAATATTTTTTTGCAAAAATTACGTTTAATATTTTATTTTAAAACGTGGAAAACAGAAAATAACTGTGTTTGTGATATACACAACTATTTATTTGCATTAGAATGTTAGGTATACGTGTATAAAAATCTGTTATTGTGAAAAAAATACTACATTGTTGTGTGGTTCATACATTTTAATTTGCTAACTCTGCTTTTTTATCATACAATCGAATGGAATGCAAAGTCTGTATGTCTATACATTACATATCATAATTTTGATGTATTATAATTTTTTTTTATTATTCTAAAATGGCCTAACAATTGATTCTCACTCGTTATTTTATATACACTCGAGTACGTTTCCTAATTAATACTGTACCAAAATTATATTCTTTGTTTATTATATTAAAGGCTAAAACATCATTAATATTAAAAAATTAGCAATAGGTAGTATTACTGACACATAAAATAATATGCCAGGTACCTCTTGGCTCCTATTATATAAAACAATTGGATATTATTATTATAACTTGGAGGTCGTAATCGTGACCAGTATGGCTTATTTTTATACGACTTATTTTTTTTTATAATATAATCATAAAAATATATGTATAAACGACGCGATTTGTATGCACGCGGTAATTAAACAGTGTGAATATAATATTAATTGGCCAATCTGTTGCAGGACGTTCGCGGTGCATTCGACAAAGAGAACAAAACTATCGTTGCTGCTGTGGAAAATTTGTACAAAAAAGATGATAAACACGCAGTAGACGATCTGATCGATGATGATTTCCAGCAATGGACCGCCGCTGGCGCCGAATTGAAAGATCTCAACGATCGTCTTGGGAAAACGTTGAAAATCTTACACAACTACAGACAACTAAAGGAAACCACTGGCGATTGGATAAATGGCAAGCTCGCGTCGATCGACACCTCCGACGATGTATCGGACAAAGCGAAGGCTATTGAAAAACAAAAGGAACACTTGGCTGAGTTGAGAAACATGATCACGGACATAGGCGACACCATGGGGTTGAACGCGGACGATTTACCGCTGGACGAAGTGGAAGAGCTGAGTGTGAAACTGGATAAAATCCAAAAGGTCCTCGCCTCCCTTGGAGATGTCTCGGACAAGAAGAACAAAATGTCTCACGACCTCGAGAACGCCAAACGGCTTTTGCACGACATGGAAAAAGTAAGTATTGTGGCTTGACCGTTTATTTTTTGTGTTATCTGCACTTTATATTCAAACTATTTGGGGATTTTCAACAAAAAAACACACGCACTTTTTGTACCGCTTATTGATTTGTCCTCGATACTGAAATACTCTGTAAAAAGTTTTAATGGTTTTTGAAAAGCAAAACGCAAAATAAGTCGTGCGGCTTTCGATAAAAAAAAACATTATTACAAAACTTTTTAGAGTTTTCATTGCCGATTACAGCAATCGACCGAACGATATCTCTCAAATTTAATTATCAACTCATAATAAACAATACAATTACATTATTATGCTCTTATTTAGAGTAATAAACAATAAGAATTAAATTTAAAAAATTCGCCTTTGTTCGTGTAGATGATAAACATGTGGGTGATGTAATTGTTGTGTAATTCCGTATTATTATGTTACAGAGTTCTCCAAAGTCCATCAAGGTCAACGAAGAAAGTCTTAAGGACTTAAGAACAAAATTACTGAGTTTGAATAGTTCCAAAAAAGACATGGACGAATCATTGGACGCGGATAACTTTTACGTGCCGTTGAACGAAAAACGAACATACTCAATATTAGAAGTTTTCCAAGTAAGCAAAAAAAAAAATTGTTTATTTTCTCGTTTATCTTATTTCTCATCCAAGGACGGGATAGTAGTTTTCTGATTTTTATTTAAAATTAATTTATAAAAACGATTGTTTTTTTTCAGCTTTGGCAACAAATATTCAAAGAAACGTTCGAACAGTACCGCAGACTGTCGTGTTCGCTTCTCGAAAACGAAGACAACAATAGAGTATTTGAGTTGTGGCACGATTATCTTATGTACGTTCAAGAATTTTTAAGGTCTCCTGTACCCGGTGACTACCATTCGCTCACAAGCTACGAACGCCTCTGCCAGGTCCACCAAGAAGTGCTGAATAGCCAAATGGAGAATTTGACTACTTGCATCAAAAACAAGCCTCATGTAATTAACGAACCGGACCTAGTAGAAAAAATGTCGTCACTAACGGAAACGCATAACGATATTTTGACCCGGCTCGAGGCGACTCACCAAGAAATATGGACCAGAATTGGACATTGGAGGGAATACAGAAGGACTATAAAGACGGTGTATGAGTGGCTATGGAAAACTGAAAACATTCATTCCAATTTAAATTTGAAATTTATTAACGTCAGAAGACTTCCGCAGTTAAAACTACAGATACAAGTAAGTACTTAATTGCACATGCAAACTGTATACAATGTAATTGTTATGTTAATTGTTTTTCAGAATCTTTTGAGCAGTTTAACACTGGAAAGTTCTCAGGTAGAAGACTTGGAACGAAAACAAAATGTAATATTTACTTTTTGTAACAAAGAAACCGAATCGGGCCACAGAAAAGAGTTGATTGCAATTAGCCAGCGGATAAACGAAATCCAAGCGTCGTTAGAAATTTGGAATGGCTACCTAATAAACATTGAAAAACTGACTAATTCGTTCAACCAAGAAACCACCGATATCGATGAAGTTCTCGAAGATGTCCAAAATCAATTAGAACAACTTGTTCATGAATTGGACAGTGTAAATAAGAACAGTATACCGTCTGATAGACTGACAAACGAATCTAAAAAAATCCAAGACATAAGCCAACGTTTAGCGCTCTTAGATTCCAAATTCTTAACAGCTGATGATGCTCGAAATGAACTAAAAGACTCTTTAGATCCAATAGAAATCCGTACATTTGGGCAGAAACTTAGATTTTTAAAATACCACCAAAAAGACTTACAACACCAACTGTTTTTGCTTACATGTCGATTAGATAACTTGACGTTGAAGCCTCGGGAATTTACAGAAAGGTGAATATGAACGCATATTAATTATTTTAAGCTATGCTTATAAAATGTACTAATGCAGCTATGTTTATGTATGCTTACATGGTATAAAAAATAATGAAAAAATGTTTTATGCAATTTCTAGATCAACCGAATTCATACATTGGGCTATCGACATGGATTCTCAGTTGACAAGCTTAACTAAATCTATGAGAGATCCCAAATTCGCCACGGAAATATTAAAACCAGAATTTGAGTCGCAGATTGACTCTAAACAGAACGAATTTGATTGGTTAAACAATACAGGACGCCAATTAATTGATAATGAGTCCAAATTGAACCCAGAGCTGGCTCATACTACCAAAGAAAAATTAAAAGAAATCGACGAAAAATGGGTCCAATTAAAACATTCAATACACAAGCATACTCTTGAATTACCTTCTAAAATTTTAGTAAGTGTATAAATTCAAAGTTTCATATATTCGATGTTATTCATTATAAAAAAAATATTTTTACAGCATATCAATAAGTTGTCCGACGAAACTAATTTACTAAAGTCTTGGATAACTGACACGGAGTCAAAAGTTACTCGACCAATAACTTTTGCTGATAGTTCTGAAGAAACTTTAAGGAAAGAATTGCAAAGACTGGAAGTGAGTATTTTAATTACCTGAAATATCAGTTAATGTGTTATGCCATAAAGAATATAGTACACTAACATTGCAGTTATAATTAATAAGTTTAATTTATTTGTTTTTTTTTTTTCACTTTTTTATAGAATCTAAAAAGTATGTTCAAAGAAAAGCAAGCCGAATACGATAGTTTACTGGTCAGGTGTAATGAACAATTGAAAGGTGAAACTAATTCAGATAAATCATTGGCCAATGCTTCTCAATTGGAGAGTTCTTTGAAAACGCTGTCTATGAGGTTTGTTTATCATATTAAGTATACAAATAACAATAAAAACTTACATCACGTTTTATTGCATTATGTTTAGCTGGGAAAATTTGCAATGTACGATTGAAAGACAAAATAGTGAAATCCTGACTTATTGGGAACAATTGAAAAATACTAGTCAACTAATCAGTGCAGAACACGAATGCATTGATCGCTTGAAAGCTACTCTCGGCGAGTATAATCATGTTAGTGTAATGGAACTCAACAATTTAGCCAACACGATCAATACATTTGAGGTAAATAAAAATTGTCCGGATTATACAATTGTATTATACTATAATGTACAACACTATTAATATGTTTTAATCATCACAGCGAGAAAAACAAAACGAAAAGGATACGTGGTCGAAATTAGAGCAGGCCATACCTAACCCACAATCAACATACACGGTTAAGTTTATCGAAGAAGAAATAGAAATTATTGCAAAAACAAGAATTTCGGTAGAAAAAGAAATCAGCTCGACACTTGTTGTACTCAATAAGTCTCTCAAACTTTGGAAAGATTTCACCAACTCACATAGAAAAGCTGTAATTACCTTAACGCAGATCGACACCAAATTAACTCAACTAGAGGTACTCGGCAACACGGATAATGTCGGCTTGAAAAATACCAATGAATTTGGAAATCTACAGGTTTGTGTTGTTTCCCTGTTGTTAATAATAATATATATTTAACCCCTCACCATTTGTACAGGCGTTAGAAGAAAAATTGAAGAATATCGAAGAACACCTCGAAAGAACTGATGCGTTAGGAGAGCAACTTGCAAAAGAATGTACTCCCAATGACGTCAAATGCATTCAAGAAATGACTGAAGAGTATCGAATGCTTCGGAAGGATATCAACAGCCGTATGAGTAAACTAAAAGCGTCACGAGCCAACGAAAGTCCATTAAAGAAAAAGGTAAACATGGCGGTAACATGCTTTATCGATAAATTCTCCATCATTAACGTATCATTTTATTTGTATTTAGCAGACAGTCAACGAAGAAGTTCAAGTAGAAACATTAATATTCGGCAAAGACTTCCAAGGACAAGTGGACACGCTTCCTATGGAATTGCTGAGGAATGATTCTTTCCAGAACGAATTGAGTACTGCAATGACGAACGCCACGCGTAACGTTAATAATTTGGAAACGGCCATTAAAAATTCTGACAAGAATTTATTAAAAAGCGTCGCCCCTTGTCAAATGTCAATAGATCTAATTAAACATCTAAGCGTCATACTGAAAACGCAGTGTGGCGTTATGAAAACCGACCCTAGTATAGTGCAGTGCGAACAAATATTGGCCAAGTATGAAGATTTGATGGCCAAAGTCCGTTCTCAACAACTGACTACTGAAACAAAGTAAATTCAAATTTTTTTTTTTATAAAATAATTCAACGTATATTCATTTCAATAATATTTTAAACAACAGTGTGACCAACTGCCCGCTGTGTTCCGAACAAAGCTGGTCCCAGTTTGACAACGACATGTGGCGTTTGGAGCATTGGATACAGTCCACAGAAGCAAAGTTAAGCATACTACCAATAATGCCACCCAAAAATATTGAACAACTAGAAGATGTTATCCAAGAACACAGAGTACGTATGACCGAAATTTGGACGTTTTTTTAAGACTAAGGGTTGTTTTGTTTTTTTTTTTTTAGGAAGTCCTCTTATACTTAGACAGTCACCGTAGCATCGTTAAATCACTGAACGTGATTGGTCAACACTTGGCCGAGCACAGCAGTGATAAAGAAAGGGCCGAACAAATCAAAAACCATTTGTCTGCTACTAACTCGAGATGGGACCGCGTGTCTTTGGCTTGTACGGAATGGCAGACAAAGTTACAAACGGCTCTTATGGAGGTAAAAATTAAAGCTATAATGAAATCATCAATATTTATAAACAATCGTCATCAGCAGTTCTGATTTTACCGAATTATATTATTACTCATTCGGAGATAATAATTAGTATAACCATATAGCTGTATAATATAATTCAATTATGATAATTTTATCATACCAATAGACATTGAGTGTCAAGTAGAGGAAATTCTAACGATAATAATTAGATTAACATTTACTACAGTTATTTATGACGTGTAATATCCCATTTTTCAATATCTGACTATGACGCTAATTTATTTAAAATACCAATACGTCGATAACTAATAACTATTACAACAATTATAAACATATAAAGCTTAAAGTTAAAAAAATATATATACTATATAGTTTATTATTCGAATACAGAAAAACATAGATTTTTTTAAATTAATTAAAACCCACTAATTGTACAATAGTAATTAGTATTTACATAACCATTTCACACCAGAGGTATCAAAGATATCAGAAGTCTCTTAAACAGGAAATAAAGATTAACGATTAACGGTTGGGGTTCAAATGTTCGATTAAATAAAATTATTACCAATTGTCTTTTTACCTATAACTGAATTAATCTTATTACTAATTCTTGGTAATGAGGACTGACTAACTACCGTTAGCATAATATATTTCATAATTTTTGTTTTTACAGAATGAAGAATTTTACGAAATGATCGACGAACTAGTCACTTGGCTTGACAAAACGGAGCATACGATCAAGACAAACGAACCAATTGATCTGTCTGAAACCACAGAGGTCATAACAGAGAAGTTCCACAAATTCAAAGTAAGTCAACACGTGACAGTGTAACATTTATTTACCACCAAGTATATTGATATTAAGGCTATTGTTTGATAATAATTTAATACAATTACCCTTAACTAGAACATTTTACAAAATTGTATTATTTTTGTTTAACCAATAACCTTTACATATTTTCGTCAAAAGACTAAAAACTAAATAAAATAACGACATAATATCGTACAAACAGTAGTTTCGACCGAATATTTTATACACATTTACATTCGTTAGCACAACAGAGCTCTGGTAACAGCCATTCTTCTATTTTTAGAACATACACAAGGAGTTAGAAAGGTGCGAGCCGAGAATCGTATCCTTGCTTGAAGCTTCTGATTGGCTGCGACAAATCAACGAAAAGTCCGAACTAAAGGTCCCCACGGACGACGACCAGAACATCATAAATTCTCACTCGAGGCTGTCACATCTTAGAGCCAGGGTGAACGCTCTTATTAACATGACCGGCGACTACACCATAAACTTGGGCACGGTGCTGGGTTACGACATGACGCCAGAAAACACGTGTAGGAGGCTCCATCAGGTAAAACTTATAGCCGAGTAAACCTTTTAAAGATACACGATACTAATTTAGTTTCATTGGATTAACAATTAGTAAAAACAATTATTCATGTTGTAGGTACAAAAACTCATTTTTTAATTCTATTTTTTTATTATCTCATTATACACATGTTGGCGGATGAAAATAATATATATTCATTCCGCTTACAGCTTCTCTGCAACAATGGAATGTTATTATTATCATGTTGTACATATAAAGATATTATATATTATTATGTATGGTAATCGCTAGTGTTTTATTTTGTTTTAAAACGGTGCACGTTTTCGTATAAGCTGGCACAATTTTTATATAATTTGTTGTTCCCATTTTAAGGTTGACGATACAAGCACTGTTCTGAATCGATCCAACGAAGACGAATCAAACACCACAAAGTAAATATATATGCACAATTATTTAGTATTATTTTTTATCAAATACACATTTTTATTTTATTTTCGGCTTTTAAGTATTTATTTAATATTCGTTAAATTTAAATTACAAATTACACATTATATTTGAATAAATTGAATGAAACCTAATTCGTTTTATAAATAAATAAACAAATTTAAAATATAATATATAACATTACCGCTCCTTATTCTTCTTGTTCTATCCTTTTTCTTCTTCATACATTTTCTCCACAGGTTTAACATAACACCTACTACATACCTACACCATCTACATTCTACTTCTATCTCAAAAACTCTTTAATCTCTTTTATTTATTTTACTATTTCATTTCCCTACTCTCTTTCGACATAGCCAAACCACTCAGTCAACTCATAGTTCCTACTCAGCTCAATTTCCAAATTACAAATATTTTCAATATATATTATATAATTAAAACCTAAATAAATAACAATAAAAAAAGTATCTAAAAAATCGATTTTAATCAGACATTTAGAAAGTCACAATATTTTGTCATTTTGAAACAGTTATTTAGTTTAAATTTGGAGATTAATTAATTAAATGTGTGCCTATATTCGTGTAGCCGCTTACCTAATTGTACTTGTACTTTTTGTTAGCTCGATTGGAATATATTTTGCCCAAACAAATAAGTATACCATAGTATTATACCTTATCGATTATTACCATCGACCTCATAAAAGCTACAGAACTATAGCGTTTAATGGTATGCCTTATATTTTAAAACGCAAAGAACAATTGTTCACATTTGTGGTAGAAATAAGAAATAGCATAGGCGAAAACATTTAACTTATTTTCCCTCGGAATTTAACAAGTATTATTACTTAAGTGTGCATTGGCTGTAAATTAACGTTATACTTTCAGTGCTGGTGAAGAGACGGTGTTGAGAAGAGGTTACCAATTTTTCGGACGAGTTATGCGTGCTTCTTTGCCTTTCCAAGCACTCATGTTGCTTGTTTTGGGCGCTGCTTCTTTGGTGCCTGTCGTCGACGAGGAGTTCAGCTGCATGGAATCCAACAACATCGCATGGAGTCTATACCCACTTCTCCGGTATCCAGGAGGACCGCCTCCCGTTTGAACGGGTACACTTGTTACGACACCAAAATGAAATCCAATTTTCGCGTTGACTTTACGAAACAAACCTAATATTTATTATCCCAGATATCGATATCAAAATAATAAAAATTATATCATACATATTTTTTTATCGGAATTATTATTATTTATTTTTATTTTATTTAATCGAAAGAATAAAAACGCTTTAAGCATATTTTATTAAATAAATCATTTTTTTTTTAAATTTTATTATTAAACTAAATAAATGTGTCTATGCCATAATATTATTATGATGAATGAGCCCGGCGCTAGACGACAACGTATAAGAGTAATAACATATAAATTAAAAATAACAAGATAAACTGTCGCTAAACAGGGTACAAACAAAAGAAATATACCAGCTAAAAGTCTGGCACTGTTTTACTCTAATGAAAAATAATGCGCCACATACCTCTTATCAACGCCGTGTTATGTTTTATTTAATCAAAAATGGAACGTTAATGTATAGACACGTTTTAAACAAATAAAAAAGGTCAATTAAAAAACATATTTTTTTAACGTATTACGTAAGTGCTTGTAAATTTGAAATAATTTGTACAATAAAATTGGTTAAAGCGTTTTATATTCTTAAAATATTGTATCTACTTAATTAATCGTGTAATATACGACGACCGATAAGTGCCTACCATACTATACTGTACTAGGTATATATTATTGTTATTAACCTTACTAAATATAGTGATTACGTTTTGTTTATAAGTTGTTTAATACATTTATTTTACTTATTAATTTGCCTGACTAATTTATATATTATGTTACAATGCTACAATTTATTGTTAAATAAAACTTTAAGTATTTTAAAATGTTGTCTCCGTCTATTTTTAATCTACATACTACATGTACTCATCGGTATTAGTTTTTGATCGCCTAAGATTTCTAATTTTATAAGTAAACTATACTGGAACTGTTTAACGCTCTGAAACACCATGTCGCTTAAATAAATAAAGATTCCAACGTTAGTTTTTAAACTATTTTCACTTATATATTTAGTTTAACTGTATTTATAGTATAAATATTGAGCACGATGTTTAGGAAAAATATGACCATTTGACGGTGGACGAAAAGAAAGTAGACATTTTTACTGTAGACATTTAGCGTGTGGTGCGTTTTTGGAACGTTTCCAATAAAATTGTTCTCAACTTTTCTAGTTCTTTTTCTTCTCTGTTTTTTTTATTCCCTCTTTCTAGTTTTTCTGCTTGTCTGGCTTCAATTCTTGAATCGATAAATTCTTTTATAGTCTCTGGGACCTGTTCAACTATGGCTTTTATGCATTGCGCAAAAGTCAATATAGTATGCATATCTACAAAACCAAAGTTATTTTTAAATTAATAGTAAATAGGTACTCTGTTATAAGTTTGTGATCATAACAATCATAACAATACCACATTCTGATAAGAAAAAAAATGTCTTTAACAACGTGCAATTTAAATTTATATTATATTCGGGTAGCTCGGGTTTTTGTATTTAATTGTTTGTTAATGTTTTTCCATCTATACTTAAAAAAAAAATGTATGTCTTCAAAATGTTATTTTGTTAATATTTTGGCCAGATTAAGAGGACGCGACCCACCTGTATTTTATCCTTGAAAAATGGTTTAGCGAAGGACAAGAAAGTGAGGGCGGTATTAACAGTATCGGTTTACAAATGTCACTATGAATAGAGAAGAACTTTATCCACGGGGTAGCGTTATTAGTTTTTTGATAACTCAAGCAAAAAATGGCAATCAATATAGTAACCTTATTAATAATATTATACACCATAGTATAAACTTTAAATTAAGATTTCTCAGAAAAACTGCCAATACTGTACTCCTTAGCAATGGCCTGGGTAGCGTCCTCTTGAACACAAAATTGTTTAAAACAAGGGTTTAATTTCAAATTTTGGTTTTTTCCAGATGACCTAAAAAACTATTTTTCTACATTTTTTTTTAACGAAAACTTTATAATTTTGCTTAATTTATTACAATTAATAAATTGATTTAATTTATAAAATATTAATTTTTAATTTTGCCTAAGGAATTTTTAAAAGTTGTAAAATTGGGTATTTGTTTTAATCAAAACTTTTAAAATTGAAAATTTATATATAAACACTTGTTCTGTGTATGAAATGACATTTTTATTCAATATCATGCACAATATTATATTAATAGGCCATTTTACTAGTAAATAAAAACTATATTTTCTTATTACAGTACGTTCCGGTATGCATGCTGAGACAATATTCTACCACGATACCAAATAAAAATTTTAAAAGGAAAACCCATTTTGCAAAAAAAAGCCGAATTGCGCCCTTGTTTTAATAAGTGTCTCAAATTTAAATAATAAGTGAAAAATCACAAATAAAGTTTACATTGGTTACGGCGATCCGATCTTTTTGAATAATCAAACATATCAATTTTCAGACGAAATTTACCCAAAAAAATTGATGCATCAAAATTAGAAATACGTTCACAGCTTTTACTGTAATCATAAAATGAGTACGAGCCGAGGCCATCGTGCGCAATGTAATTCCATGCTTTTGCTATTGCCTAAAAAGTTTTTTTAATAATATTAAATGTACTATATTTTAGAACCTAACAAAACAACACATTACTGCCTACATTCTATTATTTTTAAACAGGTTCTTAAAATACATATTAGTATTTAGTATGCTCGACAATGAAACCTACACCATGAATGTCAATAGAATTTGCATAACAAAAAGAAATTAATCGAATTATTTAAAATGTAACGATTTAATCAGTAACTGAATCGAGAAGCATAATAATTGTTTAACAGTACAATAGTGTGATAAAGTATTAATAATAATTACTTCTCGGTCTATCTCGGTCAGTGAAATGAGTAAAACACTGTACAAAACCAAGTTCATTTTACAGATAAAGACTACTAAAAGTTAAACAACACTTTTCACTTAGATCCAGAAATCCGGGTTTATAGCGACAACGAACAACGTAAAACCTTTTTTGTGTTGAAAATATTTTTGCAAATTTTTTTTTTTGTCAAAACAATGTAAATAAAATAACTAGTAAACAAGTACTGTTTGCTTTTTACGACAAAATTGAATACATTTCTTCGAAGCCATTTGTAATGAACTTTTTATTCACCCAACTTTTAAAAACGCAATTTTTTAATGTGTCCTTTTTTTCAGTAAAACGATTTCAATAAGTTTAATAAATATGATTTAGTCAAGTTTTAAGTAAGTAAAGAATAATTCGAGCATAAAAATAAAAAGCGACTTATCGTTTTGGAACTTAGTTCTAAAAAGCGGCCAAAAAAAAACTTGAATTTGTGTTTAACTCGTAAAAAAGGCCAAAAAATAATAATAATAATCGTTAACGTTTTTAAATGTATTATAAATGTAAATTATTTAAATGATATTATAATTATTTTTACTACAAAAAATAATTATTAGCAAGTTTTTAGTGTTGCGTATAATTTTTTTAATTTAATCCTCAAATTTTCCTTTTAAAACTAAAAAACTAAGTTTATGCCATTTTCGTACCAAGTGACTTTAATACTTATCTAATTAAAACAGTTTTACTTAAAAATTGGCCTAACAAAATTTGCTATTTTTCTCCAAAAAAATTAGGTGCTTTAGAATTTCATTTTGCTGGCCGATTTTTTTTTTATAGTCTCTCGATGAGTTTTATAAAGTCTGAAACTAACATAACTTATGAAAAAACAAACACAACACCAAGTATCAACCAATAGAAACAGAATTATGAAAACTATACGAAAGAAACAACAGATGTTGTGTATGTTTATACAATTTTTGATCAATTAAATAGCGCGAAAACAACATTTTTTTTCAATTTAAAAATAACATTAAAAACGGAAAACTATAAAAACAATACTTCGCTCGTAAAAAAGTGTTAAGTATTACATTAAGTGTATTAATAATATTCACCATCTCCGATATTAAAATGCACTTATATTGTTTATTTTAATTATTTTTTAAGAGTGAATGTATTGTTTTCAGACGAAATAATACTTATAGGTCCGTCCGCGTTTTGGATGTGTGTAGTTATTTTATTCTACCTGTCAACGTAAAAAATAAAAAAATATTCTTTGATCAAAAAAGATATCAACGAAAACAAACCAATTAAATAACACTTAGTAATGACAATGCCTACATACAATAACGTTACCAGACAAATAAGTAATTTCCAACCTTTGTGTCATTAAAAATTCACCGTTTCGTTTTCTTTCTCTTTTTTAATATGTTTTGTATTGGCATCGCGTACAGCAAACAAATCTCTACAAACAGCAAAGGCCGGGGTTGGCTTTCATGTATAACCTGTCACCTGATAAAGAAAAGTCATAACATACCTAAAATCGCTGTGGAGGGATATATGGCATACTACCAGGGGCCATATCTTAAATGGCCGTTTAAGGTGAAACACATTCGTTAAATATTCTAAATAAACTAAAAATATATAAGTGTAGAAGAGTTTTTAACTCTTATGCGTGGGCTTCCATTTGTGTCTAATGTATATTTCTTTGAATTGTACCTTATTTTCGGTATTATCATTATTATCGTATCACGTTAGCTATGAATTTAAAGAGTTGAGTAAAAGTTTAATTTAAAAAGTGTTTATTTATACACTGTATGCATCTACTTGGGGTTCAATATGTAAAAATTAAAATACTAAATAAAATGCGAATGAGTTTTTCAGAACAAGGAAGTATGAAAAAATACTGTGAATTCCTACCACACATTTACACACACACACTTACTCACTAACTCTAATACATGTAGTAATTGGGTTTATACCATACGGATAATTTCATTAAATTGAATAAATCACAAAACGAAGAAGAAGTACCTTATACGCAATAATGTTCTATAGTTTTTTTTTTTTTAAATAGCAACTATCGTTTATCGTATATTATTATAATAACAGGTATTATGGCCGTTCTCGACAATTTGCCTTGACATTTAAGTAGAGTTTAGCCTATAATTTTAATATCGTTAAGCGACCCATTGATTTTTAGATTTTACTGAGGAGAATGGTAATTAGTCGCTAGATATTTAATTTTACTTATGATTTTGCGCGTGTACATTTTTTGATAATAATGAACCAAACAACAAGTTCACCACAGTGTACTCTGGGTCAGAAAGGTGAACTTTATTATTTGTGATCATACTTTTTATCACGCATATCATGACCTTCGCGAAGCAATGCGAGTCATAAGTTTTATGTAAAAGTTAAAAGTTAGTTTTTGAAATTGATCGGAATGAATCAACTAACTATCTAATTATTATTATTTTTTATTTTATAATTTTGTTATATTGTTGCCATAATATTTTATAATTTCAAAATCATGGCCCCTCCCCCGAAAAAATCCTGAACAAGGTTAAGTAAGGTACTGCTAAAACAGTATTAGACTTATGACGTATATAGTTTGATTTTTAAACTTAATACTTCTAACTTACATTAATAATGTAATACTAATATTGCGGTTAGAATCAATTAAGTAAACAGTTCATTATTTTTTTTTCTTCAACGGTCATCATACATTTTTTTTAAAAATGTATTAAAATTTAAGCAGAGATATTTTTCCACTTTTGGTACCCACTACGAAGATTTACAAAATAAACTCAATCACATCAGTAAACTTTAAATATTAACAAAGTTGTGTTATTTGTTTCTTCGACCTGATACTTTAATACTGATTGTAAGAATTTCATCAAAAATATTTATTTAATAATCTTAACACCGCTAAGGTCCAAGTTCACTACGCTATTACGCTCTGAAATAAAAATGAATTAATTTTAATATATCAATAAAATATGCTGATTTCAGTTGTTTACTACATCCATTTTCACCTTTATTGAAAGTGATTCGTCATGTTTTTGTCTGTTATTTACGTTGTTCGGACTAATTAAGCTAATTATTAAAAGTTAAAAAATAACTACGTACCATTTAGTATATAAAGCTTGATAAATACTTGATAGTACCCAAAATTGCCTGGCATCAGTCGCTCTATGTCCGTCAAAGTGTTAGCCGTAACTGACTTCAACGTTTTACCTTTCGTTTAAAATAATACCGACATATTCTCAAGCCTACATCATATATAGTAGTATTCTACTATACTACTAAGGTAATTTGAAATATTTATAAAATATGCATATTTTCTATCGTATAAATAATTACTATACAGTATATTTGAAGATAATTCAATACTGTTGTGATTCTCCAAATGAAACGACATGGCACATTGTGTAAACGTCTAACCACAAGGCCACCTAATGAAACTCAAACTCATCCCACCCCTTAGGTTCTATGATCCCTCTGCGGTACTTACCGGTAAACTAACGACACACAACATTATTTTAGTCTGTAAAACCTGTCTTGCAGTTAATTCTATACATTAGGCCTACGGACTCGATTAGTTTGAGATAATAACTACTGGCAAACTGTTATTCGTATGAAAATTGTCAATAAACGCGTAAGTTTACCCGACAAATATTCTCATTTTTAAAACGAAAACATAAAACAATATTAATTACTCCCGACCGACAGAAATGAGCATTATTTAGACAATTTTTTATCTAAAAAATATTTTTTTTAGTAATTTATTCTAATACCCGTCGAATAATATTTTTAGATTTGGTCGAATAAATTATTCGAATAAACCACCTTAGATTTTGTCTAATAAAAAAAACATGTAAATAATATTTTGAATGACTGAAAATAATGTTTTCATTGGAAAACTGTTATTCAAATTAAAAAAAACTTTGATCCAATGATTTATTACGAGGGTTTTTTAATATTTTATTTCTCTTGGGCTATTTATTTTATTATTAACATAATGAAAAAAATGTATTGTTATTTTATAAATCATCTTAGATTATCTCGAATAAAAAAATAAAAAAATAATTTAAATCAATATCTTAAATTTGGTCAAATAAATACATTATTCAAATAAATTAATTTATATAATTATTTATAAATTAAGTATTATTCGTTATTCGAATAAAAAATGTCCAACTCTGCCAACCGACCAATCCTACTTTTGAAGACAATCCAACAAAAGACATAGATACTGCAGTCAAATAATAAATTTAAACCAAAAATCACGTTGAGTTCTATCACTGGATGACTGTAATCCTTCTCAAATCATATTTTATTTTTTCTGTATATATAATAATATAACTATTTGCTTATTATAGCTGTAAATATTATTATTATTGTAAGTATTATTATTATTGTAAATATTCTTTAAATAAAAAATTTAATTTAATTTAAACCGTTATAAACCAATATTTTTTTATTATACGCATGTGAGATAGTGTCGTAATCTTATTGCCATCTCCTTGAACTTCATAATAAGAAAATATTTATTTTATTTCATGTATTAAGACATTTTTAGCAAAAATTTAGATACTTAACGCTATTTGAAATGTTTCTAGTCAACAAAACTTTGCGATTTTCATTTAATATTATTTTCAATAGCAAAAGAAATTGTGTGATTTCCTATTATTAATAACCTAGTTTGGCAGCTAAGCGAAATAATAAACAAAGCTCTAATAGATTAGGTACACCATATATTTCATATTAATTAGGTTCAAGTTATTATATATATATATATTTTCTCTAAATCTCATTATTTATAAAATGCCTTTTTGTACAATAACAAATAACAAACCGTCCTTTAATATTTGTAATACAAGTATAATATTTTGATAAACTTTTATTATCTAAAAAAGGCGAGTGTAATTATATGAATGCAATATAATGCAATATGCAATATATGAATAATTGCATATTGTTTTATCCATAGCTGATGCATTAATATCACCTACGTAAGATTATATCATTGTACATGTGTAAATTACACAAATTATATTATAGTCTGTTTTAACTAATGTATACCCATCCCTAAATGCAACAAAACATCACAATAATTATGCCGCCGATAGCATAACCGCTTATATATTTTCATTTCAGTAAACAGTATTAATACTGTCTACTAGTGCATACACAATGTCACTGAACTACAATAATATGTTTTTGATTACCATCTACTTTATGGTCATAGCAACAGCTATCTACGGACAAATACCTAAGGCAGACTCCAGCTTAAAATTCGCTACAGTCGTGAGTAATTCAATAAATACATTTAATTAATAATTAATTAGCAATTCCAACAAAATCTTGACAACTAAACACAATGCTAATGAAATAACAAAAAAATACATTAGCTTACCTTATGAGAGCTCACTGTTTTACAGCTTTTCCGACATGGCGAAAGAGCGCCGATGATCACATACAATACAGATCCTCATAAGGATGCTTTTCCAGAAGGACTTAACGAATTGACAAAGGTAAATATTTGTGAAAACTTATGTCGGTTTTAAGTGGTTTTAGTTTGTGTTGTAACTGTAAGTACTTATGAGTATGAATCATTTAAAAAGTCTTTTAAATACTTTCTGTTCGTTTGTATTTATTAAATTATAATATTATAAATTATAAATTATTTTTTTTTTTTAATTTTTGCCCTTCCAGTACATATAATGCATGTTATTAAAAAAAAGGAACTCTAGCTGATTAAAATTATAATACTAGTTTTTTAAAGCTCGAGTCTTGGCAATTTGTGTTTGTCATACCATAAAATATTTACGGTTTTTGATACTAGATTTTAAAATCGTTTAATAAATATTTATACGCTGTATAATAATACATACTCACTATTTAATAGTTACGATAGGTAATTTATATGTATAAATGAAGTGTGTGATAATATCAGATTAAAAATGTTGTTACGTTTTTTTGAAAACCTAATTATATTTTAAAAATCCAATTACTTTTTGTCAAACAAAACAAATTACCAAAATGCCAAAATTGTCAAGCAAAATTTAAAAATCCGCTAATACTTTAATGTGTTAGTAGTTTTGGCATAAAACGTTTAAAATACAAACCAATTCCAATTATTCCACTTTTTAATTCTATCAAAAGACTGCTGTAACTATTTTTGTTTGTGGGTACAAACAATTGAAATTACGTACTATTTATACTTGTACCCTCATTCTTTCATTCTTTTTTCTATACTTTGCTTACTATTACAGTTGGGAAAACAACATATGTACTACAAAGGGCAAATTTTTCGTCATATTTACGGTGACTACTTCAGTAAATTGTATTTGGATAATGAAATTTATACAAAAACTACGAATGTCGCACGGACGCACATGACCGCTGCTATGGTATTAACAGGACTTTATCCGCCGACTAACTATCAAAAATGGTCGAATCAAGAAACATTATGGCAGCCAATTCCCGTTTATGGCGGATCTCCAGATCACAGTGATTCACAAGTAAGTAGCATTATCAATCGTGAGTAGGATATTCTAATTTTACAACATGCTAATTTACTGCTTAATAGTATGATATTACAATATACCACCAATCAGAAGAGTAACTTTTTTCGCCTTATCTAAAAAAAACAATCACACCATCTGTTATCTCTCATTTGTATGCCTTACATGCACTATAATACCATATTTGACATCTTAAAAATTAATATCTTATCAGTATATGACTTTTGGAAAAAATAAAAAAACTCCCTTGCATTTTTCAGGTTGAAAATTGTCCGTCATTCATGCCAACGTTCATAAAAGGAGCTTCTTTAACCGAGAATGCCACTTTAGCACTAGAGCCATTATTAGTGTACCTATCTGAAAAATGTGGACAACCTATTGACAGCATTAATGTAACCATGTTATTCGACTTGTTTACATGCCAAGTAAATGAAATTCAAAATTCTAATACCTATAATTCTACAATATCATCGAATTAGTCAAGGACTATATTATATAAATTGATATGAAGTGTTTATCTAAAACAATTATATTGTATTTATTTATGTATTTTAATTTTTTTCAAGTTAGCAGCTGGCTTGGAACTTCCAGAATGGACTAAACCCAACATTTATGAAAAATTGAAAGCCATTTTATATAGTGATGATTTTCGAAGAAATTTTAACGGAAACACAAAATTACAAAACTTAATGATTGGTACGAATATTTTATTATATATTATATTTTTGTATTTTAAAAATACATATTGAATATTTGTGCATTTTTTTAATCGATTTTTTTATAAATTCTAATATATAATTTGTTTTACTACAACTGTGTGTAAAATTAAATAAAAATTAAATTGTCGATCAATTTCCAATTTAAGTAAGATATAAGTAGGTAAGAAAATTATGTACCCATACACCAAGCGTGTACAAGTGCAATTATAGGTATATTCTTTTGCCATTCAATATTTATTTTAATTCTACAAAAATGTTGAGTTTTTCAAATTCCTTCGTTTATTTTTTTTTATATTAGTTAATCTTTTTAGACTCTAATCTAAGAATTCTATTATTTTTTGGACATTGTTTAATTTCATATATTAAATTTAAATAATGTTATCAAAATTATATACTGTAAAAAATATTTATGCTGTCAGTATCATTCAACGAAAAAAAAAAGAAACAAATTCAATTAATTAATGCAATTTTTTTTTAACTGTTTTATATTATGATAATGTTTTTTCAGGGCCCTTATTAAACGAAATCACATTGAAAATCCAACAAAAATCTAGCGGTGAAGAAAAGAGAAAAATGTATATGTATTCAGGACATGATTTTAGTATAATGTTATTAACGGCAGCTGTTTCGGGACATTTAATAGAAACGCCGAAATTTGGTGCTTCCCTGCATTTTCATGTTTACCGATTTAATAATACCGATGAAGATGTCATAAAGGTAAATTTTATTTGCATTGATTTTTTTATGTAATGAATAATTATAATACAACTATATTAATGTCGTTTCGCATCGTGATCGAGTGGAGTAGGTACAGGTTTCTGGAGCAAGCATTATTATTTATCATCATAGAGTTTTGTTTTAAGTTAATTAAAATTTTAAAAAGTATGTGTATTGAATAAATGCATGCGTGTATTATAATTATCTGTCAGGTATACTTACAATTTATATACAAATCTATTGGATCATCGTGATAAATAAATTCTGTATGTAAAATAACTATTATCACATTTTACTGTGTTCCATATAGGTATATTATCTAAAAAATTGGGATGACGATAAAGGAGAAGAATTATCAGTATCAAATTGTAATAGTCCATGCAAAGTTGCTGATTTTATAAACATCGCCAACAACAAATTTACAAAAACCTGGGAAGAAGAATGCCATACTTAACAACTTTGGCATACTCAATAATTTATACGCCATTTATGAAAAATAATTATACATAACTTATATTATTGCAGTTTTAATGTACCTACGTAATAAACGTGTATCTCAATGTATTTCAACAACATTATATACATATAATTGTAGTTTTTAAAAAATAAATAACCACTTTAGACAATTGAAACATCCTATCTTTCTTGAACAACTTTCATAAGGCTAGTCGTATGAATATCAAACACGTCTTTTGTCTTTTGTAGTCATAGGTATGTACTACACGGTACTCGGTACTAAAACGGATTGTTGAAGATCATATCACATTATAAAATTTGTCGTCGACTCTGTTCTTAAGTTACAAATAAATAAATGTTTCCTACAGATAAATTCTATAGTCGTAATGGTATAGTTACTATTATTTAACAAAAAATAACTTAAATAGGAGTGGTTTAGCTCATCAACAATTCTATTTTGATGAACTGTAATTTACCGTATAATAATTATAGATTTTTCGGCATGGTAATAAAGCGCTCGTTTTCTCATACAAGACTGATCCGTGCACTAATGCCTTTTCAGAAGAAAAATCTTAACTGACAAAGGTAAACTTTAAAATATAAAGGTTGTACTATGTCTTGACAATGGCGTGTATTGCATCAGGTAAAACTAAGTTAAATTAAGAAAGCGGTAGATAACTTAAAATAAAAGTTCCAAATATCTCTAAATAATCTGAGAAGTTTATGTAATATTTTTACTAATGTTCATCATCATCAGTTTTTAAAGGCAAGACCTTGTCGTTGTAACCAAAGAGTTCATTATTTAGTTAACATGGTAGTTAGGAAATCCGTGGATCTTTAGTGCAGTGGTTTTCCTGTTGCCTTCTGCATCCTCCAACCGTTGCCTATCTGATGTGGTTCATCCGCCTTTTTAAGGTAGTTTCCTACCTTTAGGACAAGTGATTGCCCCACTCTACGCAGCTCATCCGCCCTTAAGGCCCTCAAGGTCGTTGGCTTTGTAGAGGTGTCTCCTTATCCCGGGAGACTTTCGGTGTTCCTATTAATCGCCTTTTGCGATAGGGGGAACATCCCGTAGCCTTATTCTAATCCGGGAGCCACACATGCATACTAATGTTATAATATAAAATAACTCACTACAACGTAAACTTCAGATATGAACTTAAACTACCTAAATTCAAATCACTTATTTCAGCCGCATCTTCAACGACTGAAAAACTAGACCGAAAAATATAGAATGCAATAGTAAAAAATAATAACCAATATATTTAAATTAAACACATGTGATAATGTATTATCTCCCGAAACAGTTGACTCTACCTAATATAATATAAAACAACTTAAACCAAAACTACTTCTACCAAAATGAATAGATTATATACACCACATATTTCGGGGTTTTAAGCATTAATATAATTTAGGTTCAAGTTTTTATAAATATTTTTTTTTTCTCTACATATCATTATTAATTATAAAATGCCTTTTTGTACAATAACAAATAACCAACCATCCTTAATATTTGCATATAAAGAATAATATTTTGATAAACTCTTATTATCTAACAAAGGCCAATGTATAAATATATATAAATAACTACATATTTTTTTATCTATATCTAATAACACGACGCATTAATATCAATTACGTAAGATTGTACACGTGTAAATTGTACAAATTTTATCATAGTCTGTTTTAACAAATTTATTATCTAATGCTTGGAAATCACAGACCGTGCAACATACTAACGAATAACCCATCTCTAAATGCATATCATAACCGCTTATATGTTTTCATTCCAGTAAACATAAATACTGTCTACAAGTGCATACACTATGTTACTGAACTACAATAATATGTTGTTGATTATCATCTACTTGACGGTCATAGCGACAGCCATCTACGGACAAATACCTAAGGCAGACTCCAACTTAAAATTCGCTACAGTCGTGAGTTATTGAATAAATAAATAATTAGAAATTTCAACAAAATCTTGACAACCAAACACAATGTTGATGAGCGAACTACACACAAAAAAACATTAGCTTACTTAATGAGAGGTCATTGTTTTACAGCTTTTTCGACATGGTGACAGAGCGTCGTCATTCACATACAAGACAAATCCATATCCAGATGCCTTTCCAGAAGGACCCTACGAATTGACAAAGGCAAATATTTGTGCAAATTTTAAGTCTGTGTTAAGTGTATTTAGGCAGTTTCGTAAGGAGTTGAAGTAATAATATGCAAGTATTCGTGCGCGTCTTTAAAATAATTTCGGTTAATTTGTAGTTAAATTCATTGTAAATATTTTTGGCCTCTTTCTCTATTCCAAAACATAAATTCTGGACTCTAGTTAGCAAAAATTAAAACTTTTTTTTAGGTCTCGAGTCTCGACATTTTTTTTTGTGCACACCATAAACAATAAACGGTTTTTAGTACTAGATTTTAAAATCTTATAATAAATAGTTTTATGCTACATAATAATATAGTATATAATAATATTTTTCTTAAATCTTAAAATTATTGGAAACCAGAATTTAATAAAAGGCATTTAGGATATATTTCACGAAATTTATATCATCAACTTTTTTTTTTCTACCAGTTAAAAAAAGCTTTAGAATACACTATTCAAATGGTCTGATTTCAATTCGTATTTTGATCAGTTTTCTTGAAAACCGAATTACATTTAAAAAACCCAATGACTTTATTAAACAAATAAAATTACCAACATTCTCCAGCAAAATCAAAAAATCTACTATTACTTGATATTGTGTTAGTAATTTTGGCATCAATCGTTAAAATTATCATACACTTCCAATCATTCCGCTTTTTAATTTTATCGAAAAACTGCTATAACTATTTTTGTTTGTGCGTGCAAAAAGTTGAAATTGGGTTGTACAGTACTATTTGTACTTGTACACTCATTCTTTTTTTTCCATACTTTGCTTACTGTTACAGTTGGGAAAACAACATATGTATGTCAAAGGGCAGATTTTTCGTCATCTTTACGATGGTTACTTGAGTAAGTTGTACTTGGATAATGAAATTTATACAAAAACTACGAATGTCGCACGGACGCACATGACCGCTGCTATGGTATTAACAGGACTTTATCCGCCGACCAACTATCAAAAATGGTCAAATCAAGAAACGATATGGCAGCCAATTCCCGTTTATGGCGGATCTCCAGATCACGGTGACGCACAAGTAAGTAGCATTGTCAATTGTGAGGAGGATAAAAGATAGGTTAATTACTGGTTAATCGTATGATATTACAATACACCACAAATCAAAAGAGTAATTTCACAATAAAATACTTCTTCAAAAAGTGCTTTTAACATGGGCACTAATCGTGTTCGACCTATTATAATGATCTCGACAACACAAGAACTTTACAACTACATGACAGTTAAATGTAGGTTTTTTTTTACATTCTCGATTGGTTCAAATTATTATGTATTATGTGTACACGATAGCGTTACATAAACTGTGTCTTTTAAACGGTATGCTATTTTTAACGCTTACTGTCATAGCGGTTGTTGTTATAAATATTACCAAACAATTATTGTACTAATAATAATTTATAATTACATGTTCTTTTTTAAAATTGTACAAAGTAAACTGATTAATTTTATTAATTATATAGTTGAGTGTAAATAGTGTAAAAAAAAAGTAATTAAAGTTTTCTTATGATCATACATGTGTCATGATACTAAATAATAATGATGTGTTTTTGTTATGTAAATAATATCAGTAAGTGCTTTAGTGTAATCACAAATATTCTCAAAGCTGAAAAATTAAGTTTCTACTTAAATAAGTATAAACTATAAGTATGTGTTGTTGTCCTTGACAAAAACTGCAAATAAAAACCTTTAATAACAAATAACTAATGTTAATAAAACCTGTTTTTCATCTTCAGCTTATTTTTTACAAATTTTTTCAGCCAGACATATCATCTTTGTCTATAAATCTCTATCCATCAACATTTCTTTATTTCCTTGGTACACATTCGTTCAGGCTTTTATTTATATTATCCATTCGATCTGTTTCTACTTTCATCCCGCATAGTCCTTTTTTTCACCTTTTTTAAAAATATATTCACACCATCTGTTCGCTCTAATTGTTATGCCTTACAGGCACAATAATACCATATTTTATATCTTAAAATTAATACCTAATCAGTATGTAAAACTTGAAAAACATAAAATAAAATATTGAACACTCACTTGCATTTTCCAGGTTAAAAATTGTCCGTCATTTCTACCAACGTTCATAAAAGGAGCTTCAGCTTCCTTAACCGGAAATGCCTCTTTAGCACTAGAGCCATTATTATCGTACCTATCTGAACAATGTGGACAACCTATTGACATCAGAAATCTATTCAGCTTATTTGACTTGTTTACATGCCAAGTAAATACAATACAAAATTCTAATACCTATAATACTACATTATCATCGAATTAGTTAAGGAATATATTATATAAACCACTATGCAAATTTTATTTATAACAAATATGTTGTATTTATTTATATATTTTTAATTTTTTCAAGTTGGCAGCTGGCTTGGAACTACCAGAATGGACTAAGCCTAATATTTATGAACAATTGAAAGCCATTATGATTAGTGAAGACCAACGAAAAAATTTCAACGGAAACACAAAATTACAAAATTTAATGATCGGTACAAGCATTTTATAATTTATAAATACATAATGAATATTCGTGTATCTACCTGATCACAAATGGATATAATTGAAATGATAAGGAATAAAAGACTACAAGTAGCTTTTATGAAGTAGACTTTTCCTTAAATTCTACTATACAATATTTTGTCAAACTACAACACTGTATTAGGTCAAAATATTATTCCCCATTAATTTGTAATTAATGTAAGATAAAAGTACGTAAGCAAATCATGTACACATACACCAAGAGTGTACAAGTTCACTATATATTATTTTGCCATTCTATATTTATATTTTATTTTGGTTCTACAAAAATGTTTTGTTTTTCAAATTACTTTGTTTCTTTTTTTTTCTTTTAGAAACTAATTGAATTATTTTGTTTTATTGGACATTGATTGATTTTATATATTAAATTTAAATAATGTAACTATAATTGTGTACTGTAAAAAATATGTATGATGTCAGTATCATATGAGGCGCTCAGATGCCAAACCGATTAACTCTACTTTTTCAAATTGCGACTAATAGCATGGTTGGATTACAAAAGTGTATAATTTTCAGTGGCCAAGATAAATAACTCCATAGTTGAATATTTCACCACTAGAGTGCGCTAAGTAAATTGGCAATAGTACTTGCATACATTGTTTCAAATAACTTTAACTGCCTGTCGTGGAAAAGTTAATTTTATGGAGTTCATCAGTTTGTCTTCTAAACGCTTCATGTAACAATAAAAAAAGAAACAAATACAATTAATTAATACGGTTTTATTTTATGATAATGTTTTTTTCAGGGCCCTTATTAAAGGAAATCACATTGAAAATTCAACAAAAATCTAGTGGTGATGAAAAGAGAAAAATTTATATGTATTCAGGACATGATTTTAGTATATTATTCACGACAGCCGTTTTGGGTCATCTAATAGAAACGCCGAAATTTGGTGCTTCCCTGCATTTTCATGTTTACCGATTTAATAATACCGATGAAGATGTCATAAAGGTAAATTTTATTTGCATTGATTTTTTTATGTAATGAATAATTATAATACAACTATATTAATGTCGTTTCGCATCGTGATCGAGTGGAGTAGGTACAGGTTTCTGGAGCAAGCATTATTATTTATCATCATAGAGTTTTGTTTTAAGTTAATTAAAATTTGTAAAAAGTATGTGTATTGAATAAATGCATGCGTGTATTATAATTATCTGTCAGGTATACTTACAATTTATATACAAATCTATTGGATCATCGTGATAGATATATTCTGTATGTAAAATAACTATTATCACATTATACTGTGTTAAATATAGGTATATTATCTGAAAAGTTGGGATGACGATAAAGGAGAAGAATTATCAATATCAAACTGTAATAGTCCATGCAAAGTTGCTGATTTTATAAACATCGCCAACAACAAATTTACAAAAACCTGGGAAGAAGAATGCCATACTTAACAACTTTGGCATACTCAATAATTTATACGCCATTTATGAAAAATAATTATACATAACTTTAATTGTACATACGTAATAAACGAAGTGTAATTTTCTGTAAAACTGATGTATAATAAATTGCCTATCTATGCCTATTATACCTACAAATGTTGATTTTTTAATCCTTTTGGCCATGAGACAATTAAAAAGTTAGGTTGACTAAAGCGGATTTAAGTGTGTGTGTGTTATTTAATACCTTCAGATTTAACTTCAAAATTAGTAATAACTTTATTTTGATTGGATACAAATTATTTCATTGACTACTATTTTTATAAACACTGTGCTTGGTCAAAATTATGTAATGTATTATGAATAGTTATGTTGTAGGTCGGGACAGGTTAAAGTGTGATCCAACCATTAATCATATTCTTTTGCGTTTCCCGTAGTCAAACATATAAGTTTTTCTTTTTTTCTAAAATCATACATTAGAGGCGGACTGGACAGTACTTGGCCTAGTGAAAAGCTAAGCAATTGATCCTTTTGTTATTCATTATCCTGCCGACGTAGGCACGAAACCAAACATTTTATCGGGGAACAAGAATTGTTTTTCGGGACACTCTTTTTTCATGGATTTGTTCAACCGCGTAGTCTGTACAGCCATTAATCTTAAGAATGCCCGAAAAAAGTCAATAAAACCAAAACCCATACAACGCGAATAGCTCTTCTGACGTAAAATTCGATTTACTTGCCAAATAAATAACTATCCCGAACTCTTTAATAAATACCTAGGTAGTATAACGTCCTCTTAAATTGGATCCCTGGTTTTAACCCATAACCCTAATACTAGGTGTACTTGCTTTTTCTGCACGAGCTAAGATGTTACTTTATAATCCTATAACATTATCTTAGTTCGTGGTTTTCCAAAGTCTGATTTTGATTATGGATACCAACCCGAATTGCGATTATTGATTTATTAAAGTATTTTTTTAGTTTCGAGCCTTTATTGGGCTAAACATTTTAAAAGATATATATATATCCCATAAAAAACAACAAAAAAAAAAAATAAATAATTAAAAAAAGTAAAATATTTAAGTGCAATAAAAAACGTGGTGCTTATATAGCGAAAATGAGTATAAATTAATTTTTTTTTATTAGAAAAAAAACAATCTGTACAAAATAAATGTAAAATAAGTTTTTTGTTATGTAATTTAAAATTGTATAGCATTAGTAGCGCTAAAGGAAGTCACCTAATATGGTAACACCTCAATTAGTCTTATTTATAGCTGTATTTTAGTTATGATTTTATTGTTGTCGTTATTTGTTATGTTAAAAGTTCTCGAGGTTCCAGTTGCGTTTAAGTCGACGTAGTGGGTTGTTATTAACAAGATTTCGAAATTAGAATAATTAGTAACCGATTTTAAAATTACCGTAAAACAGCGAGGTCAGCCAGCAATCGTTAAGCTGACTTAAGTAAGTTGTAGTGACGATTAGGTCGACCTAGAGACACTAATTTTTAAGTGATCAATTTATTGTAAAATATTCTAGTTTCTTTTTTTTTGAAAATATTTACAATCTGTATTAGTATATACAATAAGTAAAATTTAGGGCTAATTTATTTACAACGCTAGACGACTTGATCGAAGGGGGCGTCTATTGACACTACTTCAGATGGTAATATTCTAGTTTAAACAACTTTGACAAATATTCTCAATTGATTACACTCCGTAATTGGTTTTTGTTGTCACATTCAAACTTATATCCTTTTTTACTCGTCGCAATCACTACCTATTCGCTAATTACTAAATATATTAATTCAGGTGAAAGTTTCTATTACTTATTACTTTTTTACTAAGATTCTTAAGTTTCAATAAATTTACCTTATATCTCCCTATGTATTTTTTATTTTTTTCTGTATTCATTTTAACGTTTTTGACGATGGTTTGTATTAATTAATTATTTTGTTATATTAAATTATGCTTTATGTGTACGTTTATGTCCACATTTGAATAAATAAATATACTAATAAGTTTACACTTAAAATCCAATGACACATCAAGTCGTTTGATTCAACTAATAGTACCTAATCATAATGTAGTTTTATGAAATGTAACCTAAATATAAATAATTTTAATGAAATCCCAAAGAAAAATAAATGTATTAAACTAAAACTATCGTTAGGTAATATATAGTTTTAGAAATACCTAAATGTACAATTATTTAACAGAAGCCAGTCCAATTGGGTCGGAACACAATAGTGACTGGTGACAGAGCATAGGACAATATTATCTATTTTTAAATATTTATTTAAATTAATAACAAAAAACTTCTCAGAAATTTCTAATCTTATATAGTTTTATAATTTAAAATTTTATCTGGTGGTTTATTTTTATTTAACAAGCATAATAAATACATTTGTACCAAGCAAAAGATCTTCAATTAAACAAAAAGACCTAAGAATTTTAAATGTTTGTAGTTATCGTTGATTTTGAAGTAAATATAAATTATAAACAATAGTAAAAGGTATTATGATAACATTTTTTATAGATTAGGTTGGTATAACATTTTATATAGATTACATTAAACATTATAATTTTAATAAGGGTTAGCTTTACATTGTCGAACTATAAATCTTTCAGATTTATTCGTATTTAATCAACTTAAATGCCTCCCTATGGTGTAGGTTCAATCCATTTGATAGAAACGTAAGGTCGTCGATCGTCATCGTCGTCAATGGGATTCTGATCATCACTATTTTCAACGAGACTGCTATGGTTACAGTCCTCGTGGTTAACCAAAGTGAGTTTTCGAATACCTGCCGTAGCTATATTTACGGTCAACTGTAAATTAAAGAACAAACAATACATTACATGTTTTACAACTAAAAAAAACAGATTCAAATTTTTTTTTTTTTATTCTAAAATGATAAATATTAATAAAACAAAACAATTTTTATTTTGTATTTACTTCATTTAGGAGTTTAGAGTCCATGGACACTGATCTGGATAAAATGGACACATTATGTATGTAGCCATTGCCATCTGGCCTTTTTATACAAATGAATACACTCGCATAGTGTTCATAGTCAGTGTCTATCACAACAAAATACGGTTTCTTCACTTCAGGATCTGCAAAGTATATTATACAAATTACCAATTAGGTATCTATATATATATATATATATATATATATATATTGATTGTCTATCGGTAAGTAAGTAAGTAAACCACTAGTTTTAGTAGTAGATGAACGAATTCACAAAAATATTTATAGAAATCTGTCTAATCATGATAAATACCCGGTTTATACATTTAAAACAAACATATTATAGGGTTATGTTATGTGTTTTTTTATTCTCACGGTGGTAAAAATATATTAGTAGTAATTTTATTATGTATATTTTTTGTGCATAAGCGCATTGGACAATTTTTGGAGATGAATCTTTAAAATTAAATGTTCAAATTTCACGTACTTGAATAATCCTGTGTACTATCAGTAAAAGTCATTTCTGATGGTGAATTTGCATTGGCTTCCAATGCTCCATAATATTTTTGGTAATTGGTAATAGGTTTAAATGCTTTGACTTTCCGTGGGTAAAAATCATACGCTAGGCATCGAGTAAATGGTAAATTCGTTCTAATGGCGTACCATAATCCTTGAAACTATAGATAAAGTGACGGATTAGTACGAGTACACAAGAATATATTAAAACGATATTTTTAATATAGCTATATTTAAAATTACAGTTAAACTCATATCCGGTAACTATTATAGTTATGGTTTAGGAATATCCAAATTGTTTTATTTTGTTATAATATATCCAGTCAATTATCAAATGCATTACTTAAACTTACCTTTTCCATTTCGAAACCAACCTTAGGCTCAAATTCAGGACATTTATGTCCCGAAACGATATTCAAAGAAGTAACTAGCAAAACGGATAAAAGACACAAGCCATTGAACTTCATTGTACGACCGTGTATATAGACGCGTAAATTGAATACTGTCGAAAACTAAAAAAAAAAAAAATTGCAATTATATTACTTAAGTCATTATCATTTCGGTAAGTATAACGTCGGCCTTTTGGGGTCCAACAGTGCCATCAGGAGATGGTTTCTAGACTGCTACCTTTCGATTTGGCTACACGTCTTCTACGGATTATTTACTACATAAATATGTAGTAATGTGGAGTTTTGAGGTGCAGTGTCCATAGATTGGCATCAAAGCGTTTTTTTTAGTGTGATTTTATCACTATAATTAATCGAAAATTAGGTACACAGGAATTCTCCTATGCGAAAGTCATATTTTATCATAATGCGGAGAAAAATAGCATTAAAGGTTGTATAAATAGAAAAACTTAATTTTGTTCCACTTTAAAATTAATCCGCAAATTTTGCGGCAATGTTGCTGTTCGAAGACCACGACAGTATCGCTAATGTTTTGGGTGTGATAGAGAAAATGAGTAGATGTTATGTCGGATGTATTTAAATATATAATTTATCATTATGGCCATTACATTTTCTTATTCTTCAGTATGAATAAAAACTATTATTTTTTTTAAACCCACAATGATTTGGCTAATAAAATAACTTTTGTTCTAGTGAATTTTTTTAAGATTTTTTTTTAATAATTTATACTATAAGCACTACGTTTTTTATTGCACTTAACTATTTTACTTTTTTTAATTAATTTTGTTTTGTTACATTTAAAAAAATTCAAGATAGCCATTTTGTTAAGAATAATTTGCTGAAATGTTGACTGGTCGATAACCAGATTTGGATAATTACTTTTTAAGTTAATAAAGGTTAAAGGGTAGGATGGGAGGTGGAGTGCGGTAGAGTAAACGCGTAGAGCTATTTTTATCTGCGCGCATTTCAATGAAAATCATGGTGCTTATAGCGCAAATGAGTATAAATTATTTTTAAAAAAAAATCTTAAAAATATTCACCAGAACAAAAGTTAACTCTTAAAAAAAAAAACTAATTTATTTTTACAACTTTGTACACCTTTTAAAATGAATTGAGCTTTTCTACAACACATTTTTTTATCTTAAGCAGCGTACAAAAAATAAATGCTATCGATAAATGTCCAGTACAAGTGTTGGTTAGATTTTTCATGATTTAAAAATTTAAAAATAGAAATGTAATCTGTATTCTGAGTTTTTTTAATTTATTACAACTCAAAGAAAACTAACAGAGATCAGCGTATAGCACCAGATAGTTGATGATTCAAATAATGTGATATTAAACGCATTTTCGGTATTTATTTTTATAAAATGAATTGTAAAAGAAATTTTAGTATTTGTTTAATTTTGAAGGGGAAGCAACTCAACAAAGTCTTCTGATTTCTCAATTTCAAGCAAAATCATTCATTCAATAATCAAAAAAGGAAAACATTTTTATATAGAATGTCATATAAATTTTAAAAAAAATCCTTAGAAATGAAGTTATGGCCATTATAAAAATGTAAAAAATATAAATGTATTTCAACCAGAGTTATGCAAATTCTCATTCGAATATTATTTCCACGTTTTATTCGAATAATTTTTACTTGAATTACATTTTATTCGAATGATGCACACAACTCCGATTCCAACTCTACACATTAAGCAAAATAATGATTTAATATAAAATCTAATATAGCATGTTATCCAAAATATCAGCTTAACCCTTTAAGTCCCGACTTTTTTATTTGTGGAAAAAAAATATGATACCGTCTTTATCAAATTGTTTTTGTTTAAAGAGAGATTTATTAAAAACATTGATAACATATAATCAATATTATATTTTACTCTGGTTCTAACAATTTTACGAATTCAAAGATACCGCTAGATCGCGTTTAAGCATTTTCATTCCGTAGATTACTACGGAATGAAAATGAATTAAAATGTATGTACATTACAATGTACAAGGGGACTGAAAGGGTTAAATATATTCGAGATACAAAATAGAAATTTGTATCTTAAATACGTTTTTAAAATTAAAGTATTTGAAAATATCACCATTTCTGATGGATAAAAGTATACTCACAACTTTTGAAGTTTGATAGTGCAGCTTACTAAACGATGTACTGTTTTTGACGCAGTGTTTAAACTTATATGCTTCTTAGTGATTGGTTTTACACATCGATCGTCATGAAGTATAATGTAGAAATATTTGGCAGGCTAGCCTATGTGAATTTATGCGAATTTACATAGCTGGTTGAGTATGACAACTTATCGATCAAAATATTATTTATATAAATTTCTGCTTGATAGGTGTTTACTGTTTTTTTTCGTGGTACGACTATAATTTAAATAAAAGTTTATACATTTTTTATAACTATGCTCTTTAACTAAATGGGATTTTTTAGCCTCGACGCGATAGTAAGAAGCTATTGGTTTTATATTGATGTTTTGTGTGTTGGCATAATAACTTGTTTCCTGTCGCTTATGGTCATTAGCCCGTAAAGGGTTAATAATTTTTTAACGTCATTTATTTAGTTCAACGGCATTTTTTTTATACGTTTCATTAGAGGTTGATATTGCAAAGTTCGAAAACAAAATAGATCTAAATTCTATAGTAAGACACAGTTTTAGGGTCTATGTAAATATAAAAATATGAAATGTATCATAAAAATAATAATGCTTTTTAATTAAAGAAAAAAAAATGATTATAATTTTAAACACTCAATATATAATAACAATGCAAAAATTAAACATATAACACAATTTTATAGTTACACCAATTAATTCAAATTTAAATATTTTTGAATTAAAATTAGTCATAATATTACGGCTATAGTCAAAAACTAAACCACTAAAAACTCGCACGTGGCTAGAATATAAGCCAATATTTATAAGTACTTACATAAATGCGAATAATTGTATTTTTAAAAGTATCTAGTTATACATTTTTTGGTATAAAAAGCGTAAAAATAATATTCCTTTCTTTTACAACGTTTACCTTAGGATATACTCCTCGTAATCACTATACCTATTCACTAATTACTAATAATTTGAATATATATTGCTGGTTTAGCGGCACATGTAAAAAATAAGTTGGAGCATTGAAACGTTTAGGGTTTTATTTTCACCCACTAGAGTAGTTTGAGACCTTGAGAGCATACAATTTCGAAAAAATTCAAAATAAGGGACACTTTGATGTATATACATTATTATTTTGTTCTGTTTTAATCAGAATGTATTAAATTAATTTGTGATTATGTAAAATAATTGAGTTAAAATATAAAAGCAAAGAATATTGCAATTATTTATAAAAAAAACAATTCGGAAATGAGTTTGATCCGGATAATGACCAAAAGAATATTTCTTTAACTGGTATAATTATAAATAAGTAAATATTGTTTTTATGATTAGACAAAAATATGTTTAGGTATAAGTTTAGACATAGAACTTGTTTGGAAATCGCCAAACATTTGTTTAGAGTTATTACATTTTCATATTTCTAAAGAACGTTTTCGAGGAGATGTGTATAAGACAAAAATATTAAGTTTATATTTTTGTTTTTATAAGTTTTAATATTTATAGAAATACATTTTTTTATTTATGTGAAAGTGTTTTTGTTTGTAACGATTTGTTACTGGCTATATACTTAAAGACTTTCCAATGATAAGCCGACTCTGATAGCTTTGGGTACTTATTTGACAATCGAAAACTAGGTACGCTAGAGAATGACTTCCACAAAATTCATTTTTCTTTCAACTCTTGCAATAATTCGGGCAAAATCATTCATTAAATAATTATAAGAGGAAAATATTTTAATAAAGAATATTATACCCTAACCTATACGGTTAATTTTACATATAGATCGTAATTAAAAACTATAGAGCCAAACAGAATTTTTAGAAATACAATATGTGCATACTTTGTACTTCATTGTTTTGGTATCGAATGCAATGTAATCAAATTTAGATTTTTCAATCGTCCTGTATACATCGCGTATCATGAAATCAGGGGTACTCAAAATATACATTAAACTACATAATCGTTTCTTTAACATTTTATTACATTTATTATTTTTGTTTGCCTCTGTTAAACCAACTATAACATTGAGTATTAAGAATAGTATCCACATTAATTGCATTATGATAATAACAAACAATATAATAATGTATTATTGTCGAGCAGTGTAGTATATAATTGTACAAGCATTTTCAATTATAACGCAGGCAACATTGCATGTGTATTGATTGCCAGGACATGCCCATGTGCACGAAAATAGCCATAGCAAACGCAGCAGCTCTCCCAAACAGTTCATGTGTTTTACAGAATGGAGGCGCCCTTAATGTTCGAAGTGTTAATGTACCTCAACTCCTACTACTTTGGAATGTTTTCCACGTTTGAATTTTCATTGATATGTGCCAAATCAATAGACGATGCTTACAAAAAAACACTATCAGTTGATGAACTCAGCACTAACTTAATTGTGTTTGTGTTCCTCTGTCTGATCGAGGTGTCCCGTACGTTTTTGTCGCGCCGAGCTAATGCAGCCAACAAAGCCATCTACGTTGTCCTGTCGCTCATACTCACCATACCTTCAGCGATTGGCGTCTTATACTTTCTGTTGTGGCAACAGAGGACTTTCCGACTAGAAAATATTCTTGGATGTATACAACTTTTGCTCCAGGCAACTCAAATATTTTTTGGAATTGTATCGTTATTAACGTTTAAAAGCAGCGATTCTACCAATTAAAAGTATTACAATATCATTTTTTTTACCAAAATTAAAGTTATAGGATACGTATATAATTAGATAAAATGAACAAATGAATTTAAATCAAATAAGTTACCTTTACTTATACTTTGAATGGTGTGTGACTGGGAACTTTCTTAGATTTCATTCGAACGCTACAATACAACCGGGTAAATATGGATATGAAGACAAATACGATTCCAAGTGAAGCCATAAATCCAACAGGGTGATGATACCTCAAACATGATATTATTATTGATAATCCCTATAAAATATTATCTTTTTGTTAATAATAACAACTTAGAAGTATAAAGTAATTTTGTATTAAGATATGTCCTTGTCATAGTTTTGTTTAATCAATAATTTATAATCAAAATTAAAATGAATTGTATTTACCTGTCTTATAGTCATTATTATAGTAAAAACAATTGGTCCAAACTTTGAAATGGTTTTAAATATAAATAACTGGCCACATGCAGAGCTCACTGACAATACTATGCAATCTGTTAGAAACGATGGATACTATATTTAGAGAAAAAAAAATTAACAATAATGACGATATTATATATATATATTTTAAATTAAATTTGAAATGTGTAACTATCATACTTGCGATATAAATACATAAGTTTTTCTGAATGAATCGGATTGATATAGTGATACTGATGTGAGCAACGATGACAAAAATGAAGTGGCAAAGACCATTTGTAAAGGAGTTACTTGATATTGTGTGAATATACGGCCTTGCCATGTTGCTGTAAAACTATCAGACGCTAAATATCCCATCAGTAAAATAATGCCGGATATACAAGTTGTAACATCTAATATTATGAAAAATAATTGACAAAAAAATGTGTGTTAACGATAATATAATATTTAAAATTTAAATAAATAATGTGTAATTCTAATTAATTACCCGAATGCTTGTTTACAGTAAAAAACTGAAACACAGCCATACCAATCCATATACCCACTGCGGTAACATATTCGTAGTATTGATATTTTTTACCGGATATCAATTTCCCCATCAGCATTACAGGAATAATTTTACACGTTTTAGCCAATACCTTAAAAATTGTAATAGTTTGAACTAGTTACGATAACAATTATTTAACTGTGTATATAGTATTACCTGTGTTGGAAAACTAACATACTTGAGAGCCTCATATTGGCACCATGAACTTATAATGTTTGATAACGTACAATAACTGTACTTGTATAGTGGAGGAGGGTATTTTGATCCAATGCCTTCATTCATAAATAATACTGCAGCGGACAATACAGTAGAAAGACCTCTGTTTAAAAAAACTAACATTTGTGTGTCGCTAAATTTTGATTCTACGCCTGAACCGTACGACTAAAAAATGTAATTCTCAATTTACATGGTATATCATAAGAAATGATACTAAATAAAAAACCTAAGCTTACTTCAGACATCATTTTTTCTTGAACAACGCCCCAAACTAAGTATGAGGTTTGTAACCCTCCAAAACAATACATGAAAGTAAATAAATCTTTTTTATAACTGGCAGAAGAATGAACATCTTGTACAGTATCTTGCTTTATACGTTCTACATCAATACTATGGTTTTCAACAAAAAGGAACTTTAAAAGTTTACTTGTAATACTGTTATCTGAAAACACAATTAAAATATTAGAAAATAGTTATTTTTACAAATTATTCCTACAAACCTCCCAATTCATAATATTTAGCAAATTTATACAGCCAATAACCTGGTACCAATACTAAGCAGTATCCAAGACCGTTTTTTAAAAATGTACCAAAAGATGATGTATTTTGGGTAACATTAGGAAAATTGACCACTATACTTTGAAGAATAATTATACCAATAATTGAAACTAATATCGAAAACCTGAATATAAATCAAAACAAAAACATTTATGGGATAAACTTTATATAGATTAATCATTACATATAACTATAATCGTTGGTCTTACCATAATTTTAAACAAGGAAGAAACATTGTCATCGTCAAACACACGAAACAAACCCAAAAATTAATTTTATTGTTGTGACGATTCAGTAATTTCTGTAAAATTGTCTTAAGAAATTTTTTTTTTTCTAAAAAAAAAACGTTTCAGTTCTTTATATTTAAGTTGTTATTAAATTGATTGATGAAAAAATCCTAGTTTTTAACATAGAGATAACAAATATTATTATTAATTAAATATATTCTGATAATTAATAACTGAAATCCTAATTGGTCATAATATCTATGGTCAATTATAAAAAAAATTATTTTCGATATAGGTAATATCACAGACTAGATAAAAATGTATTGTTTAAATTAAATCGTAGTTTTTACATCTAAATTATTCTAACATGAAACATCATCAACTATCGCAATCAATTGTGTATCACACTTCACGTGACAACTTCGGTCCTGATAAGACATACTTCAGTTCACTTTGATAACGATAAGATGCGTTAACCGATCCGAAGGCGGGTTTCACGGCCTTAGGAGATGTCTTCTAGGGCCGTGGGTGGATTTATAAAAATTATAATTAATGTATAAATCCACCTTGACCGAATGACTGAAAATAGGTTTAGAAATCAATACTGAGAAAACAAAGATAATGGAACTCATAGAGAGTGGAGAGGGCCCCAATGAAAACATATAAAAAAGATGGCAATTTTAGATATTAGGGAGCAACTTTCAACTCTGAGAATGACTGGTCAAAGTATTCGAATAAATAAAGCTCAAAAAGAGGGTTTACGCATTGACGAAATTCTTAAGATCCAAAATGAGATCTAGAAAAACGACAAAAGTAAGATTATATATTTATAAGAGCCTATTATTAGACTTATGGCGAGAGAAACTTTAGAACAAAGTATGGAGGAAAATATGTGGACCTATCATCAATGAAATAACGGAGAACTGGCGAAGGAGATATAACAAGTAGTTGTACGATATTATGTAACTAGCATCAGTAACAAGCTATGTTAAGGGCCAAAAGATACAATGGTTAGGCTACACAATGAGAAGAGGAGGGAATGAAATAGTTAGAATAGCATTAGAATGGAAACCAGAAGGACGAAGACCCAGGTAAAGAAGGATTGACGTAGTAGAAGAAGATCTAAAACCCTAGGAGTTGAAGACTGGAAAGACTAAAGAGGCTGTTCAAGATAGACAGGTGGCGGAGTGTAGTAATAGCGGCAAAAACCCTTAGAGAACAAAAGAAAACAAAATGAAAAAGAAGACCTTGACCGATACAAAGTATCGGTGCCACTATATAAGATAAAACTAAATTGTATAACAAAAAATTAATAACTAAGTATAAAAAAAAATGTTTAGTATAGTAATGTACTTAGTAGATTTAAGGGGTTAGGGGTAATCAAACGGTTACAAAAATAAGCATTTAAAATTTTTTTTTTACTTGTATAATTTATTTTATTACTATTTATACCTAACCTAACCAAAATAATAACCCATAAATTGTTTATTATTATTTTTGAATAATTAATAATGGGTTATTTTTAGACAAAAATAATATCAATAGTATTAAAAACATAGTTGTAAAATACGAATGTTAGATATCAAATATGTTATATTTGTTAAATTAATTTTTTTGTAAAAAAAAAATAAGTGTTACAAATAATTGTTTTGAAATACTTATACATATTAATGTTTAAAATTAAGTCCAAATTTATTTTTTTTTATATAAATTAAGTCAGTCATTTCTAAGTTTTTTAATTTAACGAAGTGTTGAAGAGCTACATTGTGATTGTAATGCACAAATTTCATCTTTATATACATTTATGGTGTCTCTTAAAAGTTTCAGTCGCTCTTTGTGGATAACCGTATGATTTTGAACTTTTTTTCTTGCCTCAATTAACTTATTCAATGTTTCTTTTTTCGTTTTTTCATCTATATAAAAGTCATTAAAATGTTTTCATTAAAATCAAATAGATAAAAGGACTTAAAATTATGATAAATACTTACAATGCAAATTATGCGCTGCAATTGGTGGATTTTTGTTTAGAGTATCGTTTAAAATATACTTCATAAAAGTTGATGGATCTTGGAAAATAATTTCTTCGTAAAACTCTGATAAAACTGGATTTTCACTTAATTCAGAATCAGGACCGTTACTGTATAATTTGAGCACATGATAAAGAGTAACCTAATAAAATTAAAAACAGTTTTTTTAAAACACATTGTCATTATCTTATAAATCACAGCCTTTTTTTTTTTTTTTTTTTACTAAGTTTAATATATATTTAACTTATAAAAATAATGAAATATTTAATTTATAGTTAATAAATATTCACATAACGCTGGATGCCCACAAGGTCATTGAAGACAAAGGTGACACTGTGACAGCTCTCTCAATAGCACAGAACTACTGAAAAGCTGCTCTGATTTTGTATTCAAAGAGTCTTTTTCAATCACATGCCTTTAATTTAAAGCCACATATCTTTGTCGTATTGCTCTGTTATACCGACCTAGTGAATACTCAGCTATTAAACACAAATGCTTAATAACATAAATTTTAATATCAGTAAGTTATGATATAATTATACAACAAATTACAATAATAAAAAAGATAGTTTTTGATAAGAAGTCTATATGGTATATTTTATACACTGATTTAGTTTTTTTTTTCAATCGATTGTACCTTGGCTTTAGTGGTTCGTCCCGAAGGGGGTCCCCTACGACCACAGACCAACTAGTAGCGCTAGGCGCTAATTGCGGGTCGGGGAAGGTGTGTCACAAGAGAAGTGGATTGGCTGAAGACTACTTATTGTTCAGCTCGACGTCGCACTAGTCGCCTTTTACGACAGGCGCGAGAACCTTGGAAGTATTCTTTCTCCCCTATCCACAGGGATATTTTTTTCCAATAAGGTACTTTTTATAACATCTCTAAATTTGATGCCATGTACGAAAACTTTCACTTTTAAATTTTAAGTATCAGAAGTAACACAATCCTCAGTCAACAGGGCAAGATTGGGTTAAGAGAACCGTTGTAGTGTCATTTAATGGATCGATTAAAAATGTAGTGTGTCCAAATTCTGTTATACGGGACACATGATGTTTTTATACCTGCTGGTTCGATATACATAAGTTTTTTTTTTTTTAATTTGTAGTTTAATCTTAAACTCCTTATTACTTTTCAGCAAACCAACATTATTGTTTTAATTATCACAGCATGACTTTTGTATATATTTACTAGGTAATAAATTTGTTGGTGAATCACACTAAACATTGGAAATTACCTAAACTGTGTTAAAGTTAAAATCAATTTGGGAATTTTTGTTTTACCTATGTTTATATTTATAATTGTTTTTATATCAGTTTATACTTATCTGATAAGATAAATGTTTAATAAATGTTGAAAATTTAGTCAGTATCTAGTCCTTTTTGTTAAATATGTTTTAATATGTGTTTCAGTATAAAATGCAATTAAATTAAATAATCTAAATTAATAATTTAATAAAATATAATTACTGGTCTTTCACTGGTATCTTGAAAGAATATCTTAATGACTAATTCGAATTCACCCCAACCAGTTTCTGATACTTCAAATGGAGGTTTCTGTACCACTCGAGTAGGACTCTCATAACTGTCATGTAGTTTGAAATGTACTTTTTTTACCCAAGTACCAATATCTTCATCAACAAATGGTCTTACGTAGACAGACCATTTATGAGTATGACCGTCTTCCCTTTTCTGGCCAAAATATTTAGCTGTGTTACCATATATAATTGGCTTTACAATAGATGTTCCCTAAGGAAATAATTAAAAACAATTAAAATGTACAATTATTTGTATTAGTAAGTATTGAACTAACCTTAACTCTAGTCAAGTCATTTGATGATGTCATCGCAGATTATTGAATAAATGTAAGTCCTACACTAAACAAACACAAAAGACAAACATCACTTATTTGAAATAAACATAAAATACAATTAAAATGTCTATAATCTGTTTACAATTTAAGTCAAACCAAAATCGGAAATTAAAAATGTAAATAGTTTTACCACTAAGGTTTGCAAATCGCAACGGTCAAATTCGTTTTTAGTTTTGTACAATAAAATATAATACTTTTCATTAAACTTTATAGTTTATACTTTATTGTTTATGTTTATTGTTTGGTAGTTGGTAAACGATTGATAATTAAGTATTTTTGATAACAGAAATTATTGATAACAATTATCATGATTGGCATCAGATTGGCCAACAGAAACCAAACTACAACCAACTTAAAAGAATACAAAATGTATTACACACACACACATACAAAGGACGTACATACTACAGTTATACATAAATATATTATTATGACGTAGTATTAACACATTTATGTCGAATGTCGTCATATTGTTTCAGAAATTACTGGGGACACTATTGAAAAGAATACTATTTTATTCAGTTTAATAAAATATTCATGATTAACAAAAATGAATGTCTCTTTCAGTCAGGTTAAAAGTTTTGGGACATCTGAAGGAAAAAAAGAATACATTAATAATTATATTAACGGTTTTGCGGAGACGATTTTTGACTTTCGTTAATTACTGTAACCATATTTACTGCACTTGACTATTTGATATTATTATATACTTTATTCAAAAAGTTTTTCGTATAAATAAAAAAATACCTACCTATGTATAAATTAATAAATCATGGTATTTGTCACTTAGTATTACTCTAAAATACTAATTGTATTATAGATGCACTATAGCATGGTGCACAATAAATGCATAGTGACTATGCATTTATTGTGATACGCCTTCTGTATCTGCATATCAGTGTTAATATATAATTAATTAAGAGTTCATCTTAAGAGGGCGGTAGTATAAGTATATATATTAATAACAAATCACTTTTAATATACTGAATATCTGTATCAATTAAAATAATTTATTATACTTAAATTAAAAATAAAAAAAAAAAACAAAAATCAATTTCTTATTATGTTTCATTACAGAATCGAATTTTTTCATCATCAACAGATAATATATTTACTGTATGATGGATATTTAGCAACAATAATTAAGGACATAGGATAAAACTGATAGATTAATAATTATTTATAAAAAAGGAGAACTTAATTATATCATAATTTTTGGAGTAACCAAGGTGAAGGAGCTGAAAGCAACTATGAATTATAAATTAATTTAAAACTGATTAACCAAGCTTAACAAAAAGCATTGCATAGTGCATGCACAAGGCCAATTTTATGAAATTTCAGACTTGGGAATCAAATAGATTTTAAACACAAAACAATTGCTCCATAGCAGTCAATAGATAACCATTAAATTGACTAATATTTGCCCTATTTTCGAGAATACTTTTTAAAAGTATTTGTACTTGTTCAAATATAAATATTTTCGAACTGTTTTGCGATAATCTGTACAGATTGCTACAGCTGTATACATATTTTTCGTATATTCAATACATAATCTAGGTAAAAACATTTTGGTAAGGTGTACATACCTACCAGTACGGCCATGTGACAGTTAAAAATGCATTTTATTCTTTTGATAAAACTATGTTCTTACAAATGGAATACAAAACTTTATTTCATATTATTAGTTCCGAATGAAAAACCAATTTAAAATGTAAAACAATAAAATATTATGATGATAAAACTCTCATGAGGGGTGGGGGAGGGGATCAATTTCCATCCCTATTATAATAATATCATAGTATTAGAAAATAATATGTAGCATATAGCTGCTTTAGTAAATTATGAAATACTAGTTTTTAACATAATATGTATAATAAATATTAACATTCGAAATTTGAATACAACTCGACGGATACGTGTTTTCATACATAAAATATATACTTGGTAGGTATATGTAACATGTTCATACTTGATATTTACTTGTAATTAGTGAGTGTTTGATAGTATTAGTATGAAGACCAGATATAAAAATCCAAAAACAAGTACTTTTAAACATTTAGCACTTCCTCTATTACAATTTACATATTAAAAACCACATGCAGCTCATGGGTCATCGCGATCAATACAGGATATTTTTTATGACCTGATTACTCTATTATTTTAAATAACCACTACCTAAATTACTATTTTATACTACATTTAAATAATCACTAGGAAAAAATGAATTTGAAGTGTTATTTTCATTACAAGGTCATTACAACTAGGTGAGCGTCTTAAAAAAATACTTATTATTACTACGTTATTCCGATGAATAATGTACTTTACGTTATTGTTAAGGGCTCTATAAAAAAGTAGTGTTCTTAACAATAACGTCAAGTACATCAAATTGTTTTTTTTTATACAGCCATTCGGAATAGTTAGTTTCTTTATAGGAAAATAGAGTACTATCCTACAAAATAAAAGTACCTACTAATATTTAATTAAGTCGTAAGGTTTTAGCGAATTAATTTATATGTTATCCTTGGTAAGGCTGGTAAAATTATTTTAAAATTAAAATTATAGCGTCGGTTTGTTAGTAAAGTAGTGCAGATTTTTTATTGGTATTTATTTTTATTAGTTTTTAGATTATCATAATTCATAATCGAGAACCGCTTATTTCTAAAAAAATCAGGCTTTCGATTTCCAAGTACAGCTTTGCCAAAAATTCACATAGAAAATTCTATTCTATTTGGTGTACTCTTCGAGGTGTGAACATTTTTCCCGCGTCTTTGTTTACCATTAAAATTAGGTACGTACTAAAAAAAATTGTATAAGTTAAAAATAATATCCTGAATAATGAAAAATAAATTGACATGGGTCATGGTCGAAATTGACTACAAATAAACCACTTTTCTATCAACAATTGCCTAAATTTTACGCCTTAAATATTGCTATAATAATTATTACTGCTCGCGCGTAGAATTATCGTCAGCTCGACTAGGTATTAGGCATTAGGACGACTTGTATAAACCATAATTAATTGTATCGCTGTAAGTTAATTATTTAATTAGTGGACCGTTGGAACAATCAAAGAGCCGAAGCGCGCCACACGTTCGGGACGGAGGGCCGGCGACTGAACCTCCTGATCTACACGAAAACTGTATAATAGACGGCCGACGGGACCTGCTGCAACAACCGCCACCGCCGCGCGCCAGCAGCCATCACAATGTCCGAGACGCCACGCCACTGCACGGACGGCGGGGGCCCACAGCTCAGCTCAGCGACCGCCGACCACCGTTCGTTTCAGTGTTTCACGTTCACTCCTAATCGAGTGTTTTGTTGTTGACGGTCGGGCGTTGCTGCAGTTGTTGACGTTCGTTCTAGCTGCCTCTCCCCCCCTCTTTTTCTCTGTAATTTTTTTACCGCGGTGCGTTTGTTCCGTACAGGCTAAAACATTCCCACGAAGTACGATTCGCGTTAAAATAATTTGTATTATTACGGTTTTTCACGAAAACAACTTACAGCTATTGACTATAATTATTAATATTTTTTTTTAACGCACGCGTCGAACGCGGAACGGTCAGCGTTTCAAAATTCGCGTAACGTTATCACAATATATATATATTTTTTATTATCATCAAAACACGTTGAAAGGGTGACTGCAGATTATAATATACACACACACGGTACGCGAGACCATGGAGTAGGAAGAGGAGGCGCGAGGAAGCGCATGTTATCGTCCGTACGCGACTACTGTTACCACTTACCACTGTTACGGGCCACCAGCGTGTATTTTCAATTTTCATCCAGTGACTGCTGCTAGATGCAGCAACGACACAAAATACAATAATCGGTTTATTACTTTTCATTATCACGTTTACCTCCTTTGGTCGTCTGCGTTTGTAATAAAATATTTTGGTCTTTTTCACCTGGATTTTTACACTATTATTATTATTAATTTTACCATCACATCGTTAGTTCTACTGCAGTTGTCGTTGTCAGCTTAGCGACCATACAGATTTCACCGATTTCTCTTTCCTCCGGGTGGGTGGTTCGTCTACGACGGTAGTTTGCTAAGAAAAAAAATAAATCTAAAAAACAACACACTCACATCTGACTTTTTGGCATATTTAAAACGGCGACGGAGGGTCAGTCCAAATGGGTCGGGTGACCACTAACAACATGCTGGTGCATGTGTGTGTGGATGAAACGTGAAAGTGTTTTCATGATAACTATTGGACGACGCTGCGGCAGTCTGACATCACCATGGCCCAGCAGCAGCAAGCCCAAAACAAATTATTCACTTATTCGGTGATCGAGCGTAAGGATGAGATCGAAGAGGTACGACCGAATGAGCTGCGGTTCGACAAGTGTGCGCTTTTCTAACGATATGTTCTTTTTGTTTTTCCTAGAAATACGAGCGGTGCTATCTCATGTTGCAAAGCATCACCAACGGACTCAATGACCGTGAATACCACGATGCGCTCACCAGTCACATTAGCAAAGACAAAAGTCAAGAAGAAGTCATCAGCGTGGGACTGTTGACGGCGATACTGTTGGATCCCAAAAATGCCGATAAGGTATGCCATTGTGAAACTTCTAAAACGTCAACTTTGTTTTCAACAATACTTGTTACGTTTCAAGTTCAATTTGTGTTACCTCTGTGTTTGTAACGCGTATTGGCTGTAATGTTGTTTTTAATTACTTGAGACTTGTTAAAAACTAAATATTACTTTTTTGTAAAATTGTTGTTAATAATCTCAAATAGTTGATTAACCTTTGTATATATTTTTACAGATATATAGAGATCTCACGTTATTATCACGTGACGGTCTACAAAGTGTTATAGCCAATTTACAACAATTTACTTTAGAAAAATGGAGTCGACTTTTAGATATTCCAAAAAAACAGCTGTTGTGGTTGGTTCGTGAAATGGTACGCAACAACATAGCCGGAGTTGACAATCTATGTTGGAATTTGATGAGAAATGCTGCTGGTGGTGACGTATCTCCATCCAATGTAGCATTAATAGAATATTTCTTAGACCTTTACCAAGAACACCGGTAAACTAAAAATGACAATTTTTCTCGGTTTAAAATTACTAATTCTACTTTTATTTTTTGAAATTTTCAGAAAATGGTTAGAAAGATTTCCCTGGCTGATAGCGTCGGTTGTTTATTCTTTTTTACGTTTTATTGAAGACCACAGTAACTTGATCGCTCTACGCAATAAAGAAGTTGCATTTACAATATCTTTATTAAGAGATCGGTTTACAGACTGCTTGGTTATTGGCCGTGATTTGATAAGGCTACTACAGAATGTGTCAAAAATACCAGAATTTGAAGCCCTGTGGAAGGATTTGTTATACAATCCCTATTCTTTAAGCACAAGTTTAACAAATGGTATGTACACAATTTTCTTGTTTGTAAAATATTGATTTTTAAACTTACACAAATATTTTTATGTTTTAGGAGTTATTCAAATACTGGAAACCAGAACATCAAGAAGATTCTTACAATCAAGGCTTACTCCTGATATGGAACGAAAACTAGTATTTTTCACCTCATCAGTTCGATTTGGTCATCATAAACGCTATCAAGAATGGTTTCAAAATAAAGTAATTTTTTTATAACTCATCGGGTCAATTATTGAATTTTTATCGCAATTGACAGGATTTTATGGCAGTATGAAACCAACATGGATAAAATGTTGTAGAATGTGATAAAAATTCAAGAATTAACCCTTTAAGACTTTTTATTTTTCGAAATAATACATTTTTTTAGAGTTATTGAACTTATCACTAATGCACTTATCAGTGCATTTGTTTTACGCTTTTCTACGGAAAAATTTGTGTTAATGCCCGTAGAGAATAAGTGTAAAAAAAAACCTAATATCTATGTTATGTTTCTTCCTAATTTTGAGAATGCAAAAAAAATACTGTTTTATTTGTTCAAAAAAATTTGTCATCAATTATGCAGTATCAGCATAGTATCGTGCAATGTGTATCATTTAGATTTTATGATCACTTTTGCATTTGAAAATTTTATATTTCATTAGATAACATTATTAGGATTTCCTATCTAAAATTAATGTATTTCCTTAAATTAGTACCCATTTCAGAAATCTCTATAAGACAACTTAAGTTACTTAAGTAACTTAAGTTTTACTTTATCATTTAATATAATTTTTAAATGTAGTAATGGACATTTAAATAATTTTGGTTTTCTATTGGTGATTTAAATTTGTTAAAGTATTGTGTTCTATTTTTTCTCTCTAAATTTGTAAGTATTTATTACTGTTGGAATATAATTGTACTCTTGGTCCTCGATTGCATTTGAAATTCAAAATAAATAACCCAAGTTACAAGTTTTAATGTAATTATGAATGTTTGCTGCAATGCTACGTACATAACTTTTCACTTAATAATTTTAATTCAGTTTTGTGCACAAATTTCGTTTAATTTAATCAAAAATAGAATATTAAATGTTCGAGATAATTTATTTTAAAGAAATGCTAAAATATCAATTAGTAGCGCTGAATTTAGTAACCTTAATTTTGAAAAACATGTATGTAATTAATAGTAAATGAAACAACAACAAGATATAATGAAACAAGTGTTTAAATGTTTTATTACCTATTTTTAGTTAGTGAAACATTAGATAAAAAGGACCATAAAATATATTCATGTCATAATTGATTCCAGATAATATGTATTAAACAATTTTATACCTACCATTTTTAGTACTTAAACACGCCAGAAGCGCAATCTCTAAGAAGTGATTTGATTCGATTTATTGTTGGTCTGATACATCCAACAAATGAATTATTGTGTTCTGATATTATACCACGATGGGCCGTGATCGGTTGGCTAATTACATCGTGCACATCAAATATAGCTTTGGCCAACGCTAAAATGGCCTTATTTTACGATTGGGTTTGCTACGACCCAAAACACGATAACATAATGAATATAGGTAAGTGAATATTGTTTTGTTTTACTATTGGTATAGAACACATTAATTTTGCTTAAGTAACTAATTTGATTTTTTTTCAATTAAGTTGTTATTACATTCAGTTTGTTAATCTCTAATGTATTGATAATATTATACATGAGATTGAAAAATTTTTTAATTTAAACTTAAAAAACTAACCTAACCTCGTAAATAATACAAATTTTTTATTTTTTATTTACAGAACCAGCAATTTTAGTGATGCTCAACTCGTTACGAATTCATCCCACAGTAACAGCAAGCTTATTGGATTTCTTATGCCGAGTAATTATGTTTTTTTTTTTTATGGAAAATTATCGTATTTATATATTCAGTTAAAATTGTGAATTTTTTTATATATTTATTTTTCAACGATTTTATTGATAAAACCATTCGTTTTTTTAAATTATATGGCTTTTAGTAAAAAAAAAATCCCTATATTAAATGTATATGCTAGTTGGCTATAAAGTTCATACACCTCTATGGCAGCCTATTTTACGGCATCTGTACTGTGTAATATTTCCCCATAAATATCTTTAATAAAAAATACTGGTAATTTTTCATATGTGAACTATGATATATCGCTCTGTGTGATGTATTTAAAAAAAAAAAATTGTACCCACTCAACATACTTAAACAATGTAAACTTTACATTTTTAATAGTGAACAAACATATTATTTTAATTTATGAAACCCTTTATTGTTACCTTAGCAACAGATACTGAAAAAAATCTATGAAATTTAAACATTTTGAATTGAATAATTTATTAATTTTTTGTTTAATATCTAATAAAACTTTTTCATTATTTTTGTTATCCTTTCAGATTATTACTAATTTTTATCCCGCTCAATCGGAACGTATACGCAATGGCATATTTGTATCGTTACGACAGATTCTAGACAAACGCGTGTTACCTTCATTAGTTCCATTGTTCACAAATACTCGTTTAGACGGTGAATTACGAGCTATGCTACAAAGCAACTTTCGTGAATTTTGCGATCCACCTGCAGTCGAAGGTATTTTTTAGATATCGTAATATTTTAAGTTTTAATTTATTAGTAACTAGAAAAACTTTCATCCTATCGTTGTTATTTAAGGTGTAACTTTGAAAGATGACGATATGAAAGATAATATCGGTATGTCAGTCAAAGAAGAAAATATGTCCGGGTCTGAAAATGAAGATGTTACTTTTAGTGATGAAGAGTCGGATATGAGTCCTAAAAAATTGATTGTGATTGAAAACAACAGTATACCGCATGGTAAACCACATGGTACAGTATAAAAAAATTACCTGAAATGCCAAAACTTTATTTTAAAAATATTAAACATGTTATGTGTTTTTTTTTTTTTTGGAAAATAACATAATTATATACTTATTTTAGTGAAAGTGAAGCTAAAAGATAAAAATTCTTTGCCACCTGATATCGACAAAGAAGCTTTACAAGTATTAGGAAAAGAATTGAGGCTTGAAACTGAAAATCTTTATTATGAAAAGAACAACGAGAGAAAATGTGAAGCAATGGAAAAAATAGTACAGTTAATTGTTCAAGACGACGAGATATATCCTGATATGTTAGCCGCTTTAGGCTCATGTTTGTGTTGTCTTTTGAAAAATCAAATTGATGAAAAGATCTTTCCAGTGGTGTACAATGAGGAGTGAGTAAACATAATTTTATTACTAGCGTAACATCACTTTAAACCTTTGTTGATCTAAGCTGAAGTGTTGTTTTTCTTTAGCAATAGAAAACGTGCCGTTAACGTTCCATATAGAATATCAATATATTGTAATATATTTGTATTATGAGTTAAAAATGTTATGTTTTGTATTCATTTTGTCTTTAAAATTTATTGATTTTTTTTTCCAATGAATAGCGCTTTAGAAGACAGTATTGGGAAGCCATTATTTGTCATGTTTCGCAGCCTTACCCAATTTGCAGAAGACGATTCTCGTCGTTTGCAATTACTATCGGTGTTGGCTGAAATGAGAACACACCAAACACGCATTGGTTACTTGTTACTATATTACCTACAAGTGATCACATTGTTGAATAATAATTCTGATAGAAAGACCAATAAGTAAGTTTTCTAAATAGTAATGTGCGTTAATATATAATTATAATGTAACATTGTGTTGACATTTTATTTTTTAGAGGTATTAAGTCAAATGTATACAAAGAATATTGTGAAACTCAGGATATTGAATTAAACGAATGTCTTTTAAGCGATCTTCAGTTGTGTCAAGACGACGACTCGTCTATGTTTTGCTGGCTTGTCCCTGCTGTTTATAATCAATTTTCTAAAATCACTGTTGGAAACGAAGATTTCTTACATTTAGTCGTTTCTACTGTCAACGGTTCACAAATACAAGAAATAATTTGTTTAATTTTACAAGGTACTTGTCATATTACTACTGTTGTTATTTTACAACTATACAGTGTTGGTAGACTTTGGTAGTAAATTTTAAAAACAATTTACAGGTAAATTAACAATGTTCCGAGCTGAATCGGTTCCAGCATTGGCTACTTGCTCGTTGAACTGGGAAACTTTGGAACAGTATTTTTTCTGGCAGTTAATATCTGCACACGATATTGATATCAAGGTGATACTGTCAAATATCACAAAACTAGACTTCAACAATCATTCAGAAGCTTTAACTAGTATTTTGTTGATGCTGAAAAGAGAAAAGTATATTTCTTTGGTTGTTTGATACAATTATAATATAATTTAGTAAATTTTTATTGGTGTTTAATATCTTTATTTCATATTATTTTCATACAGGCCCACATTAGATTTATTGAAACCTATACTGTGTAGAGAAATTAAGCCCTTAAACGACCAATTTGTCATATCTGTGATATCTAGTTGGTATTTAGAACACGGAGAAAACATAGCCAATCTAGTCTCCGAATTGTTGATTAGCCGATGTCCAATAGTCTCCCCGACGAAAAGAAAACGAGGTCAAGGTACATAAATTATTGATTGTTTTTTTTTATTGTCCACGATGGTATTCAGAGTTTAAATTGTATAATATTATGTTGTTTTAAGGACAAGGTTTGGGTTCGAGAGGAGGTGTATCGCCACCGACCGCCGAACGTATTTTGGGTCATATGGAACGAGTTCGCAGTCAGGGCACTTGTCCGGTACTGTTTCGTTCTGAAGGTATGCAAAAAGCTTTGCAAATAGCACAAGCGGCCTGTACGGATACGCAGCGTATGCTGTTTAGCAACCTATTCCAATTGCTCGAAGAGGATGAACCGCACGTGCCTACGTTGGCAAACAAGAATTCAACTGGTGGTGGTGGTGGAGGTGTTGGAAAAGGTAGGGGCAGAAAGGCCGCTCCTACGTTTGGCAATAGCAATAAAAGAAATGCTAAGTCTGTGATAAAAGACCCACTGTCGGAAAGCTCTGAAGATTCTAGTGAAGTGAGTATTATAATAATTTACATACGTGTGTAATGTGATTAATTAATTGACATTTTTTTCCCCCTAAAGGAAGAAGAAGTTATTAAGCCACGGCAAACTAAAAAACGTAGAAAAATTAATGCTGTCGCGTCGGACAGCGATTGATGTTTAGCACCCAATGGAAGACTAATTTTAATGTTAAAACCCCTAAGGTTTACACTATTTTGTATAGATTTTATTGTTGTCACATATTTTTTCTCCCATTTGCCTTTTTTTATGTAAAACTGTTGTTAAAAAAAAAGAAAACTGGTAGGAGCCTTTTTTTTTTTTTAATGTTAATAGATTAACATGTTGATTTAGTGTAGTACATTATTTTTATTGTTTGTAATGTGACTCTGTCTTTGTATATACTAATATTTTCAGTATGAATATATTTAAGTAACTTAATTTTTATAGTGATTGTGTTATTACTTAATACTTATTATGTTTTTTATTGTTCACTATTTTTTCTGACCATACTGACAAAATATGTATTAAATAGGTATATAAATTATTGCCAATATACATTTTATAAAAAAAAAATTGTAATTTAGCCAAACAATTTTTTGATTATAAACAAAACTTCTAAATATTATCCTCAGCTCAAAAATTAACAACAATATTTTAAACAAAAACAATTTTTCTGTGTATTTTTATCTGGATAATAATTTGATTGTGTTAAAACTTAAAAGTATACAAACTAATAAATAGTATTAATTAACGTAATCATAATTTACGATATTATGGTTTCCAATTTAAGAAGGGCTAATGTACATTGTTAAACAATATTTTCTATCGAAAGTCATTAAATAATTTAATAAAACAGTAATTATATAATTATTCAAACAAAAAAAGCTATGTAGGTAAATACTTTGTAACCCTGCTCATAAATAAGTTCCTTACTAAAGATATTATTTTCTTTATTAACTTTTCTCAAGTATAACATAAGTTTTATATTATGTACATTGTACATATCAAAAACCAAATTAGTCACAATTTTTTAATAAATTTAAAATCAAAAACACTTAATATAAACCATCTACTACCTATGTACTGATGACTGATCTTTTTAGCCAAATCTTCTACAATTTGTATTATAGAAAGGCCGTAAGATTTATCAGGTGCAGAGTTAACTGGTTGAGTTTATCGGTAACGTTAAGGCCAACTGTAGATATTCAAATACACAATTATGGAAATCAGAGCTTTCAAAATCCTCTTAAGGAGAAATTATCTTTTCCAGCTGTTGTTAGAGCTACATTTGTGTAGCTGACCATAGCAGTTACGTGCCCGGAAAACCAATTTAAATGCAATACCTATAGTGATAAACAAATTTTACAATATTATATTTAAGACAATTATTGTTGGGCACTTAGTAAGAAACAGCCCCCGGCTAAACCCTCTACTTTTAGTCTCCTCAACCCCCCCCCCCCCGTTTTCTGCCTATGATTGTCACTGGTAAGGCTAACTAAATAAATACCTACAAGTCACAATAATGATAGGTAACTATAAATATGGCCACTATATTGATGTCATTGATATGATTGAGACTAATTATGATTAGTACTAAGTACTTATAGAATTGAGTAACTTGCATAGTAATAAGTTATAAATAAAAAACTAAGCTAAAACTATAGTTTATAAATATTATTATTAATATTTAATTGGTACTGGGAAGGGTTTTCTAATATGTTTTTTTTATAAATAAAAGCGTAGGTACATACTACTTTTTAACTAATATATTTTATAAATAGCCATAATTTCGTTAGTGAATATGAGATACTTTCAAAATCTGCCAGCGACCTGTCGCTACAAAAAATATTATATATTTCTTCCGGTTTGGTAATTCGAGTTTTTACTCTTAAAAACTACTCAAAATTCTACGAAAACAGATCTGCGTGACCATGTATTTTTGATATAAATACATAGGTGTACACTGTACTCTCGAAGGGGAAATCGTAAAATTAAATTATTCGAAAAAAAGAATACCAATTGGTTCCATGACAATTATTGACAAATAGGTATAGCTGTTCTTCGAAAAAAAGAAGTAAAAATTACCTACCCAATTTTCATAATATAATGGCGTTCCTTAACGACTCAGAAAACTATTATTATTTTGTAATTCGGTCGAAGTAATATATTAAACTTCAATTAAGTGAAATAATTTTTAAAAAAAACTTGAAAGAATATTTAAAAAAAAACAAAAAAAATTTGCTGCGATGGCCGGGAATCGAACCCGGATCAACTGCTTGGAAGGCAACTATGCTGACCATTACACCACCATCGCACGATGAATAATCAGTAGAAAACAACTGCATTTAACCACACAATATGACAAAACGTTATTTTGATTTTAATTTCAAACTGTCAAGTACAATGATAACAATATTATTGATAAAAATTAAACTTAATTATTTTATTTTAGACCGTAATTAGTAGCGTTTATTTTTCAATTTTGGTTTTTTTTTAAATATTTAACAAAAAAAATACTACCTATACCTACCCAATATTTTTAATATAATGTGATTTAATTTATTATTTATTACACAATGAAGATTGAAACGAATCCAATGTGCGTGTATCTGGTAAAGAACGACAGTAAAGGCGATAAATTGTTGTTTCGTTATCCGTTTGGAAACGGCAACGGAGCCGTTAAAGCTAATGTGAATGAACAATGCAAGCGGTCGTTGCACAGAAACGCATCACTTGACGGAGCTTACCAATCGCAAGATCAGACAGATTTTCCTGATGACGTTATATCTAGTTTGTTTGCCGTCAAAATGGATTTGTGTGATCGAAAGTTCGAATTAAAAGTAAATAACGTTCGGTTTATCGGGCATCCGATACAAATACAAACCGGCGGTAGTAACCGTAAAAAGAAACCAGAAAGTCCGTCCATTATACTGATTAATGTTGTATTTTCGTTGGACGCATTTGCTCGTCGCCAAATAGCTCATTGTTATTACGATCTAAGCAAAATGTTTGGTATTGCCCTTGGACATGAAGAAAAACGATGCTCGTATTTGTCCAAGCAGATCAAAAGTATGTTGGCCATACACGATTCCATGGCGTCTGGGTAATAAACTTAAACATTTATTCACCTATGCATTAAAATTTCCAGACCAATTATGTTATAAAGGGTAAATTTTTTGTATTTTCCAGGTCAGATGCTGAGGTAGATACGACCAATGAGAACAAACATTTTGAAAAAATTCTTGAAGACTGTACACTAGCTCAGGATTTAAAAAAGGTGTATGACGATATGTGTGCTAACGGTATAATAAAGTTAAAAGTGAATAATTGGATTGAAGTGAGCTTTTGTTTACCACACAAAGTCCATCACTTTTATAAAGAAGGACAATATTTTGAACCAGATTCAATAAATAAGTAAGAAAAGCCTATGTTATTTTAGCTATGGTCAGGGGCCAAATGAACTAGAGCATCGTCATTCCACCTGAATAGCCCTTGTCTGACAATAAGAACTGGCTGCTTTAAGAAATCATAAAAAATTATAATAATATGTGAAGCCATCACAACCAGTTCGTTTAGCCCCGATTATATCTACATTTGAAATTAATTTTAATTTAGACATTTTGTGATTAAAGGTGTTTAAAAGGACTCAGGCCCTATCACGGTCTACTGTTAATGACAGACCGAAAAAAGTTGTTGGAAAGTTTACCAACAGATTCTAGCCCATCAATTGTAAGACTCATTAATATGTATAATCCTGTAAAAAGTCTGCAAACTTTATCTGCCGATGCAGATCTCACTATTGCTCAGGTGAGAAATAAATGAATTATTTAACTACAAAGTTAAAGTTCAAACGTACACCTATTGAAGCTTTTTCTTTTTCACTCAGGTATTTAATATTGCTGGCCATTTAATATACTGGGGCGATGCTATTGTTATATTCCCACTGTGTGAGACCAATATGTACGCAATCGCACCGAATGTTCCAACGGAACGGGGAAGTCAATTCTCTAATGAATTTGAGGAGAAATTTCCTGGCTATAATTTGTTGGAGGTATTTATTATCAAACATTGGAAAAAAAAATAGATGTTTAAAAAATTATTGTTATATTTTTTTGTATTTTCAGGTCATGAGTGAATTTTCACTTCCAACATCGTTGCAGTATAAAATGTGTCCCGTTGAGGACAAAAGTAGTGGTGCCATAATGGTTCAAATACTCATTTGGTTATTGCAGCGCAAAATACTTTTACAATTACATACATATATATATTTTATGCCGACTAGTAAAGGATTAACAAATGTGAGTATAAGTATTATTTTTATGTCGACTTAGCTTAAAAATTGGCTAAAATGCTAAGTAAATGGCCAACATTTAGTTGAATATTTATTCCAAATAGACAGTTGTTATTTGTATTTTGTTATGACTGAACAATGTGTTTGTAGGTAAATAATTACTCTGAAAAAATGTTTGATAACTGTCAGCCATCTGAAACACCAATGACCATTTATCAGACAGGATCAGAAAGTTGGTTGCAAGTGTCGTCATTTAATTCATCAGCTTGCAGCGCCGAAGAATTGTTTAACAGTTTGACTGACGAAGAACAGTCTGCGTTAATGCGAATACCCGCGTCGGCAAATCCCAGTGATTTTCAGTTGCTCATGAGATTACTCAAACAAGGTTATCTTGTCGGTGAACATCACCTAGAAGAAATTATGTATTTGGAAAACATAAGACGGTCGCAATTGTTACAGTTGTTTGATAAGTTTAAAGATGTATTAGTACTTGTTGAAATGGAGGACCCTGCTATAAGTCATTTCTATTCACATTAGAGAATTGAAAAATCTACACTAAACACGTTTGTTTGTAATAAGTTGTCCCTGTTTATTTTCATATTTGAATTTAATAAAATGTGTCTTCCAATAGTTATGAAAATAATGTAAAAAATATATTAAAAAAATCTATAGAAATTTAATTTTTACAATGGCAAAACTTAAGTGTAAACTAACCAATAAGTTGTAGCATTGAGGTCTAAGTTCTATTTAAAAAAAAAAAAAATTATGTTTATTGCCTATTTAATAAAATAACTCAACAACTTAAATAAACAACAAACAATTCTTAAACTTAAATTGAATCACAGTACAGCGGTATTTAAATTTAATTTTTCTACAACATAATTGTTTTAGCTGAAAAAGGTTTAAATAAAATACTTATTAAATTTAATGATCAAGTATTATAATTTATGTTAAAAATATTACTTTAAAGGGTAATATTAAATGGCGATAATTACATTCTATGTATTGGGGCAATGACTGGTCGGTAATTAGATTTGGATAGCTTTAGACTGTAATGTTATTTATGTCTACACGCGCTGAACTTCTTAAATTTAAACGCTAACAAGTTAAATAGTGTTTATTAAAGACTAGCTGTTATCGATCAGGCTTTTTCCGCATTGCATCATTCTGCTCTTAACAGATGAACGAAATATGTAAGTCACTGTTCAAGGCGATCTTGAATATTTAAAAGAGTAAAATAGTTAAGTGCTATAAAAAACGTGGTGCCTATAGCGCAAATGAGTATAAATTAATTTTAAAAAAAGAAATCCTAAAAATATTCACTAGAACAAAAGTTATTTAATTTGTCGTATCTTTGTGGGATACCCTGTATAGTGTGATTATTGTCATCGGGTAAATTTTATAATTTCACATCGATATTAATTAAAAATACAAGATCAGTATAATATTGAATCTTGTGTATCAATTTAACACTGACGATACCTACATGGACATCAGGGATGTGCCCCCCCCCTTGCCCCTTAATCCGGGCTCGGGTATGGCGCAGCATATTTTGTGATTTTTTTATTCGGACCGTCTTATTTTATAAGGAACAAAATAATCAAGAGACAGGAGTATCGCCACGTTTTTTTTTATTCATATAGGTATGTTCTAATAAAATTCTGCGGCCGTGCAGTGTGGACTAATGGATAGGTATAATAATAATAATAATATGAAATAACAATAGTAATAAATATCGACGACAAGACAGTGCACTGCTTTTCGAGTAAGTATACTTACTATATACTTTTATATTGGTCCTGCCTACTTATATTATTCCATTATCGGTACGACACGTTATAACTGCTTTTCAGGTCCGAGTGAGAAGATAAAATACAAGAAATCGCCACCGCACCACATGGTGTCGCCGACGGTTTTTTTTAGTTTTTTATATTGTCAGTTTCCAAACCGGACAACATTATCGGAACGTCTTGTAATCGTAATTCGTTGTGGATAAGACGATTTCGGTTGTTGTATTTGTAATATAATAATATGATATTGTACTGAACTCTCCGACCCTTTAGTTTGCTGCATCTTGACAAAAATTGTTAATCTATATTAAAATTAATATAAAAACTGTAAATGCTGCAATTCTAATCCTGGGGCTTGGGTCATAAAGGGCCGATTTCACTTTTTGCCGAAAATGAGCTAATCCACTAAGTAAGATTGACCCTTTTAGACCCAAGCCACACTATTTATAAACATACATTTTCATGAAAGCTATGTTAGAGGTATGATTATGGATTTGTTTGCTCCAAAACCGTTCTTGGACCAACCAGTCAACAGGTTCTGATCATGAGATTAAAATCCAAATCGAAATAATGCTGATTTTATAATAATTTAGAATGTTGATGGTCTCGAGGCCAACGGGACTGACAGCCGATAGGGTTCAGATTTTGCAAACAATTTCCTACACTTAACTCCCTAATAAATAGGTGGTACCACGTCCTCTTAAAATCATTTTTTATGTGTTGAGTGAAGAATACTGTACTTTAATATAGAAAAAGCCTAAATACCTACCGGGAAAAGCGTCGAATTAGTTCAAAATTAGTATGGAACATTTTCAAGAAAAAGTACCATCGATAAACGTTGACAACCCCCAAAAAAAAATCAAAAACCTTTTGGAGAAAATTTGTTTTTTAATTATCTTTTCCAAACCAAGTTTTAGGACTTATGGTCTAAAAAATTTTAAATAATTAAGAAGTATTTTTTTTATCAAGAAAAACCAAAAAAAAGGGAAAATTGCACTTTGATTTCTTTAAAGTTATTTTAAGCGCTTTTTTTTTAAAAAAAGGTATGTATGTTAAAAATGTTAAGAATTACTTTTGAGTTCATTATAAAAAGTGTTCTATCTATTAAGCTTTTTTGAAAATGTTTGTACGTTATGTCATGCAAATATTTTTGTATTTTGCTTATTAGTAATACACTAAGCAACTATCCTAAAAATAATTTTATACTCCATTTTCTGATAAACCTGAGAAACCCAGCAAAACTTTTTACGGATGAAAAATGTACTGTTATTTTTGAAATCTTGAATACTTGCTGTGCTACATGCGTGTATCAGTCATTATGTATATGTTGAATTGACAGGTATATTATTTAGTTACACACTGTCATCAAAATCATAAAAACCAGGTCCCGGATACAGTTATAGTTTAATGTACGCTCATAGTCTTAGAATTATTTAATTATCCTTTTAACTCGAGTAAGATTTGTATACAAACGGATATTAGACTATTCTTGTGTTTTATTGTAGAATCATGAGTTTCAATTTTCACATGGAGATCCGTGTGAACGGGTTGCCCTAGGTTGTTAATATTACATTTGAGTAGCGTTTTCAATTTTTTCGCACAGCAACTTGGTCGGTGTACTTAAAAGCTAAGCGTTCTGGGATTTTCAATAAACATTCACTCGGACAAAACTAATTTTCCCTGAACACGCGATGCGTTAAGGTAATACACAGGTGTACACACTGTACTCTCACGAATAACATTAACGGTTTAAGTATTGGCCGAGAAGCTGGAGCGCGCAATATGGATAATTTTTCTTAGTATTTTGCTCAACAGCTTATGTCCGTTCGTTTTAAGTACTACTTCTAATTTTTTATATTTTTTTTTATTGTGACTACCTATTAAAAAGCCAATCGACAAAGCCAGTAGGTACAAGGATCGGCGGACGGACGAACCACAATAGTAATAATAATATTAATAATTATAGCGATAATAAGTAATAATAAATATACACATATGTATATTCTTAATGTGGGTATGACACGTGACGCGTCTATAAAAACTAATGTGCACTTTTATATGGGAATATTATTATTATTATTATACAAAAACATGCTCATGTAAATCCTACCGTTTCTTCAGAGATTTTTTTTATACATAACCTAACCTACCTATATGCAATATCAAAGAGGAAAAAATTCAAGCCCAGGATTCTATGGCTTACAGTATCCGTATATGTCGCCGCCAATACTTGAAACTCTCAATGGGCATTATTACATAGCTACGGGCCTACGGCGGACTGATCACTATCTTTGTACCGTTAACATCTTCACCGAATGATATTGTACCTAGTACTTGTTATTGTCACTGCGAGGAGTGTAATAATTTAGATATTGCATTTCAAGTAGAGATTGAATAGATATTGCATTTCAAATAGAAATTGAATATTCTAAACGTCAACAGTACCTGTACTCAAAGTTTACAGCTCAAATGGGTTTTGCAGAGCTGAAATTGTAATTTTCACGGCAGTGTGCCATTATACGAAGTAGACAGATGTTTATAACTTATTACATTAACAAAATATTGCCAGCCTCTAAGTCATCCTTATAATTTTCTATAAACTCATATAGATCGCTTGTATTAACGTTGAGGTGTTTTCGACTGTGTCATAATTTGTTATAATACTTATACAACTGGTGTACCGTTCAAAAAATATTTTTAACGATCATAACTTTTTCTATAAAAAAAAAATATAGGTGGTATTTTTTTTATAATTTTGTATTTTTTTCCATTTCTTTGGGAAACTCTACAGCTACTGCGTTTATACTCTAACAATATAATATGTATATAATTAATCATTTGTATTTTGTTTTAGGCACCATACATGGTAAAAAGTTTGAGTCAATCACCAGACAATACTGCGAAAAAACTGACGAAAAAGTTTTAGACTTTATAAAAACGCCAACGGTTTTTATTTATACTTGCCAAATTGTAATTAAAACATTAATGTATGATATATATAAATCTGTAAAATAGCAAATACTATCATATCTATGTTACTTATTATGTTTTATATTATGCAAAATGTAGTTTTATCTCCGTAAATAAAGAAATATTATTATCATTATTTTGTAGTCTAGTAACCGGATCTGTTTTTTTTTTTCAATAACAATTATATTTTTTTTAACACATAATATAAATTACGTTGTCGGCTGATCGAAGATAGGCGCTTGTGGTCGATACTTTTCGGCGGACCTGTAATTGGAATACAAGCCGAATGCTTCGAATACGGCCATAGAAACAGCACCGCCAAAAGCGTGAACTGCCATTGCTCGAACCCCTTTTCGCGCGGCCAATATGCCGGCGGCCAGAGCACTGCTGGTAATGTAATTCCAGGTGTCTTCCTTTTTCCTAATGCCGACCAATGAACATTCGATGGCTGCATACAGTCCACCCCAAACTGCAAAATTTCCGCCGATGCCCGGAGCTTGGGTGGGGACTGATTGAAAAGCGCTCTGGAAATGAAATCCAAATGTATTAAAAAAAAACAAATTCTGATTTGGTTACTTGTGATTTTTACACTCACATTGAAACGTCTCTTGAGACCGGTCGGTCCGTTTCGGAAACCTTTTACTGCTTGGAAAATTCCTCCGCCAACATAGCCGACGTCGACTTCCGTTCTTATCACTAGTAGCAATCTAGATCTAGTTTATTAATATATATATATATATATATCTGTGATTATATAGGACTTCTAAGGTTGCTCATCCAAGAAACCGAACCGAGAACCCGGTCTTGGGGCGCAAATAATCGCTCAAAAAATTAAAAAATACATTATTATATTTACCTCGGATCGTACAATAATACTAATAATTGTGATCGGAAATGAGAAATGTGCGGTTTTCGAGGTGTCAACTGCTGCTGCTGTTGGCGTTCAAGTCTCTAGCCGGGATACAGGTGGTAGAGGGGAAGGCGAGGCGCAGACGATTCGGTTTAGAGATATCACACACAAGCACCTCTGCCGGCGCGCACCGCAGGGTTTCTGCCTCCGTTGATTGGCCAACGTTCATTTTTCATTTATTGGCATCCCGGCTGCCGTTTTTAAACATTAATTTTCACACACACACAAACACATAGGTACAGGTTATAATAATAATAATAATATAAACGCTGGCACACAAGATTCATGACCACTTGCACTCAACGTGTAGGATATAATATTTTTATTAGTCGCTTTTATCTCTGTTCCTCCGCGGGTAGCAGTCGAGTAGGTACAGCCATATTCACACATATTATTATAATATGTGAGCTTCACCTTTAAAAATACATTTACACACGCCGTCTGCATAATATGCCTACATAGTACGAGAGGGTACCACCCTTTCGATATGTTTCGAATTATTATTAACTGCTGGGGGCTCGGCGGCATTCGCAGTTTTTTTTTAACATTATTATTATTATTACACTACTACATATAGGTAATATATTATATTATAAAATAAACGCGTACGCATAAGGTTACATTGTAGAAACGGCGACCGGTTATGTGTGTGTATAAACTTACCTATCCGGTCGTCTATGGGACGTTACTAAACCGAGAGATGACAACAATAACGAATTACCAATACCAATATTGTCGACCGTCTTCTGGATTTTCGTGGCTCGAACCTAATGTCTAAAGAAAGAAAAAATACATCCAAAGCTAAAAGGGTACCTACCTAAGTATTCATCCGACCAGAGCGCACAGTCATCAGTGTTTACTCGAATAATTGGTCATCGTCTAGGCCAGTCATCCTCTGAGCACCACGGAACCTACCTACATACTTCGGAGTCCGGACCATCGACAGCCAGTCCTAATTATTTTATATTTATTTACATATAGGTACATTATAATTTATTATATAATTTTTCTCTCTTCAATATAGTCGTGAAACAGCGGGCTACCGCACAAAATCATATTTTCATCGTCATAAATTGGTAAAGGCGAACAGGAACGGAAAAAAAAACAATCAAGTACATATCATTATTTTACACTCTTAAACACACATCGTGCGTTACGTGCATTGGGAATAATTGAAATGTCTCGCCGACATTTTTGCAGTTTGCACCTACCATACATATGCTTATTCTTTATTGCTTATTAGCTGTTATTGCTATTAGTCACGGATGGGAGATCGGACAGTTACTGATGGACTAAAAGGAATGGAAATGGTTTGTATGTAACAAAAATATCAGTGACAAACTGTTCATCAATTACTTTATTACACAATACTACATAATATATTTATAATATTTTCACTAATTATATTATTAAACAAATGTTTTATATATCCTATCTAGAACCGTATTCTTCAGTTTCTGTCGCTTCATTTTTACAAAATATTGTTAGTATTGTCCCACGTCGTATTCCCTGAAGGACTTCTTCGTTGCTCATTGATTCACAGGTAGGCTGATCACAAGGGTGGTTTCCGTTGAATTGCTAAGTGAATCGTTGTCGTTTAGGACAAAACCTAAAGGTTTATCTAAATTCATTGTGACTTTATACTGCTGTCCTACAATTAAAAAGACAAAACAAATTTCTGTAAATGCTATTTTGCGTATTCCCGTAACATTATATAGCACACACTATTAAGATTATTATTATCTAATTTTCAAATTGCTAATAGCTTTAAATATTATGGCACTTACTGCAATACGGCGGGGCATCTCCCGTGATTAAGAAGTATTTTGTACCGGGAGGAGAAGAAGATTGTTTCGCCTTCAAACCCATTATGTTAAGATCTGTTAGGTCACTCGAAAAACAATTACCCTACAAATAAAAACATACAATATTAGAAAACCAAAACTATACATTTTTAATTATAGTTTTATTCATAAATATTTTAATCCCCAATATATATATATATATATATATTTAGACACATAAATTATAAAGTAAACGGTGTACATATTTCTGAAAAATGTAAATGTTGAAATTAAATACTTAATTTTAAAATACACATTACATAAATTTATAGAGTACAAAAATAATAGTGTAACAATTACAATAATATATTTATTAATTTAAAAGGTTATTTTGATTTACTTGTAGGTATTCATCATATGAATCGCACTTGTTTGCAACGAACAAATTCTTTGAGTTAATAGATTCTGTGAATAGATCTTGGACTCTCAAGTGGTCACACACGAGCTCACCCATTATGCCAATAACATCATTCTTATTTGAAGGAACACAGCCTGGTTGCTTTTTACCGCCGTTCGGATAAAAGTCAACGTGGCCACATGGTACTATTATACCATTTCCTATAAACGATAACGAAAAAATAACTACTCAAAAAAATATGTATAGTATATAGACTAAATTTATATATAACATACATACATGACATTTATTCTAATAATGTAATAAAAAGGCGGTCTCCACAACATTGTCGCCACATATATGTACTTACCAAAAATGCTGGTTGCACCTGTGTGTATGACGTCTACAAATTGTGCATCCGTATGATTAAGCCTATCTGTGGGATTCGCTTTTTCGAACTTCGGTCCGGCCGGGTCAAGCCCAGTGATGCGACCTACTTGCCCTTGGAGCTTTTTGCCAGCAAAACCGGCTGCATGTGCTCCTAAACTGTGTCCTATCAAATGGACATTTTTCAATTCTAGTCCCACGAGCTCCTGACATACAGTAATGATAATTAAAAAATAAATAATTTAAAACTTATGTTAATTTGTATAAATTAAGACTGTATTAGCTGATTAGTTTGCAAATAAACAAACAAACAAATAGTATTTTTAAAGTATACATAAATAAGCCAGTACACAGTTCTTCAAGCCATATGCCAAACGACATTTCTTCATAATATGATACTGTTCATTCTGTTTTAAATAACTATCGTTGGTGTACCAACGAATTTAATTAATTACTTCATCACGATACGCCAAATGATACTTCCTAATATATTATATAGCTTAAAAGTATACATAGACTTTTAATATACCCCTAAAGTGTTGATTAAATTGGCGACTTCATGTCCCACGTCTTTTGTTTTTCTTGTTGCGGTATCATAGTCGGTCCAACTGGACCATTGTACTAATATGACATTTGAGTTGGAATTCTTTAACAGTTCATTTTTCATCGTCTGAACAAAAAAAAAAAGATATAGAATTTAATCCAAAGACGAAATATCAAACGTAATTTCTATTACTATCATCCATTGGGCATCTGCATTGGAAATGTAACCGTGGATGATCAACTTTGTAGGTTTTTTTGGTTGAAAATTTGAGTTTGTTATTGTTTCACTGGAGTTCACTTCTAGTATCTGACCCTGAAAATAAAAGAGTAGAAAATTGTAGGCAATCGACAAAATCAGGTTCTTTATTAGGTAGAACTTTTATTTCTATCATGATTATCAACTGTGAATAAACATGATATAGATACCAATAATTAGTTGTGTGGGTAACATAACATCAACGTATAAACATAAGCAATCAAATAGTGTATTAGTAGTATTCATGTTAAACATTTAACAATTAAGGACGATAGGAAGGAAGAAGTGTGGTGTTTTGGACGTTATAGTTCCCATCCTAAATCAGAAGAGGTGAATCAGAAGTCACCGACGGAAATATTCAGATAGATCATTGCTTAGTTGGAACGAAGGTTGGTAACTAAAGTCTAAAACATAAAAATTGTGGCAAAAAACATTTGTTTTATTTTACCTCTTCTAAATTCTTTCTAGTAAAAAGAATGAAACTTTCTATTGGATTTTGATATTCCTCAAGTGGGTTAGGTTTGAAGTCCAGGCATCCCAAACCGTCAAAACATACGGTGTTCACTGTAAAAATGGCGATTTTATTATTTAAACGACAAGTGGTGAATGGTATTATGTACCGCTCGACTACATTGTAAGTTTAAATCATAGTATACAATTTAGAGTCGATATTCATGCTCTTCGGTCCAGATGAAAATCAATTTTCAGACACAAATAAAAACACATTTTAATAACAACGGATTCTATTATGCCTAACGTAATGTCGCCAAAGACCTAATTGTAATAACATGAATATTATAACACTAACCTGTTTCATTCTCCTGGCTATCAACGGCAACTGCTATTAAGCATAGAAATAAAATGCAATAAATGGACATTATTTTGTGAAAACCAAACATAGTGTGTTGGGTACAGTTTTTAAGACCTTATACAAAGTATTATTATTATACAAGTATTAAATACAAGTTTTTATATAGGTATTCCTGATTCATTAAGATCAGCAAATTTTTGTTCACGTTTTAACCTCTAAGATTTTGCTCTAATCGGGAGGTAAAGACGGTATAGAACATTCTCAGTTCTCGAAAATTCGGCCAAAGGTCAAATGACTTGATAAACACATTAATAGTAGCATATATTTTGTTTAACTAACCACAAAAGATTTAATTAATTGAAGTTCAGATTATGATAATGGTCATTGCTATGCAAAGTTTGTGTTTGCTCATCACTTCAAAGTAAGTATTATCATACACATTTTCTATCTTCATTTATAACGAAAAAAAAAATTATGTATTATTGCAAAAACTGTTTTAGTAAAATGTTAAACATAAAAATATAGTCATGGTAGTATTCGAAAGAACTTAAGAGTAAATACAACTTAAATCAATTTGTTTGAAAAAAGCTTTGTACACACATCTGTGTGCTTAGTGACGTTTACTTAACTTATAAGTCATAACAATAAATCTAAAGATATGACCGAAAGATTCCCTCTGAAAATAATTGATTACAATTTTAAAACAAGTTTGACAACAGATTTTTGAGAAAATTGTAAATATTATAGCCGCACACTGGATGTATCTTTAATCTAATTTTTAGACCTTTAACCTTCACCTAAAAAAGCAAAATAAAGAAAAAGTTTCCTACCCTTCTGGAGTAAAGGGTTTATGATATTTATTTGGTTTGTTAGTTTTCGTTTGTAGTAGGTACTATGTCTAAAGAATATTCCATATCAATTTGGAACTAATTCGACTACTTTTAAAAAGTTATATTTCAATATAACATAATAATAGTAGTATGTATACACACTAATAGTTATTATATAGTTTATAGTGTATGTGTATATTCATATTATAAACGTTTGACCTTAAGACTAGATTATGTGGCATTCTTTTTTGTTTTACTATAATTCAATAAATTCAGCAAGCGCATGTTATTTTTTGTTAAAATCCAAAATTTCAAATCCACTCTTTAATCATGCATTTATAATGATTGTAATTGAATATGGATTAAGCAACCTAATATTGTAATTAAGGTGAAATTTTAATAGTTGTAAAACTTTGCTCTTATCCTACAAATTCTATGGGTTACCAATTAAACACGAAACATTTAAATTACAAAATAAAATAAAATACGTAACTATTATATCTCTTCCATACTCGTATAGAATACCATTTTAATTGTATTTAAAATAAGTAGGTATAAAAATTAAAACATGGAATGGGAATGGTTTGTATGTAACAAAAATATCAGTGACAAACTGTTCATTAATTACTTTATTACACAATACTATTAATACTACAATACTATTTATAATATTTTCACTACTTATATTATTAAAGAAATGTTTTACATATCCGATCTAGAACCGTATTCTTCAGTTTCTGTCGCTTCATTTTTACAAAATATTGTTATTATTGTCCCACGTCGTATTCCCTAAAGGACTTCTTCGTTGCTCATTGATTCACAGGTAGGCTGATCACAAGGGTGGTTTCCGTTGAATTGTTTAGTGAATCGTTGTCGTTCAGGACAAAACCTAAAGGTTTATCTAAATTCATTGTGACTTTATACTGCTGTCCTACAATTAAAAAGACAAAACAAATTACTGTAAATGCTATTTTGCGTATTCCCGTAACATTATATAGCACACACTATTAAGATTATTATTATCTAATTTTCAAATTGCTAATAGCTTTAAATATTATGGCACTTACTGCAATACGGCGGGGCATCTCCCGTGATTAAGAAGTATTTTGTACCGGGAGGAGAAGAAGATTGTTTCGCCTTCAAACCCATTATGTTAAGATCTGTTACGTCATTTGAAAAACAATTACCCTACAAATAAAAACATACAATATTAGAAAACCAAACTATTCATTTTTTTTGGTTTTACCCTCCTCCCAGCTTAGTTTTTTTGATAGCAACTTTTGAAATATAAATGGTAACGCATACGTTTCATTAACTTTTTAAATTGAGAATAATGTACTAATACTATTGACTGGTCGATAATAATTTTTGGATAACTAGTTATGAAGTTTCAAGTTTAGGGCATGAGAAAAGGTGGAGTGTTGTATTATTTGTATCTACACGCTTTTCCCAACCGTACTTCCCCTCCCATCCTAACTTGTAAAGTCTTATAACTTTAAAACTAGATATCCAAAACTGGTTATCGACTAGTCAATATTTGTAGTACATTATTCTCAATTGAAAAGGTTAATGAAATGTATGCATTACCATTTAAGTTTCATAAGTTGCTATCAAAAAACAGTAAGTTGGGAAGGAGGTAAAAACTAATATGGAAACATTATGAAAAAAAAAAAATTAATTATTAGTGAGGTATTGAGTGGTTCAAGATAAGTTGACAAAACTGTTAACATATTTCTAAAAATGTAAATGTTGGAAAAAAATGGTTAATTTCAAAATAAATAAGACTATAAAGTACAATACTAATAGTGTAACAATTACAAATATATATAAATTAATTTGAAAAGGTTATTTTTCATACTTGCAGGTATTCATCATATGAATCGCATTTGTTTGCAACGAACAAACAATTCGAGTTAATAGATTCAGTGAATAGTTCTTGGACTCTCGAGTGGTCACACCCGAGTTCACCCATTTTGCCAATAATATCATTCTTATTTGAAGGAACACAGCCAGGTTGCTTTTTACCGCCGTTCGGATAAAAGTCAACGTGGCCACAAGGCACTGTTATACCATACCCTATCAATAATAATAAAACATTAATTACCCCAAAAAATATTAATACTTTACTGTGTATATACAGTGTACAGTATATTGACTATATTTACATGGAATTTATTATAATGTAACAAAAAGGCAGTACTTACCAAAAATTTTGGTTGCACCTGTGTGTATGACGTCTACAAATTGTGCATCTGTATGATGAAGCCTTTTTGTAGAAGGCACTTTTACGTACCCCGGTCCGGCCGGATCAAGCCCAGTGATGCGACCTACTTGCCCTTGGAGTTTTTTGCCAGCAAAACCGGCTGTATGTGCTCCTAGACTGTGACCTATCAGATGGACATTTTTCAGGTCTAGTCCCACGAGCTCCTGAAATACAGTAATGATAATAATAAACAAATAATTTAAAACTTGTGTTAATTTGTATAAATTAAGACTGTATTAGTTGATTAGTTTGTGAAGTTATCGATAACGTAATAAGTAACAAATATTATTTTATAAGTATACATAAATTAGCAAGTACACAGTTCTTCAAGCCATATACCAATCGATATTTCATCATAATATTATACGGTTCAATCCGTTTAAAATAACTATTGTTGGTGTATAAGTAATTATTGCAATTACTTCTCCCTAATATATTATACTTATATAACTTAAAAATATACATATATTTTTAATATTACCCCTAATGTGTTGATTAAACTGGCGACTTCCTGTCCCACAACTTGAATTCTTCTTTTTGCGGTAATATAGTCGGTCCAACTGGGCCAACGTACTAATATGACATTTGAGTTGGAATTTTTTAACAGTTCATTTTTCATCGTCTGAACAAAAAAAAAAAGATATAGAATTTAATCCAAAGACGAAATATCAAATGTAATTTCTATTACTATCATCCATTCGGATTCTGCATCGGAAACGAAACCGTGGATGATCAACTTTGTAGGTTTTTTCGGTTGAAAATTTGATTTTGTTATGGTTTCATTGGAGTTCACTTCCAGTATCTGACCCTGAAAACAAAAGAGTAGAAAAGTGTAGGTAATCGACAAAATCAGGTTCTTCATTCGGTGGAATTTCCATCGTGCTTACTAAATATTGTCTACACATTTTTATGGTTTACATTTATAATTTTAAATGACATACTTCTGTCTTTATATTATTGTATTATACGAAAACTGATGTGGATAACATCATAAATTAAGGACGATAGGAAGGATGGAGAGTGGTGTTTTGGACTTTACGTTCCATCCTAAATCAGGAGAAGTTATACTGACGTAAATATTCGTAGATTTTCGCTTGGTCGGACCAAAGGTTGGTACCTAAGACATATATATTATGGGTAAAATTATTTGTAAAGATATACCTCTTCTAAATTTTTCCTAGTATAAAGGGTGAAACTTGTTATTGAGACGACAGGTTCCTCATTTGAGTTCGGTTTGAAGTCCAGGCATCCCAAACCGTCAAAACATACGGTGTTCACTGTAAAAAAGGCGATTTTATTATTTAAACAACAAATGGTAAATGGAATTTAAGTACAGCTCGACTACATTGTTTAAATCATAGCATACAATTTAGAGGCGATATTTATGCTACTCGAGCAAATCAGTCTAGGTGAAAAACAGTTTTCAGGCACAAATAAAAACACATTTTAATAATAATGGATTCTGTTATTCCCAACGCAATGTCGCCAAATACCTAATTGTATTAACATGAATATTACACTACTTACCTGTTGCATTCTCCTGGCTATCCACGGCAACTGCTATTAAGCATAGCAATAAAAAGGAATAAATGGACATTTTTTTGTGAAAACCTAAAATCGTGTGTTGGGTACAGCTTGGATGACTTAATACAAAATATTATTATTATTAAATATAAGCTATTATATAGGTGTTCCTGATTTATTCAAATAAGCAATTTTTTGTTCGCGTTTTCACCTCTATGATTTTCCTCCGATATGGGACTTCGGTAAAGGGTCAAAACAGTGACTTGATAAGCACAATAATAGTAGTAAGCTTTTTATTTAATCAACCGTGAAGGATTTAATTAATATAAGTACAGATTATTATGATGGTCATTGCTATGCAAAGTTTGTGTTTGCTCATCACTTCAAAGTAAGTATTATCATACACATTTTCTATATTCGTTTATAACGAAAAAGCAATAAATAGTTTATATTATATTTTTCTTAGAATTGTAACTCCGCATTATTATTGTTAACAGAAGAAAAACATATTGTCTTTGTAAGCATTATATTATGGCGCGATCTAAATTACGTATAAGTAACACAAAGTTATATTGAAATTAAGTA